AATGTTTAAGTTTCGTGTAGTTTTTGAGGTTAATGTTTCTTCTGGATAATGACATGAGATGTATGACTTAACATAATTAAAGATAAAGGTCTTTTTGATTAACATGTAGCTAAATGGAAGTCGGAATGTGTGAAAATTTATGGAAGTAAGCATACTTTTTTAATTCTTAGTAAATGTGCTATTCTTAAATTCTTTCGAAATGGCTACTGAAAAATGGAAGCTTGATCATTGCTGATACGCTGAAAGAGTTCTCGGAAATGACGTTGTCACATGCTCGATAATCTATGCATCAAAAGTTTCACAGTTTCGAATCAAAAAATTCTATTAATGACTATAATTGCAGAATCTCTATGATTCCGTCATATTATATAAGCACAAAAATGTTTAGTGACAGGAAGAGCGAAATGTTTTTATCAGATACAAGCACGTACACAACCTGTGTTCTGGCGAGAAGCTCATTAAAAAAAGAGAATTGTAACAATTTGCTAATAAACACAAATTTTCCGAAAGATTTAGCAGCACAGACAACAAAAAAATATAATTTGGTGTGGCTAAACGACATTTTTGTTCCAATTTTTCCATATTTTTAAACAAAATTATTATCATTTTATAATATACGTGTAAATTTTCAAACGTGAGGGCATTAAGACCTTGTAGTAAGTGGAGAGGAAAAACAGCAGAAAAAAAAATTATAATTTTTCATAGTTTAATGCACATGGAGATAAGTATTAACCACGAACTTCCGATGATATGACAATTATTAATTATGAAATTTTCTCTCTATTTCTACCTGACTGTGCGAACATATAAATATAATACTTTTTTTGCTGTTGAAATGCTATTATGAGGTGACCTCGCTGACTATTTTGATTACGACAAAAAAAAATAAAATAAAACTGATTTTTCATGTTGATGATTTTTTATACAAACATGGCAATTACTTGTGGAAACGTTTTTAACTGTAAAGCTCTAACTTTATCAAAATCAATTTTTCTGAATTACCATGCATGACAAGCAGCAGCAGCAATAGCAACAAGTAGCTTTATAACTAATAAATGAATGCATTATGCTGCATTTTTCACAAACATTTAAGTGTTTCGTGCTTGATGACTTGTCATCATGACTTTTTGTGGGAATTATATGCAGCCATTTTATAAATTAGTTGTAATTATATTCGATCGTCTTCCGGGATTAACTTATTATACTAGTAGTTTAGAATTAGAACTTAATTTCAAAACATTTTAATTCAATTTCAATCAATTTGAAGCTTGTATCATTAATGCTTTAATTGTTTCAACTTGAATTGTCAAAATAGGATCTTGAAAGATTTAATAATATTTTCTGTTCCTTATTAAGTTTTTCTATTTGATCGAAAACATTATTCAAGTACCTAAAACAATATTTAAAATTTCATTAACTTTGCTATCAGCAAACCTTGCATAATTGAGCAAAGCTCATAGGTAATGAATTGACCATAAAACAAGAAACAGGCAGCACAACATTGTTGTAGATTTTTCGCTATTTTTCACGTACATGAAATCATAATGAATACCTTCTTTTGCATAGATTATTTTATTTTATATTTTTTCATGTCAAGTGCTTAATGAGTTTTGAGTGCACTTGTGATTCAGTAATATTCAGTTTCATACATACAAAATCTGTATAAAAAAAATGCTTTGACATCATTTAGATTTTATGCCATAAATGGCTTTGAAATACAATACAATACAATACAATTTCATATTCCATGACAAATTATAATTTACTAGTGCATTGAATTTTCGTCTCTACAACAAAATTGTTTTACTTGTTTTATTTCTTACTTAATTTTTTATTTATTTATTTTTCATGTTTGATTTGCTTTAAGTAACGCATAAATGAGTAAAGAGGAAAAATATTTGCTATTAAATAAACAAAAGATTCAAATGCAAGGCAGAAAAGTTTAATTTCAACGTCCATGTGTTTGCTCGTAAATGACGCAAAATGAATATAAAAAGCAAATGTTCAAATATCTCTTATCAGTCGCACCTGTCTAAAGTTTCCACGTTTTCCAATAATAATTTTATTTCATTCCCACCTCGCTATTTTTTTTTCGATTATTCATTACTGATATTAACATTTGGCTAAAATTATGACTGATAACGAAACGTTTTTATTTATTCATGCACAAAGTTGGTGATAAAAAATAGTAGCTTGAAGCATAATTTCATTTTAGTGAATTTCATTCCATCTGCTAAGGGCTTTGAGAGTTTGTTTCGAGTTTATGGCTGATTGATAATACTTTGGATTAGTGGAAATGTTTTAATTCGGGGATTTTGGGCTTACAGAAATTGTAAGCTTAAGTGGCTTAGAGCTAGGTAGCACTATTAGTTTATTCATCTATATTTGAAGTCGTCCATTTTTAATGCAATAAAGTGTTTTAGTGATATCAGCAATATTTCTTTTAATGAATGAGTTGGCAAAACAACTAGTCGCTTTTAAGAACCATATTCATCACATGCTAAGTTCAAATCCTTATTTAGAGCTCTGCTGAAGGATATATAGTCATTAAAGCAAATGACAGATCAAAGAATCTTTGTCATTTGAACTTCTTTTATTTATTTTACATTTAAAGATTAAGGATGAATTTAATGAATAAGCAAAAATTGAAATTCGAACTTAAATAAAATAAAATAAACTCAGTGATGAATAAATGACGTCAGATATTTGGATACTTTAGGAAAATTTCCTTAATTTCCAACATTCATCACTTTCTAAACGACTGAAAGCTAAGTTTTCGTTCATCAAAAACAGTTCATTTTTCTATGTTCGGTGTGACTCGCAATCCTCCTCACATGTAAGTATCATATTGTACACCTATATTTGAACAACATTCTACATCCTTATCATTAAGTAAACTCGACGACGAGTTTTAACGAACTAAGTGCCTAGAAAATGTGTGTATAATATTACTTTATACCTGTATACATATTGTTCTTTGTTGTTACTTCTTCCACCAATTTTATTTTTTATTATTTTTTTGTTTTGTTTGCCTTCTCATATATTCATATAGCCATAATGTATTTATTTCATTCATTCAATACAGTTGTGTGTGTTGGAGCGGAGGGAAAAAAAAATTATTAATATTGCTAGCGATAAGAGTTAGTTGAAAATATTTTTTTAAACTAAATAGAGGTATGGAATGAAAAACTTTTTGAGGCATGATTCAGTATGAGTTGAAACGTTATAACGAATATATCACAAGACTTGAACAGAAATTTAAAAAAAAAAGTTTTTCCTCATTCATTCACAAAGTTCATTTGGAAGTGACTCAAATAAATTTTTTTAAATAATTTTGTTTTTTTGTTTAACATATCGAGTTAATTTGTACAAGTGCTGACGATTGTTGTGTGATTCTGTTTCTCATTGTTTATCATTGAAAGACAGAAGTTTATTATTTTTTTTCTCATCTCTTATTTTTCGGAACGAATCCGACGAATGTCTGGATTAATTATTCGGTAAATATTGTCAAACATTCTTTAAGCCATTTCTTGAATTTTTTTGTGCCTCACTTTATTAAAATTTCTGAGTAACTCATGTTTTATCAATTCCTCCATTTTGTTTTCCATATCACATTTATGTACGTACAATAAATGTAATGTGATTAGCAGATTCCATACTCGAGTATACATCATTTTATATGGCAGTCAAATAAAGATGATTAAACAGTTTTATTGCACTTGAAATTTAAAACTTTTAATGAAAAGAATTAAAAAATTTATGAAACTTCAGCTTAAAATTTGTAACAGAAAACAATTTTCGGAAATGTGGCAATGTGCTTTAGAGAAATTGAAAAGCCACGTTTAACTTTGTTGCTTAGAAATATTAAACTTTTACTTTTAGTCTTCAAAATTTTTCTATTTTAAATGGAATCATTTTAGAATTAATTTAATTCCTTTTTATTTGAAATGTTTCTGATTTTTACTATAAAAATGATGTTAAGCTATTAGGTATGACTAGGTGTTGTTTAAAATTTTAAGAAATGAAACCAACAACGTAAAATTGCTTTTAACAAAGGTTCTAAAATTGAAAAAAGTTTTCAAAAATAATTTGAATATCCTTATTTTATTCATATTTTTCATAAATTATAAACTCATAGCTTTTGGATAAAAACTTAATAAATAAACCAAGTTCTATGTTAATTTTATTAAAATTAAAAAAGTAACAGAAATTGCAATGATTAAATTCAAAAATATACAAAAATATATTCTTAAATTCAATGAATATCCCAAAATTGACATATACTCTCCCAAACTAGGACAAACATATCCATAATAATTTAAACATAAAGATTCTTAATATTCGTGCCTGTAAAAAGTGTGTGAAAGGAAATATTTGCCGCGTCAACTATGTAAATTTACAAAATCAATTTTAAATAAAATAAGAACTACAGAATCTTGTTATAATATCAGCCATATTGTTCACAAAAGAAACCATATTGCTGTGTCGATACAAAGCTAAACAACAAATTGAAACGCTTTTCACGCTTATAAATTCGTTTTACCGATAACGAAGTAGAGGTAATAAAGGTGCTCGTAAAAAAGTCATCATTTCAATTTTTTTTAAACCGATAGTTCTAGTTGTACCTTTTTCCACAAAGCACAAAAAGAGAACGACACAAAAAAAGGCACAAAACTCGATTGTTGCGCACTACAAACTCATGATCGTGTAATCGTCATAAAATTTATGAAAAAAATTCATTTTTTTTTGCTGATAACGGAGACAGTAAAGTAATAACATTTTAATATCGTTTGGCAATGCCAAACTTTTTCGCCATTCTGGGTTTTTTGTTCTTTCACAAAAACAGCAAACAGCTAACTCAATAATAATTTTTTTTGTGTTCTTTCCTTCTTGAATTATGACTGTCATATTATAAAACAATGTCACAGGTTAAATTACAAGTTGTGTAATGGATGTTAATCTAGACTGACTGTATATGTATTTTTTTTGTGTCTTTACAGTTGTTAGATAGCGAGAAACAACAACAGAATGCAAATAATTCATCAGTCAGTCAACAGCAGCAGCACAGCAATGACAATTGGTTTTGGGAAAAAGATGCAGTTGAGTCACACGATGTGGAACATGACTTGACGACAATTCCATTGGACTCAAATGAGCATGAAGTTATTGAAAAGTTGCAGCGGCAATTAAATGAAAAGGAATCAAAGGTTAAAAGCTTAAGTGTTGAAAATGCTGAGCTGAATGAAAAATTGAAGCATGTAAATGCTGAGAATCAAGAGCTTAATAAAAGTATTGAGGAATTGGATTGGCAGCATCAAGTTGCAGTTGAAAAAGTTCTCGATGTGAAAAATTCTCTACAAGAAAAGTTGAATGCTACGCTTGAGGAAGTGAAAGGCTTTGAGAATCAAAAAAATGAGCTGATAAAAAAATACCACAACGCGCTTGATGCTAAAGATGCTGAAATAAATTCTTTAAATTCGCAAATGGAACAACACAAGATTAATAGTGATGAGATGATAAATATGGCGAAGAAATATGAACTTCAAATTGAAGAGTATGTGGAGACAATGCAGAATTATGAAAGTGAAATTACAGACCTAAAAGAAACTGTCAAAAATCTCAAAGAGAATACACCTAGCAACAATAATGAATGTCTTCAAAAAATTAATTCACTCATAAATTCCAATTTTAAATTAAATGAGCAGTTTACAAGTGATGACAGCTTTATGGAAAGATTTTCTAAATGGATCACCACAACTTCCTTAAAAGTTCGCGAAATGGACTTTGAAATATCGAAATTAATCGATGAAAATAAGCACATTAAGGACGAGTCTGTAAAACATGTTCAAGAACGAGACGTGCTAAAATCTGAACTTATTAACTATGAAATTGAATGTTCAGAATTGATGAAAAATAATAAAATTCTAAGAGCTGATATTGAGAATCTTCGTTCTTCAGGTAAATTGGAAACAATCATGGAAAATGATGATGACGAAGAAGTAGATGGAATAATGCCAATTGTGACAAATAATAATAAAATTATCGATGATGAATATAACTCGATGATAACAAGATTAGAAGAGACGGAAGTTGAACGGACTGAATATTTCGATCAGATACAATCACTCAAAAGTCAACTGACCGAAAATGTCGCACGTTGTAAAAGTTATCGAGAGGAAATAGAGAATTTAGAAAATGAGAAATGTAATTATTTGTTCGAGCTTAATGAGTTGAAATCGGAAGAGGAAAGGAACATCCTGCAAAAAGAACTCAAATACTATAAAGATCGCGAGATTGAGCTTCAAAATAGACTCGATGACATCGAAAAAGAGAAAGAAGATGTTTTAAAGAAATATAACGAATTGGAAAAATCAACATCTATGCAAATTGAAGCTTTATCCACATCACAAAATACGACAGTTGAGGAAAGCAATAAGCTACTTAGTGACAAGGAGAATGAATTGAAAAAAGCACTGAGTGAATTGGAAAGACTGAAAGTAATGAATGAGCAGTTGGATGAGCTTAAAAATGCTAAAGCTTCTACGGCTCAAAAGCTTACTGATAATGAGAAGCTTTTAGAACAGCTACAATTTGAAAAGGAATCACTTTTAGTAGAATGCAATGAGTTAAAGAAACTTAATGACGCTAATTTGATGAATTTGAAAAAGTCAAATGAACAGGTTCAGGAATTGCAAAAGAAAATGTTAGAAACATCAGTAATTGAGGAATTGAGAGCAAAAATTGAGTTACTTGAGGAATCAAGTTCTAAATTAATAAGTGAAAAACAGTGTCTTGAAGAAACAATTTTGGCATTGACTGCTGAAAAAGAATCACTTGAGAGGTCGATAATTGAACTTACTAGCGAAAAGGAAGTAGTAAAAAAATCAGCACTAGAACTTTCACAACAAAATCAGGCACTTTTATTAGAAAAAGAAAAGCTTTACGCTGAAAGTCAAGAGCTTTTAAATAAGCATCAATCGATTTTGACAAGCTATGAGGACCTTACTAAAATCAACGAATCAAATGCTGAAAATATTCAAATGTTAAATCAAAAAATAAAGGAATTCCAGGAAAAACTGTTAGAAACATCTGATTCACCTGAATTAATCGCTAAAATCACTTCCTTAGAAGAATCATTGACATTACTAGTAAGAGAAAAAGAAGCAATAATGTTAGAAAATCAATCGATAGTGTCAAAATGCAAGGAATTAGAGGAATTAAATGATATTAATGTCAAGAGCTTACAACAGTCAACTGATGAAGTTAAAGAACTTGAAAGTAGATTAACACAAATGGGAAATGTCGATGAACTCAGATCTAAAATAACTTTACTTGAGGAATCAGTAGCAGCATTTGTAAATGAAAAAGAAGGCCTAATTACTCTAGTGACAACAAAACACAATGAGAATGTTCAATATCACAATGAAATCCTTCGATTAAATCAGTTATTGCAAGAGGAAGCGAAAAAGGTCGAATCTAATCAAAGTGAAGCCATGGAACAGCAAAATGATCAGATTATGTTTCTCCGTGAGAAGTGTGACTTACTTGCACAGAATTTACTTCAAGAACAGAATAACTATCGACTTTTACAGCAAGAAAAGAATGATGCGGTTGAGATGAATAATACATTAAATAAAGATATTGAGAGATTGCGTCAACATTTATTGGAAGTGGCTGATGCTTACACATTTGAGCAAGTAAGTCTACAGAAACAAGTTGAGGATTATAAAGGAAAATTAATGGCCGTCGAACATGACGCAAAACAATCAGCTACAGCTTATACATCTGCAAATATTCGTGCTAATCAACAGGCTGAGACAATACAAGCTCAATACAATTTACTGATTCTGCAGCGTGATGAACTTTTAAATAAACTTAGTGCAGCTGAGGATAATGATAATAAAAATCAGGCAGCTCTCACCAACCTTCAAGTTGCTCTTGAAATCTTCCAACGAGGTAAAGTCAAAGCTTGCATAATTGAATAATTCATGGACTGATTCTTAATTCTTCTTCCTACCTTAATAAATTTGAATTTCTTTAGATAAGGAAAACGATATTGAGCTGAAAACAGCTGCATTACATAAACAACTCGATGGTGAAAAGACGAAGCAAGTTAAATTACATGGCGAGATAAATCAACTTCAAATCCAGCTTCAGGAAGCCAAAAATGGTCTAATGGCGGCTACACGTTTAAGTGATCAGCTGGAACTGAATCAATTGACAATAGATAAACTAAACAATGAAAGTAAGTTCTTTTACCTTTTCATAATTTCTTACTCATGTTCTTTCCCGTATGTGTGCCTTACTTTATCTTACTTCCTGTGGAAAAAAAATACTTATATTTATATATTCATCATTCATTTCTTTTATTTTCCTTCTTCTTCATACTGTATGGCTAATGATAACACATTCTTCACGCATCGTTCTATTTATAATTTACCTACAAAAAAATAAAATAAAATAAAGCATATACAGTAATACCGCAGGTTAATTTGAATGCAGATGTATAAATGTATGCATTGTGTACATGACGATGATGATATTGTGTCTATCTCTTCTTTTGAAAAAAGGTGGTTTCTTTGTGGAACCAAAAGGTGTGATTATTTGCACTTTGTCCATATGCTATCACATCCTTTGTATCATGTCACTGTTAATTGCTAGCATTTTTTTCTTCTAATTAGCATTTTAGTGGACTAAGAACTTATTAAAACCTTACCTGAATTTGGTCATATGTTAAAATTTTGCTTTACGTATTGCGTTACGTTTACGTATTTCGTTACGCATTTTATTACGTATGAATGAGTTACGTTTACGTTTACGCAAAGAAACTTAAGCAAATGAAATGTTTAAAGAAAACGTTTGATAAGTCAGTCCAATGAATTGAGCCAGACAAGCTTTCCTTCCAAACACCTGCAATGATTTTCATATTATTTCTTTTGCGGAGGAGAAGATAAAGCTTTATTTAAATAATTAAACACCTTAGCTATGTGTGTAAACACATTAAGTAGACGATAACGCTATTTTTTTCGGCATGAACTAAAGATAACAATGAACTGCGAGTGAATTGTGCTGCGATGATTCATTTTACTTTTTGCAATAGCTTAAACATTTAATTTTGTGACTTTCAAAAAAAATCAGCTTGAGTTGTGAATGTCACGAACAGTTGAATATTTTATATTAATGTAGGCACATATTAATCATCTCTGGAAAAAAGTGTGTTTCTTCCGTCCTAAATAAACAAAGGAGACAGAGGAGAGAGAATAAAATATCTTACTTATCGCAGTTGTCGTCGTCTTTTACTTCTTATTCTTAAATGTCACATATTTGTATTACGTATGAATGAGAACAAGGTGTTTTTTCATGCCTTTATGGCTGAATATTTCTTCTATCATTCCACAAATACTTTGTCAATTCTCATTAATGCATCGCATTCATGGTTATGTTCTATGTGGTTTATTACTCTCTCTGTACTCGTTTCATAACATTTTGAGGTTTTATGTCATGCATGATAATGACTAACATTCATTTATTCATTCTTGCATTAGCATTCCTTCATCTGTGATCATAAAAATAATATGTATGAACTATGTTGCAAGGTACATAGAACATAAAAGTCTTGAATGATGAATATGAAAAAATTTGAGGAAAGTTGAACAGCATTAAAATGGAAATTAGACTAGTTCCGACATAAATTTAGAATATCTTTCAAAAAATAAAGTATCCCCAAAATTGTCACTTCCATTTTAATGTTGCCAGCCACGGTGTTTGCTATAAAATCAGTGAATATTTTTTTTATCATTTGGTATCATTTTTATATTATTTGTAAGTGGAAATATAACACAAATTGAGCAAATCGGATGAAAAGTTGAAAAAAGGTGAAAAAGTGAAGCACAAAATTTATTTTTCAAAATTTCATTAACACACCAAAAAAAAATTCTGCAAGGCAATAAAAAAACTTTTAAGGGATAAAGAAATAATTTGCAGTCACATCATTTTCTATTTTATAAGACAAAAAATTTATGCACAATGAATTAAATTATGTTGGCAAAATTTTATATCTTTATGTGTAATTGAAAGGTCAATATCAGCTGGTAATTCTGGGTCCAATTAAACATTTAAATTCCCAGGATTTCAACTGATATCAACTTTCTGATTACATTCTCATTATCACAACCCACCACCACAAAAAAAATTATAAATCTACACACTCTGCATTTTTTGATAAGCAAATTCAAAGGATTATAAAACATTTCAGGTTGACCATTATTTTCATCACCCATAAAATTGGTATTTTACTTGACTAATACTCAATTTATTTTTGATTTTTATAAACTTAATATTGTCTAATTTGGTTATGGATATGCTTATTATGCTTGATATTTTTGATTATGATTTTTTGAGTAGTGCATGAACATGCTTAATGATTTTTTATGCTTTATTTTAATCTTGATTTAATTGAAATTGAATTAATTCTCTTGCATCTATTGATTGTTACTAAAATTTTCTGATAATGATTCTTATTGACTGGAATAGCATAAGACTAATTTCCTGCATAACGTAGATATCAAATTTAAAATCTTCTAGAACAATATAAATTCTTAGCATATTTGAAAACATTTGTAAGGTTTTGAAACGTGTTTGACATTTGTATGGGATTCAAGGCATTCAGGAACTTTTTGAAATCTTCTTTGTCTTTAAACCTTAATCCTGTAATTATTTTTTCTTTTTTTTTGATTAACATCATTACTTAATATTATTTTGTAGACAAGAACCTTTAAGTTTTTGACAATGAAACAGTAAATTCAGAATTTCCTAAGCTGTTTTAAGTTTTGATCTAATGCAATCTAGACTATTATTAACATATAAAAAATTAGGATCTGACAAGTTAAATATACCAATTAGATTTTGTAGCTTATTAATCTCATAAAATTTTACTACTAAATTAGAACTTTAAGTCTTGAATAACAAATTAACATTGACATTTTATAGAACACAATTTTGTTAAACATGCTATAACTCATGTAGATTGTGCATTATAACCGCATGCATTTGCTATTAATATTTTTTCTTTATTGTTGTGTTTGAAATTTTTCATGACACATGAATTCTATTATTATTTATTTTTTAAAGAAGAAGAAGTATGATTTTCCTGCATATTGTGAATTATTATTATTTATTTCATTTTTATTTTTTCTTAATTAGTTTTTCTTATTATATTTTTACATTATCAGCTCAGCCGCAAACGTGTTCATGGGGAAATCTCAAATTGTAACTGTGGGATAATAAAATTGTAAATTCATAGTTTAAAAATGAATTTCAATTTGAATGCATTTTACGAGAGCCCACGGTGCAAAATGAGGTTGCCCTATGCATGTTATAGTCGTCCTTGATGTTGTAATATTTTTTAATTATTTTGCCTGATTTTTGCGATAATTCTTTAATGCCATTTTATTTTTTGTGAGAATTCCATTCCATGTCTCGTTTCAGAGGATTTTTAAAGAAAGAAGAAGCAGTGAGTTGATGACATTTTCATGATGAGTATTTCACAGGTACTGGCCTTTTAAAATTATTTCTAACGACAGTGCTTTGGTAATACTCTTCTTGAGGATTGTTGGAATCATCGATCTCAACCAAGTGTTATGTGCAGTTTCACATTCAACCCGAAAACTCCCCTGCAACTCAATTTCTAGTTATTCTTATCAATTTTTATTTACTTTCTGTTCATTTTCTTATCAATGTCATAACAACTTTCTTCTTTTTTTGTCCTCCATTTTCATTCCAGTTAAATCATATCAAGACACGATCCAATCGTTGAAGAATCAACTTGAAACGAGCAATGCCAACACGAGTAATGCTGATATTGACTTGATAAAAAATTTAATTGTCGGATATGTAACAGCGCCGAATGCAACAGCAAAGAATCAAATTCTAAAGCTTATATCTAGTGTTCTAAATCTCAGTGAAGCTGAATGTGTAAGAATTGGCTTAAAAAGCATAAATACAGGCGGTGGATGGTTCTCGAGATCATCAAATGATAATATTAACAACAATGTCAGCATAACGGAAGCTTTCGTGGCATTTTTAGAGAAGGAATCACAGCCTAGAGTGAATGCAAATTTATTGACAATTCATGAGAATGATACAACGACAGCGACAAGAAAGTCCTCAACAAGTAGTAATAGTGGAATCGATATGTCTGGAAGTAATGCAAATTCAAGTCCTGAAAATCCAGCACCTATACTTTTAGGCGAGAATACACTGTTAACGTCTTATAATAGCCGCAATAGTTCTTCAATTCTCAAAAATATTCTGCATGATGAAACATGATTTTCATTTTATTAAAAAAAATTAATTTAATATTTTTGTATGCCTTTTTCCACATTTTCGATGTATATTTTTCTATTTCCCTTTTTTACCTTTTTTTTTTATTAAAGTATCTCCATAAATGTTTGTTTTTAATGATATAATTAATGTATTATAAAAATTAAGGAGTCAACTGCTTATGACATCCAATCAGGGGCGTAGCCAAGGGGGGGCCATAGGGGGCCCGGGCCCCCCCCTACGAAAATCTGATAATTGTTTTATTAAGTTTTTATAGAGAAGAACCAGTTAATGTAGAGGAAGTGATGAAAGAAATTTCAAAATCACCACGAAAAATTAAATTTAATGTATGAATAATGAATTAAATATTTAAACTTATGAAGAATGAATATAGATTTAAGGATACAAAATAACGGTTTTTTAATTTTCGAAAATGGGCCCCCCCCTTAAAAATTTTCTGGCTACGCCCCTGCATCCAATGATTTATGATGATGATCCAAGATGCATAAATTGCTATTACTGATTAACGTACAAATAAAGTTCAAATTTATTTCAAAACCATACAAATTACAGCTAAATTAGTAAAACATTTGTACGGTTTTGAAGCATTTAACAGCTTTTGTAAGGTTCTCAGAAAGTTTAATTTATGCATCTTAATTTAAGAAATTCAATGCATCTGAAATTGCATTTAAAACAGTTTTCAAAAGACTAAAAATCTTCTTTTTGTCACAAATAATCGTATTCTTTCCTTAAAAAAAGATTTAAAGTAAATAACTTATCGCTCCCAATTTAGATTTAATTTTGTGCCAAGCAGCACAAAAAAAACTTGTTAAAGTCACCTTCTTAGTGAAAATCAGATATTTAACTTAATTCGTAAGATTTTTCTCTGCAAGAATCGTAAGGAAAAAATAAACAAAAAAATGATATTTCTGTAGATGAAAAGATGAAAAGTAAGAAAAGAAAAGATTTTAAATTTGTATATTTAGCAATGCATAAATTTTAATAAAAAAAAAAAAATACTTAAATATCTAGTGTTACATACTTTTTTTTTATCAACAATCAAACATAAAGAGAAAATGATGGAACATATTTATATTACAAATACAGTATAAATCTTCTCATTGAATGCAACAAGGGTAAAAACACATGATAACACAATAGATACTATTTCCGTTACGTCTTTCGAGTCCATCTTTATTAACATCGACATCATTCGATTGGTCCTTTGACTTTTTGAAAGGCAAATATCATATACAAAGCTGTAAAATAAATTAAAATCCATTAATTCCTGAAATATTTTGAAATTAACCCAATTGAGACTTACAAGCTACTTCCCATTCGGATGCTGAAAGAGTCCCACATTTCTTTCGATTGTCATATCCGCCTTTTTGAAGAAGAAAGTCTTTCGCATGCTTATATTCTTCCTCGTTGGACCTTGTTAAATTTCTATTTCCATTTAATCCGTATCTTTCGACAGCCTGCATCTTTTCAATCAGTGAGCGTCCTCTGCCAATCTTTTTCGGAAAATAGTCTTCAAATCGAACAGCTTCGATTAATTTCAATGAGAATTTTTTTGCGAGCTTAACAAATGACGGGAAATGAACGAGAAATTCTGGACAGTCGACAACTCCATCGAGACCAAAATTATATTTAGATCCAAAAATAGGAAGATCATTGGAATCAGATATGAACTTAATCTGAAAAATGTCATTTCCAAAAGAGTCTGTTTGTGCGGCACGTTGCCTTTTAATTATGTCTTTGGCATCAGGAATCGTTCCAATAAAATAGCCACCAACTCGTAAGCATTCAGAGACATTTTTAAGCATCATTTCAGCTTGTTTTGGTGATTCGAAGCAGTAATGAAACGCAAATTGACAACTTACTAAATTCAGTTCAATTGATGGATCACTGAGAAAAAGACATCGTACATAAGTTATCAATGGACCTTGTATGCAAATTAGTATGTAATACTTACGAATAGCGTTCTCTTAATCGATCTCTAGTTGAGTCAGCAGTAAAAAACTCTGCATGAAATGATTTTCTGTCTGGTGGATCATTGTTGGTGATCTTTTCATAACGAGCACGACACTGCTCTATACTAATACTGGCTATGTCTGTACATATAAGATATGTAATGTTCCCTTTTTGCCATTTTAATAAATCACCGCCTTTTCCACAACACATATCCAAAACTCGCAACGGAGAGCCAAATCGAATAGAGTCCTTGATCTTTTCTAGATAGTCACTAATGAGCATACTAGAATTTGAAGAAATAAATGAGTAAACAGTAATGGATGTCTTTATTAACTTTATTTACCTTTTGACCCAATTATTGAAATTTCTAAGATAAAAGATTTTAGAATTGAACCTTTCAGCAAGTCCTTTTTCTTGGAGCTGATTATAATGCTTGGCGACAACAGAAGAATTGTCATAATTAGAGTTTTGTGAGCTGCCTCCTTCCTCTTCTTCCTCGTTATTTTCCAAATCGTCATATTTTCTCTTTATTCCTTGACTTCCCGACTGTTCTGAATATTCGTCTATAAGCTCTTCATCACTGACAACATTTTGAGTGTCCATTTAAACTGATATCATGTGTTTTTACTGCTAAATTTAATTAAATTTATAAAAATGAAACTTTTGTATCGGCGTAAACTTTAAGAAAAGAAATCTTTGCATTTGAATTTTAAAAAATCGTTGAATAAATTAAGTTTAATGATCTTAAATAGAGTTGAATAGTTTAATAAATTGAAAGGTTTGCTAGCTGCAACTCTTTAAATACAAATTTCATTCAACAAAAAGGTTCTTCTTTCATCAAGATATTTAAAAACAATTTCAAAATAATTCAAAGAATGATCAGCAAATTTTGTGAATTAACATTCGAATGTGAATCCATTCAGTCTATCTAGATGTTTAAATTGTCTAGAGATGTGAGTATGAAATATAAACCCTACCTGTCTATAAATGGACCATAATAAACCAAACAACACACTTAACATGAATACAACATAAATGAAAATAACTTTAACAGCTATTGTGTCTTTAAACATGTACGGTCAGTTCCTAAAAAGTCATTTATACCATTAGACGATTCCGTCAGTTAAAAGAAAGAGAGAAAAAAAAATAATAAAATTAATAAAAAGGGTCTTGCGAAACATCTTAATAATTTTAAATATTGTGAAATTAATTCTATCGATAGCATAATTTTAAAAATGGATACAAACTTATTAGGTATGTTGAGGAAAGAAGAAAATATTAGAAATTTTCCATTTTCTCCATTTTCCCATTTTTTTTTTATTGAAAGAAGAAAATATTTTCAAAATTTAATTATCTTATCAAAAAAAATCAGTGACTTATATGCTACCTTCAAGTATTTCAGTAGCTATTGCTAGTAGACTATTGCATAATTAATAAAGTATTATGTGATCCAGTAAAATGAAATAAGAGAATAATTTTTCTTTAGTGGCTAATATATACAGCATAGAAGTGAGAATAATAATAATAATTGTTTTCTTAATTCCTTTACACAACAGTTGGCTTCAAAAGGAAATGAGTTTAAGTTCATGGAATTGTTGTTTCTATTGGTGTGATTTAAAGCAGCAGCAAGATAGAATGGGGGCAACAATTTCGTCAGATTTGGCACAAGGCACTCAATCTTCAAATTTAGTGCGAGAACGTGAAAGGCGTAAAAAAGTGACTGGCTTTACAACATTAAAGAAAAAACTTATAAGTCGTCGGAGACGCTCTTCCAAACATGATCATGGAAGAATTTTGAGAGAATTTGTATCAAATTGGTCACCGGCAGAGCTCTTTTCATTATTGGAGGAGTATGAGGCTCTATCAGCACTCAAAGATTTATCAATGCAGGCAGAATTGGCTCGTCCACCTGCGACTACGTTTAAGCAAGATTTGTCAACACTATACGATTGCAAGTTGTGTACAGACTGTGATTTAGTTTTTCGTGGAAACGTTTTTCCTGTCCATCGTGCATTACTATCATGTAAGTCTAGACTTGACTGCCGTATACTTAATAATTTAATAATTTTTATTTGTTTATAGCACGATGTCCATACTTTCGAGATTTATTAGCTGGATGTCCAGGCTACGGTGCACGAATAATGTTGGAATTGGAATTGAGGTCTTCCCCGATAGATGTTCAAATATTTTCATCACTTCTTCGGTATCTATACACGGGTGATTTGTGTCAGCATGATCCAACAATTGATGTAAATGTTTTGAGACGATTAGGTGAAGATTTTGGAACTCCAAACCCATTAGAACATGATTTGAGATATTTATTAGAGACGGGTGATTATGCAGATGCAGCACTTGTGTTCACATCGGAAGCATCAAGTAGTAATTCAAATAGTGGCGAATGTCAACGACCTGATTCTGGAAGTTCAGAATATGGATTTAGACCGAAATTGGAGTTGCCTTGTCACAAGGCAATTTTGAGTGCTCGATCACCATTTTTCCGAAGCATGATTCAACGAAGATTGAGGAGTATTGAGGAACAAAATGATCGAGCAATTCCAACAAGAATAGTTCTTGACGAATCTGTGATTCCAAAACGATATGCCCGCGTTTTGTTGCATGCAATATATTTAGATACTGTAGATCTATCGCTAATAATTCGAGGCGGTGCTACTCACGGAAGTTTAAGTGAAGCTGCAAGTGCTGGGACTTCATCTGCATCCTCGTCGTCGTCAAATCGACAAAGAGGAAGTCCATTAGAAGAGGCTATGGAACTTTATCAAATTGGTAGATTTTTAGAATTGGATATATTATCACAAGGGTGCGAAGATTTAATTCTCGAATGGTTGACTCTCGAATCACTGCCAATGGTGTTAAAATGGGGAGGACAGGCACACGGTTCATCGTGGGTTTATCGACAAGCATGTCATTATTTACGTGAAGAATTCTCTGCGATTGCTGTGTCACCAATTTTACACCAACTAGAAAAATCACAATTAATTGATGCATTTCAAAGTAACTTCCTTCAAGCATCTGAGCTGGAAATTCTTGGTGCCGTTTTACGTTGGGGTGAGCAAGAATTAATACGTCGGATGGAGGATCGAGAACCGAATCTTTTATCACATACGGCACACTCGGTGACTAGAAAAGGAATAAAGAAGAGAGATTTAAGTGATATAGAATTGCGTGAAATATTAAGTGAATTATTGCCACACGTTAGAATGGATCATGTTTTGCCTCCAAACAATGAGACTCTTCATTCGGCTATCAGACGAGGCTTAGTCTCAACACCCCCTTCACACATGATTGGCGACGATCGAGAAAATCTCCGAATAAATGCATGGATTCGTGGCGGTAAGAATCATGGTTTATTTGTTCGACCACGTCTCTTTATGCCGTATTATGATGAAGTAAAATCACTATTAGAGGATCAATCTCAACAAATAGAATTACTTAGATTAAGACGATCACGACATTATCCTGATATTCCAGACACTCTTTATATGGTTTCACGTTTAAATCGTTGTAGTGTTGGAAATGTTAGTAGCAGTAGTAATGATCTCCTTTTAGCGACACCACCAACGACACAACTCGATGTTGTTACGAGTACATCATCAATTCCTGCACCTGATCCACCAGCTTTTGAGGCAATGCAGAAAAGGGAACAAAAATTAAGACAAACTCCAATGTGCCAGCGTGCTTTAGCTCTTACATTATCATCGAAACATGAGATTTATCGACAAATTCGTTTACGTGTTGTACGAGAATTCAATTTTCCCGATGAAGTAGCCATTCTATTGGAGAATTCTGTTAGTTGTTTTTGCAATGATGATTTAAATAAGATTGATGATGATTCCGTTGATGAGGAAATTGTCACGGGACCATCATCGCCAATGGCATCGAATGAAAATATCCCAGAGTCATTATCGAATCATTATGGCAGTAGTAATATGACATTCCGTCAACAGCAAGGAACACCACAACCTCATCAAAATTCAGGCACTTCTTTTCGACTTCCTTCGCTCGTGACAGAAGGAGGTGATGCTGAAGGAGCATCGTGCGTAGACGGTGGACACATTTCAATGATTATGCCTGACGTTACAGCTTCCCTTGGACAAATACAATTAGATACGGGAAGTACTAGTGAAAATATTGATGGATTACATTTAGATTTAGGCGATGGATCAAGTCATATAGTATCAACACAGCCAAGACCAGCACAATCGATGCTCTTATATGGTGCACATTCAAGTTTCATGCCAACGCAACAAGCAAGATTATCATCTTCAGTTGGAAATTATCATCATTATATGACGCGCTATATGCAAGCTGGATCATCAAATCAACCTCCACCTTTACCAAATTCCCCGCTTGCACACGCCGCATCTTCATCGCAAATTCAAATGCATCATTTATCAAATCAAGTGCCATCAAATCCACAATTTATTCCGCAACAACAGCAACAACAACAACAGCAGCAAAATCGCCGTGCCGAAAGTAGCACAAGTAGTAATTTTAGGGCATCATCGAGTCACAGTCACTCGAGTTCATTTTTATAGAATGATTATCATAATATTAATTAAAATTATTAATTGATTTATTGTGGTAAGTATTAACATTAAGCGGCAATCGACAGACAACAAAAATGCTATCCCCACTTTTTAATTTTTTGTTTTATAATTTTTATTGACGATAAGAGAGACAGAAATATGAAAAATCTCGTAATTATGAATATACCACCCATGATGGCTTTTTTAATTTTTTTCTCTTAATCAAGATTTTTATAGATTATTTTATCTCTTTTATAATTGTATTATTAAGCAATTTAATCGATTTTCATATTTTAAAGTCTCCAAAATCGTTTGATACGATTTTTAATTGATTTTGATTTTTTGACAATGATAATAATTTTATTTTGCTGAAAATGCGGCTTCAAATGTTCACTTAATTAGGAAAGTGTTGTATCAAGTTGTGACGATAGATATCCTCTGAATAGTCAATAATAAGTGGCTGTTAAAAAATGACATTACAAAAGGGGTCTAAAGAAGTTTTAAAACAATGAAACTTCTTGAATTTTAAGCTGTCAAGTTTGGATCTCATTTATCTATGAACACGATCCTTAGACTCAATTTTTATCTTGAGAATCAGATTAGGTCTTATTATTTCTTTATCACAAGTTTTCTGTTGATTGAACAGCTGTTAAGTCAAAAGATTCGATTCAATCTAAAGATTTTGATCAGAAAATTCAATACGAATCCAATATTATCGGAAGATTTTATAGAACACAAAACAATTTTTGATTGATTAATTATAATTTTTTTGATTCGTTCATTCACTTATAGAGTCCATCATAAGTGACAACTCAATTTAAAAGAAAATTGTTACAAAAATGGATTGAAGTCTATAAATTCATTTGTAAATGAATCTTTAATAAAATCTAATGTTTAAGGAAAGTTTAAGGCATAGAACAACATAAGATTGAAATCAATTAAATTACTGAGGATAGTTTAAAGTCACATACTTGAAAAACACTAAAAGATTACTACAGATCGGTTTGATTAAAGTAGCGTAAAGAATTCTTGGTGACTATTTTACATGTTTTATGTTCCATTCCAAAATTAAAGATTTAAAAATACGAGAAATTAATAATATTGTTACGAACAACAAAAAACAATAATTGACAATTTTTAAATAAGAAAAAAAAAAAAATAATAAATTAAAAAAACAAATAATTATAAATAAAAGAATATTCCGTAGTTGTACCAAATTCTCGTAATATCCAATTTAATGATCCTATCAAGAAAAAGAAAAAAAAATTAAATGATATAAAAATTGAAGAAAAAAAAGGAAAATAATTAGATTAATGAAAAAATAAAAGATATATAGGATTTATATAGAAGGTAGATAATTAATAATTTCTATGAGAGTACCACTGAGAAGAAAAAGTAAATGATTTATGAACAAATATCATCAAGACTCGAACACTTGAGAGTGATTTCAACTAGTACTAGCTATTTGGAGTTGCTGTCAATTGTCCTGCCTTGAATATCATGAAAAGAAGAAAAATTCGGTTTTTAAAAAATGACAAAAAAAAGAAGAAAAAAAATTTAACTTTAATGAAGATATATTTATTTTTCATATATATACATTTATCGCTAGACTTGTTCTTCATAGCATCTTACTGCAAAGCATTATAAAAAAAACCTTGAATAATACCGAGAAAAGAAAATTGATATTTGAGCATTTAATTTATGACAAATCAGAGAATGCTAATGAGGAATGATTTATGCTCGTGTTCTTAATTTATAATTTGACACCTACATAGCAACTGCCTCAATTATCAATTTCTCAATAGAACCGACAAATCACAACAAAAAAACATTTCGTTCAAAACAAATGAGAAATTTAATTACATTAATTTTATTAGAGATCCAGAAAGAAATATTTTTTCCCTCCCAAACTTAAAGTAACGAAAGAATGAACGATAATTGAATGCAAATTTATATATATCTTGTATATATGCACTTTGTCCATTACGAATATGTTTGAATTCTATTTTTCATATTTTATTAAATAATTAAACATATTTAAAACAACAAAAAGTAAAAATAGATGTGCTTTTCAAGTGAATATGAAGACGATGGAGGTAGACGAAGGAAATGCTATTGTGTCGTGATGTAAATAAATATAATCTGAAAAAAATGTCTAATTTAATCGAGTGAATATGAATAAAAAGTATAATTAAATTTATTTCAAAAATCAATGCTCGTGTTTTATTTGACTTGCTTTTATAGCTATGCGACAGATTATTTTAGTCATTCTAGCTCTCAATGGGATTGATATCTTTTGCGTCACTATAATTTATTGGGTGTTTAATCAAGGACATTTGATGATGAATAGCCTGAATTTATCTTCGTGAACAACCCTCATCAATTGTCATTCGATTATCGATATCCTTCCTATTCAGTTCTTTTTCTGCAAAGTGATACAAACATATTTAGTCGATTAATTTTGACGCAATGAAACTTTTAATATAGAAATTTATATGCTTTATGTTCAGGACAATTTATAATCCTTACAGAAGTTCATATAGTTGGGATTGTCAGTCATCATTATTTGGCGTATTTATAATTTAATGAAATGAGTAATGTGTTTACTTACTTAATATGTTCTCGTACATCTTTTTTGGTCTTCCAGCACGAAAATGTCTTTATGGAGCTATAAAAAACGGGAGCAAAGGAAACTTCTTGGTAAATTATCTTTTCAATAAGAACGATATCATTAATCTTTATTATATCTAAGCAAGCTCATCATGATGTGAGCAGTACTGAATGCTCTGAAATCGTGTTTTTTGAGTGATTCGAAGAAATACGGATTTCGCATGCTACATAAAGATTTTGGTACGTACCAAAATCAAACTACGTACGTATCTTTACGCAGCATACGAAAAAGATCCAATTTTTCAATCGCTCAAAAAACATTTTGATCTGAGCATTAAGTCCTGCTCACATCCTATTGAGACTGCTTATAGTGTCAGCGAGGTGCATGGTAAGGGCAAAATCATCTAATAAATCATTGATTATATAAGGTACCTTTTGTCATCATTATAAATATCATTAATGTAATTATTTTTTGGCTGTTTAACTCACATTTAAATCCGGTTTACAGCTCCATCTATTCTAGCTTGCCACACATCATGTACATGCTTTATTCTGTAAGAAAAAGTTCATTTTAATCCTGTATCTTTCAAATCTTTAATTAACAAGTAATTTAAGTATAAAGTAATCAGATAGTGGTGCATAGGAGATAATAATCATTATATTTCATTGATAAATGAGTTCCATTTTCTCATCAATTAAGGAATTCAGTAAAATTAAGTGAAAAGTATAACTCACGTTTTCATGGGTTAGGTTAATTATGTTAATTCAACAATTTCCTATCATCCTTCATGTTTTTCCATGATTTTTCTCGTAGATCCAGTTAGTTCAACTGCTTAGTTCACTTTCAACTCATTTTGAAACAGTTTAATTAACTTAATTCACTTTTATTTGATTAGTTCTTAGCACTAGCATGTGAACTCTTTGAAGGCTAGATTGAAAAGAAGGAACGAAGAACTGACACAATACAAAGTTAATGCTGTGACAATCCAAATCCCAAGAAAAAACTACATACTCAAAATATTCCCGCTTATTTTTTCGGTCAACAAACTTATTCTTCAAAATTAATTAATTAAAATGGGAATTACGGGATTACTTCAAATGGTTGAATCATGCACAGAGCCCTCAACAGTCTATACCTTACAAGGCAGAACTGTGGCAGTTGATTCATATTGGCTATTGCATAAAGGAAGTTATTCATGTTCAGACAAGTTGGTAAGGCTTAAAAATACTATTAAAGTGAATTAAACTAATGAGCTATGACTTCCAGGTGAGAGGAATAAAGACCACGAAAATGCTAGATTATGTTATGAAATATGTTAAGCTGCTTTTATCTACGTGTTCTAATGTCATTATGGTTTTTGACGGCAGATCATTGCCAGCCAAAAAGGAAACGGAACTAAAGAGACGAGAGAATCGAGAAAAGGCAAAATTAAAAGCTGATGAATTAGCAAAGAATGGACGACATGATGAAGCAAAGAAGGAATTTGATAAAGCTGTTGTAATAACACACGAACATGCACTGGAACTAATGGAAGAATGTCGGCGCTATAATGTCGATTGTATCGTTGCTATGTACGAAGCTGATTCACAGCTGGCTTACTTAAATAAGATTGGACTTGCTGAATATATAATATCTGAAGATAGCGATTTAATACTTTTTGGATGTAAGAAAATCGTCTACAAATTGACTCTTGACGGAAAATGTGTCCTTTTTGACAGTGACAAGCTTCATAATTTATTCCCAAAATACTCGTTTGAGAAATTTAAACGAATATGCATTTTATCTGGATGTGACTATGTTAATAATTTACCTGGAATTGGCTTGCAAAAAGCTAAAAAGTTTATATGCATGACTGCAGAAACAGACATGAAAAAGGCAATTCCGAAAATTCCTTCATACATGAATCTCAAAATTACTATACCTGACAATTATATTGACGAATTCTTAAAAGCTGAAATGACATTTAAGTATATGTATGTTTATGATCCAATAAAACGAGCAATGACTAGATTAAATGAATTAATGGACGATGAGGATAAGCAGTATTGTGTAAATGCTGGAGAGCTAATGAAACCTGATGTAGCATATCAAATCGCATTAGGCAATATAAATCCAAAGACATTGCAAAAAGTTAGTGACTATGATCCACAAAAGGCACTGCCACGATCACTCAAGAGACCTCCAATTCAAAATACAAAGTATAAGCCACTCTTTCGTATATGGGATTATGATGGACATCATGAAACTGCTAGTAAAGTTCGACAACAGAGTAAAATCACATTTGTGCCTGTAAAGTTTAAAAATAGCAGTTCTGAAGTGTCCAAAATAGCTGAAGAAGAAAATAAAGTCGAGGGTCAAATTGAAATGGATAGCTTAATATCAGCATATTGTGGGACAGAGATAGCCACTCCTTCTAAACCTACTATGAAAAGAACAAGCTCAGTATTAAACGATGATCTTAATACTTTAGTTCCTTCATCACCAAATAATCCGTTCGCAAAACGACAATCTTTGGAAAGTAAGGAAAAGGCTGATAATGTGTCACTCATAAAAGTTCTTTCATCAAAAGATAAAACAGCAAGCAGTTTTGAAGAAAGTCGAGTAGTGAGTAGATTTTTTGGCCACAAATCTATACAAGAACTTGAAGATCCAAAAGAAATAATTGAAAGAATAGAAACTACTAAAATTAAACGAGAGCAAGAAATTCAGGAACGATTAGAAGCTAATAGACGATTTTACAACACATTCAAAAATGTTCCAAAAGAGAATCAAAGTGACGACGAAGATGACAGCACTTCCACAAAAAGTCCTTTAAATCAAATAAAGGAGAAGTATGAGATTCAATCAAATCTCATGTCTAAATCAACTAGTGTCAATAGTATTAACAGTGAAGATGAAGATTATACACATGATGCACAACCTATAGACCTAGAACTTGAGATAATCGAGAAGGATGACGATGAAATTTCAATTCCATCACAAAATACTGCCTCACAAAGCATTAAACTGAAAGCACCAAATCGTACAAGTAATAAATCGACTGCCACAAAAAAAATGAAAGTTAAATCTACCTCAATTGACTTGTCTACCCAGCATAAATTAAGTAGATTTGGATTCACAACTTCGAATAGAAATGTCATGTAAAATACGTTAAAATAAAAATTCAAATTTCTTTTAAAAATGTAAAAGTTTTTTCAGCCAGGAAGTTTCTTTTTTTGTTGATAAACATTCAAGAGTTAGTGCTGTCGTAAAGATCTTAGTAATAGGAATGTTCTTGATTGCTGAATTAAAATCTACAGTTAAAGTACATCCTTCACAATTCAATAAAAGTCTCGCTGATGTCAGTAAATATGAGTTGAATAAGAAATTAGCTAATAAGATTCTTCATAATGTTGGTTTATGCATCAGTTTCCGTGAGATTTTAAGCTTTCATGATTCTTGTATATTGCCCGCGGATGGTAAGTTAATTATCCATAATAATACTCATTTATTAATCAATTGACATTTTAGGATCATCTCATACAGACGTGATTTTTAGATACATCGTATTTAGACCTGAAATTGGAAGCTTATTAACCGGTAAAATTAAGAACTGTACAAGAGACGGTGTGTTCGTGACATTGGGATTCTTTGACGACATTTTTATCCCAAAAGGTAAGCCACAATAATCATTACTAATTTTAATCCTCAATACCTGAATCTTTGATTTGCTAGACGAATTACAGCATCCGTCAAGATTCGAGGAAACGGAACAAGCTTGGGTTTGGGAGTATCCAATAGACGAAGGTCAAGCAAAGCATGATCTATTTATGGATGTTGGAGAAACTGTTAAATTTAGAGTGATTGATGAAGAATTTGTAGAATCGGAACCAACTGGACCACCGGAAAAAAATGAAGCATCAACATCTAAACAAAGTACAGCAAATGACACAAATTTCAGACCACCTTATAGAATTATTGGTGCCATTAATGAGAGTGGTTTAGGACTGGAATCATGGTGGACGCAAAATGACGGGAATGGAACTATGGACGATGAGGAAGAGGAAGAAGAAGACGCTTAAAGAATATATATTTTAATTTTATACAGAAATTAAGCTTTATTGAATTAAAAATAAATCATTAACATTAAGTCCAAAAGAGAATTGTTACAGCCATTAGTAGACATGCCACAGACACATACGGTGATTTTCGTTCTCCGATTCGAGCTAATTTCCAGAATGTTCCCAACATCCTAAAATCAGTCAAGAATGTAGTTTAATTAAATTATACATACATCAGATTAATGTTTTTTACTACTCACCCTGTTTTGTTTCTATCGAGTAATGATGGAAATAGAGACCTTAAATAAGCACAAGTGCAAATGAGAAGTAGAATAACTGATAGAAGACTTTGAAAGTTAAATAATGCACTCTGAAAATGATGAAATATTAGCTTGGGAAGTAAGTTAAATTAAATTTTCTATACCATCTTTCAAACTTGACTTGTTGGACTATACTGGATGTAATATTTAGTGTATAGACTATACTTTGTGTGATATTTTGGAGAAAGACTTTAAATTAAAACAATCAGGCACTGTGTTTCATAATTCACATCAAAAATTAATAATATAACAAATAATGCTGAATTTACTTAGAAAACTTAAGTATTTATCAAATAATTTAATTAAAGTCTCATTCAGTGAAAAGTATTTATTGACAACAAACTGCTTAATATCTGTTTCACTGTCTTCTGGTAACTTTTTAATGGCCCATGCTTATTTATTATTTGCGCATTAATAAATTAACTCTGCATTTTAGTCGGTGACATAATTGAGCAGAATTTAGAGATATACAGAAAGGAAATTCACAAATATGACATTATAAGGTCGCGAAACATGGCTGCTTCAGGATTAACTGTCGGCGTTTTTTGTCATTTCTGGTATAAAGTGTAAGTAGTCGATCTGTTTTAATTAATTTGCAGTTCAAGTTGATATAGATGTAAGGACTCGTGACTGTCGATTAAATTGCTAAGAACTTGGAAGAAATTAATGTGACATAATAATATATAGTCCAAGGTCATGCAACATGTTTACTTCCATTTCTTCGCATTATCTATAAATACTCACATGTTGTTTTTCGTACTTTGCAGTCTTGATAGTCGTATGCCGGGAAGAACGTTTAAAATGGTTATGAAAAAAGTACTTGTTGATCAAATGGTTGCAAGTCCAATTGTCATTGCCTTGTTTTTCGTGACACTAGGCTTAATGAAGAGAGAATCGATGAATGAGACAATGATTGAAATCAGAGAGAAGTTTGTCAGGCTTTACAAAGCTGAATGGGTATGTATAGCCGTTGTTTCATATATACATGGTATTAATATATGGTGTATTTTTAAAGGTTGTGTGGCCATTAGCACAAGTTGTCAACTTCTGGATTCTACCCTTAAAGTACCGAGTATTGTTTGATAACACAATTTCATTAGGATATGATGTCTATACCTCAATGATCATTAATGAACCAATTCCACACAAAGAATCGCAATTAACAATTTTACAGAAAGACCATAAGCAAATGATGCAATCCAACAGTTGACCTCGCCACAACATTAAGAACATGATTTAAAAGCAGAGAGACATGATTAATAAAGTACCTTAATTCAGATTTAAAATAATTTATATTTTATTAACTTTTTGGGTACATAAGCAAGTCAAAAATTTTGATCAATCTTGAAAAGAATGATGAGAAATAGAACCAAGTTTCTTACAGCTAATTTCCAGTTGTCTGGAACAGCAAAAGTAACGAGAATCTGCGTGAGTCGATGAATTTCGTGGCTAATGCAAACGAATATGATGGATGTTAAAATAATATTAAGAGTTGGAAATCCGGGAAGTAAAACTAAAACTCCATGACGATCAGCAGCTAGCCAAATGTGATGCATGCAAATGAACAGTTCCAATGAGATTTTTCCGAACCAACTGAAGAAAGTTGAAAATCGAGTTCGTAGAAATCCAGATATATTCCTCAATATTATGAAACTGACGATGGGAATAAAGACAACATATGGATGAATCTCTTCACAGTCCTGCTTATTCTTACAGAAAAAAGTAAATGTTGTATAAAATCCAATTCCAGCTATAGCTATTAAGGTCGATGAAAGTGAGATTCTTCTTGAGAATAAATTTCCGTGATTACTGTCATCAAATATGTTAAACTTCTGTGCCGCAATAAGAATTGATGAAAATATGATTCCATAAGCCGTTGAGTACCTGTCCAATTTAAATCTGTACCACCATTCATTCATTAAATCGTCAGTGCTCACAAATAATGCCCTCCATGCTCTCATTAAGAAGATCCTTTCGAAAAATACTTCCGACATATAAAGGATCGTAATCACACTTACTAAGCATATAAACTTAATGACTAAATATAAATATTGATAAGAATTGTTCTCGACAGTTTGTGCTGATATAAATGGTGGTAATGAGAATGTGATGTAAGTTATGCTGAACCAAAATGAGACGAGTGGTGCGAAAAAATAAAATTGGTATGGACGATTCATAGCAAAGCATAAAATTATCGTCATAAAGTTAATCCTAAACATGACAGTTATGTATCTTGAAATGCTATTATTTCCAGTAATCCAAAAATATGAAAAATGCTGATATCCAATGAGAAATAAAAACGTACTGATGAAAACTTTTGTCAGGAAATAAATTGGAATTGGAGTCGCTCCAGTCATGAAATAAACCAGCACTACAATAATCATAAATCCTTTCATTTCATCAGTTTGATCGCGATGCAAGACTCTCGTAAATTTGCTGTCTTCTGTGAAGAACAGCCCAAAAGCTGAGAGCCAAAATACAGGAATCCAAAATGAGAACTCCGAATAATATTTGTTCTCCTTCATGAAAAATGATGTACGGTCGCAAAGGAAGAAATAAACCATGATGATTCCTAGTATTCCAAGTGATTCAATTGCTTCACTGAATTTGTTTGATTGCATATTCACCTGAAGCAGGAACAAATAGTAAATGACTTAAGTACGTTAAATAATATTAAATAAGTAACAATTAATGCGTACGTAAAACGATGTATTAAAAAATACGTGCGTAAAATAACGTATTATAAAATACGTACGTAAAGTTACAAAAGACTTACGCGTCGAAAAAGCACAATGACATCCATGAACCATTTATTAACTTACCGGTTGATTTGTGTCTTGTTGCTGTAATGGCATATACAGTGTGTGTCCACGAAATCTCAAAACCCATCTCTTGAGCTTAAGTGCAATCATCAGAGTAGAACATACCAAAAATACTGAATACGTAATAATCTGAAGCATTGTATAATTTTCAGACGTACTGCAACAAGTGCCATCATTATAATTCATATTATCATTGCAGTAAATATTCAGCATAATTTGAATGTCATGCTTTAATGCAATTGGACCGAGTTTAACGCCATTCTGCATTTCATCTTGTAAACCAAGAGCAATTTGAGTGGAAGATCGCCAAATCTGAACATTTGAGTATTTTATAGTGTCTGAAATTATTCGATTGAAGTGATTTATGTCTGAATTAGTTATGCCTTTCCAGTCATATTGACGATCTGTTAAACTATCATCAATTGGATCTTGAAGTTTCCATAAAACTTTCGTTTGTTTCTTAACTAAATTGTCAATAGGTGTAATTAGCAATGTCAAGTTCTTGATAAACGATTTCTCGAGTTCCTTTGTATAATTTTCATTCCGTCCCTTTGGATTTAAATGGATGAATTTGGAGCTTACTATAATAAACTTTGGTGGATCAACGTCTTTCTCAAGATGTTCAAATTGATTAAGCATAGATTTGAGATCATATGTTGGAACATAATTAACTCTTAAACGTAGCTTAAAGTCTACATATTCGCGATTATTTGATGATTCGTTCTCACTCGTTTCTTTTGACTCTTTAAAATGAGTTATGAAGCCTTCATAAAGCTCTTTCAGTCTACTATCGCCCAAGAAGAGAAAGTTATTATCCTTTCCTAGAAACGCAATAAGTTTATTGCATCTTCGAGTATCTGACTGTGTATATTTATGAATCATACATCCAAAAGGTTGCCACTAAAATTCAATTGATTATTAGCACTGGATGTTATGCAATTTTATTGATAGTATACCTCTCGGTCCCCTTTAAACCGTCCAAGGTCCTCTAATATGAATTTACATGAATCATTGCCAAACTTTAGGTGAATTATAGAATGGTAAAGAATGAAAAAGAATGTAACAAGAAAACACAACTTTTTTGCCGATTGAACATTCAATTGAGCTATTATGTAATCGGCTTTTGATACTCGTTTATCTTCAGACATCCTTCATTGCATTTTAAACACTATGTTTGTATGAGATTGCCGTTAAACATTAGAATTAATTAATTTATTTTACTCCAACTTTAAATTATTCGCGTGACTTGTAAACAAAACCCAATTCAAAATTCAAAACACCGTTAATATTGGTTGATATTCTCAATTAGCTAATATATTTAAATGTATGTATATACATCGGTATCATCTGATCTATCTGCGTTGTGATTCATTCTATAATTATCATTTTTTGATTAACAAAATAAATTAAAATTATCAGCAAAAAAATTTTAAAACTTAAAGAATTTTGTTGCTGTGATTTTTGTACATCTAGAAATTTCCATTCACTAATTTATATAGATTCATGCTTAATTATCATCATTGGACATTAGCTGTTGATTTAAATGTTAAAGCTTTCACCACATCCACAAGTTCCTTTAATGTTTGGATTATTGAAAACGAATTCTGAAGCTAGTTTGGATTCAACGAAATCCATTTCTGTTCCTAAGAGACTTAATTGTGCCTTTTTGTCTATAATTATCCTCACACCATCCTGAAGTACTTCCTCATCCATTTTATCCTTTGTGGCTGTATAATCTAGAGTGTAAGACAGTCCATTACATCCTCTCTGCCTTACACCGATTTTTAATCCAATCTACAATAGAACAGATGAATTTAATAACGTAAATTAATTCTACATCGTTTAATTAACTTACAAACTCATTCTTTCCATCCAATAACTCCTTGACTCTTTGAACAGCTGATGGTGTCTAAAAATAAATAAATTAATTTATTTCGTATTATCTCGAAATTCACTATTTAAACTTAATAACATACTAAAGTAATGGCTGCACGCATTGGCATCAATCTTCGTTTAACAGCTCGAACTGTTGCTGTGGCGATAACTTTAGTCGACATACTTTAAATTTAATTAAATCTTGTCCTATTATGTTCTTCAAAATATTAAAATCCGAGGGGTTTTACACTTGCTTTGTTGTTGTTCCTTTTTTCAGAGTTTTATTTGGACGTAAAGTATTAAGGAATAGTCCGGAACAGTCAATGAAATCGATGGTGTTCAGTGTGTAAAATTAAAGGTAAGTACATGTATTATAATAATAAATTGAAGTTCTAATGAATATAATCTTTATAGGTATGTAAAATGACGTGTGAAAATCATAAGATAGAAATTAAGCATATTAATGAGAACTCCTGCGTCTCGAGAAAAATTATATTGATTATTGGAACTGTTAAAGATCCATGCGAACATCAGATTATTGAATTTTCTCATGATAACTCAGATATCGTTGAGCAATCAATATATAATGGAAATTTTAAGATCTTGCTGAGACTTATTGAAGATACAGCTAGCACTTTAAAGATAAAATATTGTCAAAGTGAATTGGATGTAAGTTTACTGCATAAGGCTATTGACCCAGTTATCTATGATGTAAAGCCTCTTTATATTGTTCCGAAAAATCATGATGGAAAATTTCAGTCTGACGATAATGCGGAAAATACTGCAGACGTTGCGATTAAAAAAATCGATTTAATGATGGAACTGTCGCAATGTGTATTTAGCACTAAAATTATTGAGTCTGAAAAGGAAGAAAGGTCATTCGCTCTAGAAAAGTGTGAAGTATTTGATAGCAATTTAGATGTTGAGGATGTAAGAAGCATGAATCAATTTAAGTTGTATGACAAAATTGCTGCTGAATTAATCGACAAATTTGGTGCTGAAGCTTTAAAAAGAAGAAAATTTGTAGGCTTTATAAGCTGTACCAGATTTTTAGGATTAGATCCTGATGAAGATTATAATTACGTAAATATTAAGAATAAGACTCAAGCAAGTCCATCGTTATCGACTGGATTTTTAGCACTTTTAGGAAACGGTAGTTTTTATGCACTGCCAAATGATATAAATGAAGTCATTGAAGCATTCCAGAACAAGAAAATTGTTAATGTCGCAAAATTACTTGATGACAGCAATTATAGACGTACTTATGGAGGTTGTTTTGCGACTTTTGTGGGGTCATTAATTCATGAAATGGGTCACATTTTTGATTTAGGCCATACAAATAGTGGATTAATGGGAACTGATATTGATTATGTTCATCGATTTTTCTTATGTCAATATTTTACTGAAGTCATGCCAAAAAGGAACATCTCAAACTGCCAGCAAATGAAAAAGGATGAAAGTATTTTGAGCAATAGAATAACTAAAATTAAGAAGAACGGAATTTACATGGAAAAATATCACGAACAGAAGAACAATGATTTAACATTTTTCGAGCCAAATTGCTTAATTACGCTAATGAATCATAAATGGTTTACACAGAATGTGTACGAAGATTTAATTGATTTTGATGAGGTTGAGAGAATAATCAATTCTAAACAGTCATTGCTCGTTCTCGTTGAAGTTCGTGAGTCGGAGAATAAGAACTCAATTTTAAGAAAATATTTTGATCTCAGAAATGATAAAATTAATCAATTCCAGCTACCAAATGACATAAAACTCGAAAATGCTGCAATATTTGCTATGAGTGACAATGGATCGATTTTAAGAAGAAATATCAACACGACATAATACACAAGATAGTATGACATCATCAAAACAGCTGATTAGTAAAGAATATATCGTTGATACATCTTGCTTCTTTTGTATTTTGTTCTCTTCTTATTCTGCTGTGTATTTACTTTTCGATAAAAGAATTAGTCATTAAACCTAGTTAAACAAAATAAGAACTGACATTTTAATAATTTAAAACAACAAAATAATTATATTTTGCAGTATTTAGAGATGTCTGCTCCTCGATTAAAATTGGCTGATTTAAAAGGCTTTCCAGAGAATGTTGAAGAAGATGGAAAAATTAAAACCGTCGAGTTCATCGATGCATCAAATGAAATAGTCGCTGTTATAGAAAAATTTGGTAAATTATTCACTCCAATTGTTATGGATATGAGAGGAAATTCAAGCCAATTATTTGACTTATATCAAAAGGACGTAAAAAATTGGGAGTTTATTGAAGACATGATTTTAACAGCTCCAGAGCTTAATTCTCGATCATGGTTATTGTGGCTTAAACGTGCTTTAGAATTGATAGAAAGATTTTTCTATTACGTCATTACTGATCCTAACATTATCGCTCAAAAGTCAGACAGTTTACAACCTATGATTGTTCGTGCTTATAATGAAGTTTTAAAGGTGAGTCATTGGATGCTGACAAATATTTTTATTGCATTTTCTGAACTTCAAACTGGTTTTTTTTGCTTTTCATGAATAAATTGCATATCTTCGTCGAGCACGATTTTAGAATTTCAATAGTGATCTGCTTCTTTTCAAGTTATAATCGTTAAAAACCTACCAAAAATCAAAAAATGTTCAGAAACACTATAAATGTTTTAACGTAATTTATATGGTTCTCGAATTCAAACATTTCAAAAACGTTATTTTACAAATTTTTTCTGACTGTTAAATTCTGATGTAATTTTGAAACATTTCAGCCTTATCATGGATTCTTGCTACAACAGACATTTTCTATGCTGAATAGATGGATACCCAATAGAAAAACACTATTAGGCGTTGACGAGTATTTTGAGGATAATATTAAGCACTTACAAATTTTAATGCCTAGAATGAGGAAGCACATTGACAAAGTTGATATCTTTTTAAAACAAAATGGATTTGACGATACTAGCAAAGTTTAACTTATTTATTAATATTATTCATCATCTGGAATTGCAGGTTCTTTTCGTGCAATGACTTTCGAATAATTATAAAGTTTAAAATCGATTGAATTAGAATCAAAAATAGTTGAGCTATCTGAGTTATTAATTGAATTTTATAAAAAGCTTCAAACAATGATATTGATAAATAAATGTGAATTGGAAGCTGGATGACAACGGATAAAATCAAAAATCCTGCTAAATCAAGAATCTAAAATAAAGTTTCAATCAATTTTTATAAAAATCTTTTTTATGCCTTGTTACTCACATCGCTGTTGATATTTCCAGAATATCCTGTATAAATTCGCACGACCTCAATAAATGTTGACACAACAATGCAGAAGCCAGCAAGCGTAAAGTTTATATTTGGATGCTTTTCAGACTGAAAATGATAACAATACCGAAAATGTGTAGGCAGACAATATTTTCTCGTGCTGAACAGTCCTTAAGAGGACTTGACTCAATTTTTACCTGATAGTAAAGCAAATAGTACGATGAAATGACCCAAATGAGAGATGTCCAAATATTCGAGAATAGAAATATTTGGTTAACTAATTTAAGTCTGTAATTTGAAATCTTTTCCTTCATTTTTTTCAATTTCTGTTTATTTAAAGCCTGACGATTTGGTTGCTAGGTAACGAAACATGCGATACCGCACAAAAACAAGACGTAGAGCATGTTGGGTTGTTGAGTAAACAGAAATGATGAGCATAGAGAATAAATTGAATTTTTAAAGGATATTATCTTCTTTGTATATCTGCTTTAATTATTTCTAAGCTTTTTAAAGAATTTTCGCATAATTTTCAAATCATTAAAATCTGATTTTAGAAAAGTTTTTAAAAAACAAGCCCAAGACTGCCCAATCTTGATGACTCAGATCCCAAAAAACAAATATTACGACATTCTGAGAGAAATCACATTCCAAACCACCCACAAAAAAATCGATCAGATGCTAGTTTTTAAATTTCTTCAATAGAATTTTTATTTCATTTCATCATTCTTTAATATATTAATTATAATAGAATTTATTTCATTTCTAAAATGCAGAATAAATGGTTTTTTTTTTGTTTAATTTTTTTACTGTCAGTGATAGAGAAAACTACTCTATATAATATTTTTTATTATTTCTTTTAAATATAGTCCATTTAAAAAGATTTCTTCATTTATTTAATCATTTTTATTCTCTTTAGGTAAATTAAAGTGCATAAGCGTTACGTTCAAGCAGAATTAAAGTATAGAATTCAAGGATTGATGTTTAACATATTGCAGTGAAAGATTCGACTTTGATATAATAATGAAAAAAATCTTATTCGACACAGTTCAATAAACTAATACACTAAATCGTCGGCATATTTTTCTTCTCATTTTTATGTCATCGAATATTCAAGTATTTTTCATTTATCATGAATCTTGATGACAGTTTCATATAAATCTTATGAAATTGAGAAAAATAAATATTCAGTACATGAGTTGATCAATAAATCAATCCCTGATTATAGAGAGTGCATGCTACTTAGAACTTAAACTTCACTTCTTTTTATGGAAAAAAATAATAATATTTTAATTACGGTGCTCAGATTCATAAAGTGTAGATTACTCAAAGAGATATGTGTCTTATACGTAATTTATTTCATGCTTAGCTTCATCAATTGTCTGATGTTAAAAACTTTTATTTATCTTTTGTTTTGTTTTACAATGACGAAAGTAATGTAGAAAAATTTGTGATAATAATCTGAGATTTATGGCTGATTAATATGAGAATTATTTGTCAACTCTGTTCAGAACCATTCAAATGTCAATAGTTATGACTATTGTATGGTTTTGCAAACATTTCCAGTTGACAATTTTCGGAATTTGTAAGGTTTTAAAGTGTCAAAATTTTAAAACTTTTGTATGGTTTTCAAACACATTTTGGTCTTTTGTAGTTTTGAGAGCAAATTTTAAATGCTTTAAAACCGTACAAATTCTAAAATAATCAGGATCACATTCCCAGCCAATAAATCTCAACTTGTACCACTTATTTTGATGAAGAATATTTTTAAAAGACACATAGAAGTTTTTGCATGTTTCATAAAGGTAGTTTTTATCTATGAAAACAGAAATAGGATTGAAAATGAAGCACATTTTCATCATGTTTTTTGATTGTTTAAAAATTTGAAATTAACTATCAATCAGTTAATTAAGATATTCATTTCTTTACACAACACTTTTTGCATTAAACTTCTAATAAAGGTAATAATAAAAATAAATTTTTAAATTTATAATATACATAGTCACTTTAAAAAAAATCACAATACGAATATGAAAAGCATAATTTTTTATGGAATTATAAATTTGTTATTACTTTTTTTTTGTTGTTGTTTTGCATTAAAAAATATAAGAGTATGGCCAACAATAAAAGAAGCGCGCCAAAAACATGTAAAATTAATAAACATGTAATTATCTAAACAATAAATTGAAATATTGTTTTTCGAGATTTTTTTAGTACATTTTTTTTGTTTCTCATTGCCAGAAAGAATTCCTTTGAAAAATTTCGTCAAATTTCAAATTGCTGAATCAGTTTCTTTTTTTTAACGATATTATTGATAATTAATATCATGTCATGAATGAACAAAACCAGACAAAATTTTTCCTTGGGATCACGTAATTAATTAAGATCATCAGCGTTCATTTCAAGTTTTTTAATTTTGTTACTCATTATCGTCCCACTTACGCTCCTCCATTATTCTATCAAAACAATCAGCCATGAATGCATGGTATGGTGTAAAAACTTTAACCCAACGTGGAGGTTTTTGATTTGATCGACTGTATTGAAAGCAGAAGCACATAGACTCCTCATCACTCTCGTAACGCATTATTGTATCCCATTGAAGATCAACAGTTTGTGACTCACGTGTACCATCTTCTCGACATGCGTGTAATCTAAAACTATTGATGCCAATTGCAGCTACAACATGTCCTTCTTTTCGACTATCACATGCACAATGAGGGAATACAATATCACCATATCCCGGCAGAGTTCGTGCTAATGTTAAATATTCGGATTGCTTTCCTTCCTGTAACGCTTTTAATTCATACAATCTTAAATCAGCTCGAATATTGCCACGATTTACATCGTCTATTGTTTGAAAAAATATAAATTTTGATGCCTGCTCACCAAATGGCAATTCAAGCTCACGCTTTATGGAGAAAAGCCATCGACGTACGCATAAACATGTTGAACTGCTAGTACTATAATTATTCACATATAATTGATGGGGTATTTCGTGGGGTTGTAATTTTCTCTCAAATGAATATTCGACAATTTCAAATAAATAGAAATACTGTTGTGTATAGGACGTAAAATTAGCTTTCTGAACTAAATGATCCCACACTTGTTGAGCATTTGCAGCTTTACGTACAGATACAGTAACTATCTCATGATCGGGTAACATTATTTTTATATCGACACTCGCCGATAAATCATCCTCAGAGTCAGTTAAAAATTCTTGTACTGCTTCACTCTCAGCTATTACGCGGACAGCACAAACTTTCTCAAGATACTGTTCAAGACCTCGACGTCGTGAATCCAATTGCTGCTCGCTAAGCTGAAATGGCCATTTTCCAGGTAATTTTGGGAAATTAAATCCAACAAATTCCTTCTTTAGGATCGCATGTAGATTCGAAAATTCTCGATATCGTCGCGAACACAACTGTCGTCCTGCCATGTGAATTGAATAAACAACATACTTCTCCCCATTTCTCGTCACTATATTATAGTCAGGAATGCTTATTGGTAATGAACGTTTTTCCGAATAGTCTATGTATGAATACCCAGAATCTTCTGATGGCTCCAAACGATCCGCTTCTTGGGCTGTCACAGAAATTACTGTCAATGTCAAACAGTCACCGCCTGATTTTATCAGATCTACGACTTGCTTATGAGTCGCTCCTTCCACATTCACTCCATTTCTGAGGAACAAAAAGAATTCAATGGTATTGAGAATGTCAATGACAATAATTTTTTAATGACTTGAAGTTAACTATGCGAAACGAAATCATTAGTTATTAATGCGTAACAAAAGTTTTCTCAAATTGTTTTAATTATCACATTTCTTGCTCAAAATGAAGTGATTTTACTGGTAATAATCTTAGAATTAGTCAGTGCTTGAGAAACTTTTTCACTGTGCATTTCCTAGATCGATTGATTGGTAATTCTTACAAATTTTAAAACACATTTGAGAACGCAACTTTAAGCAATACCTAAGAAGATGGGCAAGCCGACAATTTTAAGCGACACAAAGTTTAAGCACCACTGGCATATTATATACAATAAGATTCTAATAATGCGCAAAGAAACAACCAAAAATCTCTTTTGTCATGCGACTCATCTATTTGTAAAGAAAACTTATTCATATGAATATTATCATTCAGACACTGCTTGAATATTTCCGACTGTGAAATTACTTTTTGCGAACAATATGCAAAAAAAAGTATCACATAATGGAAATGCAGTTCATTGTACAATTATCATTCATAGAATATGAAGTAACTAAGCTAGCTTATGGAAAGCTAGATAAAAGCTGTCATAATGATAAAGAACCTCAGAAATGGGTAAAAAGACTGAAAAAATGTTAAAAACTTGTCAGCAGTTTGTCAAGTTTATCGTGATAAATAAAATAATTCTAGAATTTTCAGCAAGATAATTCTCATCCGCATATTGAATTTGTTAAGCCGGAAAGCGCCAGAAATAAATTTTATCTCTTTGAGAAACAAATTCATGCCTGCTATTATCATTTACGACAACATTATGCCTTCCATTATTGTAATAAATAAGTGTGCTATAAAATTACACTCAATTGAATTACTCACTTAAGTTGTGAATAAAATCAATAGAGAATCACGTTCATGTATTTAATTTTACTTTCATTTCTAACGCATTTTCTTGGAAGTAGAAGATGGATCCTTAAAATCCTCCTCCAGATGCGAATCTGTCAGTTCCAGAGTAAAGTCTCTCCGGGTGATTAAGGAACAGCCTTTTGTGAGGATGTGGGTTTCATTCCTACTAAAAGGTCGATCTCTAAATAGTTAAAGATTCTCACATTTCAGTAACGGAGTCTTACACTCGTTTATCAATTCTTTCTGAATAAGAAGTGGTTTGAGGCACTTGGATCATACATGTAAATCTCTGACATAATCTTAAAAGAATATTGAAAGTTTTTCTTTATTGTTTTTACTTTTTACGTATTCATGTCAAGTATTTGCACTGTGCGAGGCGTGTGACATTTTTCATGCTTTTTTTTTATAGATAAAATTTCTGTGGAATTGATTCACAGATTGGTTGGTGAATTCTTAATGCCGCACCATTTTTCATAATGTTAAGCAGAATAAAAAAGCTGTCTAGTCATCTATTTTTGGACACTTCATCGTTAATCTTCATTAAAATGTCACTGATATCATAATGTTATGGAATATAAGAAAATACACAATAAATCCATGAGATAATTACATAAGGAAAACAACATTTTCTCAGTATGTAGTCTATGCAATTGTGTGCTAAATGCAGCGAAAGAAGTGAACGAGTTAAAAGTGAAAGTATGTCATATCTTGTATAGCTATTAAACGGATTTTCTTTAATAAATAGGCGGCTGTTTATAATGATAAAGAGAAAAGTATCGATTTTAATTACTGTGCCTAAATAAACAGTAATTTTCTGAATAGATCACCCTTTTAAGCTTCACATATTGAATGATTATTTCATGAGAAGAAGAAAATAAATCGAGAAAATAAAAATATACAAAATGTGTATTGATTTTTTTGGCTGTAAAGTTTTTTTCCTTTTTCATTTTCTGTACAATTATTTTTAATGTCAAAGTTTCAAGACAAGTGAATCACTAAGTAGATGAGAAAAATAAAAAAAAAAAGTCTTTCTTGTGTAGCATCGTTTCGAAACAGTCTGTGACAAGTGTTTGAATATTTAAATAAGTTCAACTCACACTTCAAGTATTCTATCACCTTTCCTGATTCCTGCTCGTTCCGCGGCACCGTTCTCAAGAATGGCTGAAACATGTTGAAGTGGAGCATAAAGCTCTCCGTTTATTGACTTTAATTGTCCACCAGCTATATTTGGATGTCCAAAAATTAGATCAAAAGAAACAAATATGATAATAATTAGATTGTGAAGATTTTATAGAACATATAATGTGGATACGTCATAATTTATTGAATTAAATATTATATATTTTTTTGCTTATTCAATATAATTAGACTTGAGAATGATTTAATAGTCTCTTCTTTATTATTGTAGTGTTGTGTATTAAATGAAAATGAAATTTAGATTTCACTCGAATGTCTTAAGTTGAGCGTAAAAAAGAACTGACAGTAATATATTAATTTTATAAGGGGCTCGTTCACTTATTACGTAACGCAAAAAAACGAGTTTTTAGACCCCCCCCCTCCCCCCCTGTAACAAAGCGTAACAAAATCTTAGACCCCCCCCCTCCCCCCCATAACGTAACAATAATTTTTTTCATTTAAATTGTTTATCAAATGTTTATTATACTTCCTTTAAAATTTAAAATGAATATAGAAATATATTCACAAAAATTGAAAATTTTGTGTGAATATGAAAATTATAAAAAAATATATTTTTTGAAAAGTTACGTAACAAAATTTAGACCCCCCCCCTCCCCCTGTAACAAACCGTAACAAAATCTTAGACCCCCCCTCCCCCCCTAGTGCGTTACGTAATAAGTGAACGAACCCAAGGTAGACTCGACTCATTAGCAGCTTTTTCAAACATTAAATGAACAATCACTGTAACAAGGAAAGTAAACTAGGATATTATAATTAATATTCACTGTAAAGCAGATTATAACTACTTGTGGCAACAACAGTATGAAAATGAAGAGTATTAAGGTCTTATCAGTCCATCAGAGATTATGTATGTCTATGATATGCCTAGAGACGATGTCAACGTTGATTCGAAGTAAGTTCAAACGTGTTTCGAATACTTTTCGAACAAAATTTCGCCATTTCGAAAAACATTTTTTATGAAAATTTCAATTTTTTGCAAGTTATGACTTATTATTTGGGAATTAAATCCTTCTATTATGTCTTTTAACACTCATTTAATCGTTTAATCGTTGATAAATGCAGCAAACATTAGTTTAAAATGCTTTTTTTCAAAAATAAAATTTTTTTTGTTGTTGTTTACATTGAAAATAAAAATGTTTCACTTGCGTTAATTGTTTAGTAAATCAGTAATGATTCATTGCATTTGAGCGGATTAATTTAGCATTTTGATGATGATTCATAATTCAAATTTTTTTCGTGAACTTTTTTTTAAAAGACAGGCGACAGTTAGAACGTTACATACTTCTTGACACCCCCCCCCCCCCCCTATGTTACATTTTGTTACAAATTTTCACCCCCCCCCCCCCCCCCCCTCCCCCCTAAAATGCGAACGTAATAAGTGAACGGCCCCTAAAGATATTAGACATTAATAATTTAACGTGTAAAAAAAATTTGAACTTATGTTCGAAAATAAGGACTCGTTGGCGTACCATAAATGTATGTGTCATTTAAAGTTGAATTGATAAAAAAATTAAAGATTTGAAGGACTTTTTGTTGCTGTATTCAAATTTCATGTGAATAACTTACCGGAAATTTGCCCTCGTACATTGAATCCAAATCCTGATGAGTCCTTAATTATTCTTACAGTTTTAGGATTGCGATTTACATCCTCATTCTGAGGTTTTTGATTTGGAGTAATCTCGTCTGTTTGTGAAATTTGATTTTTTTGCTGTTCAATTAATTTCGAGTTATTTTGGATTAAATTTGCCATTCTTCTATTGTTTCTCACTTAGTCAATATTAAGAAAACATTATTTCATGTTTTCATTTAGTTTTCCTACTTTATTTCACCTTTTTTGATCCCAACAACTAAATTTTTATTTTTCTTCGAGCAATTTTTTCAGCAACCTACTAATTCAACAACCTCTTTTGTTCAAATTTTTAAGAGCCGTTACGATATTAACACTCTGAGAATTTTTTTAAAAAAGGCTCATATGGAATTGATAGTAATTTTGGATGTTTTTTTGTCAATAAATGGCTCCTGCTTAAGCATAAACAGCAGCGTCATAGGCCTTTAACTGTTCACAGGTCAATTTTTTCAACCTATCACAGGTCTGACCTGTGATAGGCAAAAAATTTTGACCTGTGAACAGGTAACGGCCTGTGACAGGTAGGCTGTTTTCGTTGACCTGTGACAGATCGCAACTCTGATTAGCTTTCTTTATCATTTATAATACCTAGATTTGTTAAAAACTGCAAATTAAAGCAAATTTGGTTTCAATCATAGTAGGCTATTTTCATAAAGAAATCGATTTTATATCTATATTAGCATTCTTTATCATTTATAAAACCTAGATTTGTTAAAAATTGCAAATTAAAGCAAATTTCGTTTCGATCATAGTAGGCTATTTTCATATCTATATTAGCATTCTTTATGATTTATAATACCTAGATTTGTTAAAAACTGCATATTAAAGCAAACTTGGTTTGAATCAAAGTAGGCTATTTTCAAAAAAATATCGATTTTATAATTCCTAGATATGTTTTAAACTGCAATTTAAAGCATTTTTGGTTTCGATCATAGGAGGCTATTTTCAAAAAAATATCGATTTTATATCTATATTAGCATCTTTATGATTTATAATACCTAGATTTGTTAAAAACTGCAAATTAAAGCAAATTTAATTTCAATCATAGCAGGCTATTTTCAAAAAATATCGATTTTATATCTATATTAGCATCAGAGTTGCGACGACAGGTACCTGTTACAGGTCACCTTTCAGTATCGAAATTTTATTCCTTTTGTGAAGTGTAAAGATTTCATATAAAATTCTTCAATTTTTTTCTTTCTCAAGTCACGGGTTCAAATCTCACAGCAAACAACTTTCTATTTTTGCATTTTTATGATTTGTTATTAAACTAATTTGTACACTTTTAAGGTTAATAAGCTAAAATTTGATATATAGGCTCTATTCCTAGATCTGGATGTTCTAAAACTAGTATAGATTTTGTCATTCGAGACCGCAAAAAGTCGAAATATATAATAAATTATAATCCAAGATTATGATTTCACAACATCCAGATCTAGGAAAAGAGCCTTTGTGTCAGATTTCAGTTTGGTAAACTAAAATATGACAAAAAAAGTTGAATTTGTGTGAAAATACATGTTAAAATATAGAAAGTGAAGAAATAAAATATGAAAATAGAAAAATTTGTCATAAAACTTAATGTTATATCAAAAAAGTTTAAAAACAAATCATAAAAATGCAAAAAAAGAAAGTTGCTTGCGGTGAGATTTGAACCCGGGACTTGAGGAAGAAAAAAAATTAATGAATTTCGTATGAAATCTTTATACTTCACAAGAGGAATAAAATTTCGATATTCAAAGGTGACAGGTGACAGGTGACAGGTGACAGGTCAAACCTGTGACAGGCGAAAAGAATTGACAAACGGTGCTGGGATTTGGGAACGGTACAAAAGATTCTATCGCCGATCAGGATCGCAGTGCCTTCAGCTCATCGCAACGTGTAGTAATGAACCAATAATGATTTTTTTTAAAAAAAAAGAAATTTTTTGAATGATAACGGTATAGAAAGAGAGACAGAAGAAAGAAGGTGGTCTATCTGAAATTCTCACTATCCATTTTTTTAACGTTAGAAGCTACTACTCGTTACTAAGCCAGTAGCTTGTAAAAAAAATTGGATCTGAAAGAATTAATAGCTAGAATAGTTTCAAGATAATTTGGACTTGAAAAATTTTAGATTTCAATGAAAGTTTTTAATTTTCCTTGTTGGTGACATATTTTTAATAAGCCACTACTCGTTATTAAGCCTTTTTCGTAAGGAAGAAGAAAAAATTAATATTTGGCACCAAAATTCAATTCTGGAAAGACAAAATTTCTGTAATAAATTTAAATTTAATTTTAAAACCACAAAGAGATGGCAAGCTTTATACAACTACATTCTTGCCAATTAATAAAAACTTTTACAATGAGAACTGAAATAGAATATGCTGAAAATAATACAAAAGTAACAAGAAGTCATCGATTAATTTTTAAACGATTGGAGGATGCTGAATAAATCAATGATTGACGTCAAAAATTCATTGAAAAAAGAGAGAAGGTTCATTTTTCATAAATTCATTTTTTTTTATTTTCTCAATATAAGAAGCTGTTCCAAATAATCGTCATAATTATTATTTTTTATAAATAAAGAATCTTAATCTTAAAAATATTAAAGTTTTTATTCAATAAAGAACCGTGTTTTAAAAGATTTTGTTTTAAAGGTAGCATTTCAAAGATTTAATGTTGCTTCATATTATTTAATACATAGTAGAAAGTATGAAGAAAAAGTTAAGAGCTTGAAAGAAAATCAGAATCAAAGGAATCGTCCTAAAATTAATGGAACTCTTACCAGCGAGAATCTTACTTACCAAGGATACCTACTCAAGGGCAAGAATTCAATTATAAAAGGACTGTCCTTAGCATAGCATATTTCCTCAATAAATTGTAGCGAATTTTTTTTTGTACTTGCTAGTAGTAAATTTTCATCTAATTTTTTAATGCATGTGAAACGATCATGAAGCATTTTAAAACTGCATTTTAAAATTAAAAGGATATGAGACATTAAAAGGACATATATAAAACTAAAGCGATTGTGGGAAGTTTTCATGGCAGTTTATATATTTTTTGTTTGTTTATCATCTTGAATATTATTAACACTAAACCATTTAATAATCATATTTTTACTTTTTTGTTTATTTTATTTTTTTATTATCTTCTTCATCTAAGGATTTTTGTTATGAAAAGGAGGAAGGATATTGCAGCTAGATTTAATCTCTGTTAGTACGGAAATATCTACGTTTATCAATTCTAGATAGAGGCTACATTGAAGTATAAACTTTTTTTTTCTTCTTTCATACTTTTTTTTTTGTTATGTTTTGCAAACATTAAAATTTTTAATGCAAAACGTTGAATTTAGCATTTTTTAGCGCATTTTTGAAACTTGTTTCAAAAAGGTAGCTTAATAACGCACTTTGGTCGGCTGGTCGGCTGGTCGGCTGGTCGGCTGGTCGGCTGGTCGGCTGGTCGGCTGGTCGGCCGCTAAGAAAAACTTTTAATCTAGACATCGTAGAGAGTTCTAGTTTTTTGCATTAGTTCCGTTATATCGAGTTATTGGCCCGCCGGACATTTAAAAATCTTAAAACAGTGTATTTATGCTATAATTAATGAATTTTTGTTTTGTTTTCAGTGTAACCTGCTCAAATTTTATTTTACCTCTATAATTTCAATATTACCTCTATAATTTCAAAAAATTTCTAGCCGTTGTAAAATTTGAATTTCAAAAAACCGTTAAATGATAAACTTTTTTTGTATGGAAATTCATTGGAACAAATTATTTAATTATACTATAATTAATTTTTTCGTAGTGCAACTTATAGCGGGAAAATTTCAAACTATTTATTGACCGTTAGAAAATTTGAATTACAAAAAAATGTTAAATGATAAACCCTTTCTGTATGAAAATTCATTGCAACAAATTATTTAATTATACTATAATTAATTTTTTCGTAGTGCAACTTATAGCGGGAAAATTTCAAATTATTATTATATTGACCGTTAGAAAATTTGAATTACAAGAAACCGTTAAATGATAAACTCTTTCTGTATGGAAATTCATTGCAACAAATTGTTTAATTATACTATAATTAATTTTTTCGTAGTGCAACTTTTAACGGCAAAATTTCAAATTATTTACTGACCGTTAGAAAATTTGAATTACAAAAAATCGTTAAATGATAAATCCTTTCTGTATGGAAATTCATTGCAACAAATTATTTAATTATACTATAATTAATTTTTTCGTAGTGCAACTTATAGCGGGAAAATTTCAAATTATTTAATGACCGTTAGAAAATTTGAATTACAAAAAACCGTTAAATGATAAACCCTTTCTGTATGGAAATTCATTGCAACAAATTGTTTAATTATACTATAATTAATTTTTTCGTAGTGCAACTTTTAACGGCAAAATTTCAAATTATTTACTGACCGTTAGAAAATTTGAATTACAAAAAATCGTTAAATGATAAATCCTTTCGGTATGGAAATTCATTGCAACAAATTATTTAATTATACTATAATTAATTTTTTCGTAGTGCAACTTATAGCGGGAAAATTTCAAATTATTTACTGACCGTTAGAAAATTTGAATTAAAAAAAACCGTTAAATGATAAATCCTTTCTGTATGGAAATTCATTGCAACAAATTATTTAATTATACTATAATTAATTTTTTCGTAGTGCAACTTTTAACGGCAAAATTTCAAATTATTTATTGACCGTTAAATAATAATCCTTTCTATATAAGCATTCATTGTAACTTTTTGTTAATTACACTAAAATTAATGATCTTCTAATCTTCTCATGATCTGTAAATGAACGCAAAATAATTACATAATCAAATACTGATCGCTAACACAAAAATGCGCTTAAGTCCCTCGATCAATAACACGAGGACTTCTGTAATTTTTTTCTTTCTCATATTCATGATTTTTTGCTTGTTATATGGAAATTAAGGCGCACAATTGAGATAAATACAAAGAATAATGTTTTTTTTTCATAATTTATTATATAGATATCTTTATTGCCTAATTCAATAAAATGACAAAAAAAGAAATAAAATGTTTTAAAAAAAGGAAACAAAAAAGCGACTAAAATTTTTCTTCTTCATATAATGTGTATATAGAGATGTAGTGATGATGAAATAATACATTTAATAGATTATAAATTACACGTGTGATAAATGTAGCATTTTTAAATGAACAAATTATTCCAGAATGCTTAAGAATGTCACCAAAAATTGGAAGATATATCTTAAGCATCAGAATATCCTCGGTGAGATTTTGGAAAATACTTTTGGATATCTTTCAAAATCCACCAAGAGCTCTAAATTAAGTTTTAAAAAAATGTAAAAGCACTATATACTAAATTTCTTTATCTCTTTTTTTCTCTGATTTTTATTATTCACTGGCTATATTATCTGCTCTTTTATAAGTTTTCAAGTGAATGCTTGTTGTCTGGAGAAGTTGATAGCATCATATTTTTAAGAATTAGAAAATATGATTCATCCATTATAATTCTATTAAAATGTATATTCAAAAAGCTACACTGTTGCTGTTGGAACAAGAAATCAAATTTTCTTTTCATAAGAAATGAAATTTGATGGATAGTATTCAACAACCAGTGATGCGGGAGGCGAACATCTTCAATATCATCTTTCAATTTTTTTTAAATATAAATAGCAACTCTTTATTTAGTTATAACTTATAAGCATTAATATTAAAGAAGTTTTTCATTTCTTTAATTTCTTCATCGTCATTCAAAAAATTGATGCTCATTGTTTCTTAGCTGAATTATTATGCTGACTCTTTTTTGTTTTACTATTCCTCATAAATAGAATTTGATTTTAATTTTCATTTTGTGTTGCAAGAAAAAACTTTTTAAAAAAATAAATTTTGAACAATATTTATTTTAATTAATTTTCTTTCTTTTTTTTTGATGAATGTCTCATTCATTATCCGAAAAATCTTTTTTGCCCATCATTAATGTCGATCGTTGGATCCTTTTAATTTCTCGAGGATTAGTAGTTTATTAGAATTAAAGTTTCTTGTCGTGTCATATAAATGTTTTTATTTGTGGATTGTGTAAATCTTGCATGTTAATGTTCTCTGTTCGATCAGATCGGGTCCTCAATAATTTTTTTTTATTTCTCATTATAAACTTTTTTTAATGTAATTTCTATGTGAAACATTTACTATTTTTTGTAATTAATATTCTGTTAATCTTAAATTTTTGATTAATTTTAACTGAAATTAAATAAAAGAAGGAATCAAATTATAAATTTTGAATGAATTCGGTTAGTCACTACAAAATATCCGAGTAATTTCCACGTCCATTCATGCGACAATCACTTGATAATTCAAGTGGTGCACACAGTCATAGTGTAAACTACTCGGATATGCTTTCTACAAATTTTGCACTCAGCCAAATTTTTTTTGTGTGTGTTAATTTCATGCTTTTTTGATTAGTATCTTTATGAAAATTAAAAAATTAATTGATTATAGCCAATTATGCATGCAAATTGATTCCATCTATCTAGAAACCAAAAAAATATACAAAGTGTATAAATTATAAAATCAAATCAAATGAATGTTAATGAATAAAGAATGCGATTGTAAGTAATTTTATTGACTTTCAATCTCATAATATTTTAGTAAGAAAAATAAAGTCAATATGTTTTTGTTTGATAATATAAAAGGAAAATAAAGATTATCAACTAATGAATACTTTCTCGCATTGATTGGAACTGAATGTTTACCAATAAGCATAATTTTAATTTACCAATTACATTCAAATCACATCAAAAGTTTTTGATATGACTCAAATTTAAAAGTGCCATTAGTGAGCTATTCTCATGACTCAAAAGAAGGCAAAAAGATGATAACAATATTGCAATTACTCCCACTTGTGGCAAATGACAGGTTTAATTTAATAATATAATTTTTATGTTTGTGTTTTTCATAACAATATTAATATGAGTAACGTGTAATGTGTATAAGCCATTTCTGTCTTTGGGCAGGATTATAAAAAAATCTTAAATTATACTTAATAAAACCAATACATAAGCATTCATTTTCTTCGTTTAAATTGAAAGAAAAAACCCATAAAAATTAAAATAATAATACAAATTTTTCAAGCTACAAATTTGTTTTGACTTTGCTTCATTATACATGATAGATTTTTGCATTCGTACATTACAAGACGTAGAGGAAAATAAAGGAATAAAAACCAATACAAGAAAAAAACAAAACCACACGCCTGATTTTAGCATTCACAAAGATGCTTACTTTTTCTTCAATGTAAAGAACGATCTTCGTTTTGGTTCATCTTTCTGTGACGATGCTGGTAATGTTTGTGAACGACTGTCTGTACCCGTTTGATCGCATTGTGCCTTTAATGAACCAACCCATTGTTGCATCTCGGAATCATCATGTGCTTGAAGCAAGAACTCGGCTCCACTTGATAATCTGAATAAAAAGAAAAATTAAATTAATATTCGTGACGTGCTGGATGGAATATAAATGAAGGCGGTACTCACTTAATTCTAAAGACATGCTTCTTCTTTGTGTAGTCATTTGCAATTTCTACTGTTGCGCCTAGAAGTTCAAGAGCAGGCTCACCACGGAATGTTTGTTCTGGCTGACTCTTTGATGACTTTTGATCTTTGTAGAATGAAACTCGTCCATTCTTTGACAAAACATAAATCTAGAGAAATTGGGAGGATTAATTTATTTGTAATATATTCAAAACATTATTAATATTTACCTTATCCCATGATCTGTTTGATGCCTTCCTTGTAGTACTTTCCCATTCGTGTTTTCTAACTAATGTTCCTTCAATAACTCCATCTTCTCCTGCTGGGCTTGGGCGATCTAAAGAGTTTACGGAAAAGGTTTGAAAATTAGCATAAAAACACAATAAAGGTTGTCCTTGATGAAATCCTAGCAAAAAGAAAATTACTTCTTCTATTTTATGTCAAAAATGATATGCATACTTTTATACTTTAAAAAATATTATGCGATATATGGCGTAAACTTATCCTCAAAAAAATAAAATAAAATAGCATCAATTCACAAAGCAATTTGTTCTCTTAACAAAAAAATGTGACTTTAAGTTTTTAATAATAAATAACACTGACATGCAATGTACGGAACACGAACCTAAATCATTAGCATCTATAAATTTTTCGCTATTCGCTATATACTCTAATGTTGTGTATCTAGATTTTTATAAAAAAAAATCTTTCGTATTTCATTACGATTTTGCAGCAACAATTGAGCATACTTGTTCATTATCTAGATGACTTTTTGTGACATCCAAGTTAACACAACACAGATAGATCATTAATATTATTAACCTTGCTTACGTACTGTTCTATAAATATTTTTTAATATACTTAGAGACTAAACATTAATCAATCTAAAATACCTTCGTCATCATCAGACTGATCAGCATTTGTTGATGAACGCTTCCAGCGGAAACTACGGAAGGGACTTTTAGAACGAGATCGACGTTTGACTTTGGACGATGATGATTGACTACGAGTTAGGGACACATCACCTCTTTGTGGTGTTGATGGTTGGGATGACAATGCTCTATTTTCAGCTATTTTCCCAACAAATTTAATGAATGAATTTTTTTCAATTATTAAATTAAATAATTGATTGGATTCATTAGGGTATGGAATAATGGGTGGACATTCACAGGAAATTAATTCATTCATACACTTAATTTGACCTTCACCGGAACACAATTCTTTTTTTTTTGCAATTTTATCTGACTCACACAATGGGGAGTAGAAGAAGATTCTTCGTGTGTAGCGAAAGTGAACCAACCACCATGAGAGAGGAAGCGAAGTGAAAATAAAGCCAACAAGAATTTTCTTTTTTTATATTCAATCAATCACCAAACACCGTTTAAGATTGTTTTAATGTACGATGAGAGACATAAAATCTCAGGCGAGTCTGACTTACATGACTTATATACACTCTGTGCCTGAGGAATTGACGAAGGCTTCTTAAGAATACCAGTCGGCGTCGAGGGTGACGGTGGAATCTCTTGAAGTTCATCTTCTTTAATTTCAACTGTAAGTTATTTTGTTAAGTAAAATCAATACATGCTCATGCAAAACAAAGTGATTAATCTAACGATACATAAATGGATTTTGTGTTAGAATCATGCAAATCATCGGTTTGGATCACAATATAAAAGAATAACCCACCATATATCGGAGAAATAAAATTCAGTCTTTAAATTCTCTCTCGTGTAAAGGATAAAAAGTAAGTAAGTACTAAGGATTAATTTCACAAAATGGATAATGTCAATGCTGTTGTGTTTATGCAGATTGAGATGATCAATTTTAGTGAAACTATTTATAAAAGAAATAAATTGCAGATACGAAAAAAGGATAGACCATTTATCAACACAGTTACAGAACGGATAAATTAAGTAAATTTAGAAAAATATAAATCATAACTGAAGATAAAGTTACGAAAAAAGTATAGAAAAAAATTTCCAAATAGAGACTTAATCACCTGGTTGAGAGACAGGTCTTTCTTTTTCAGTTGGTGAAGTGGCTCGCATAGTGACTGTACAATTTCATTATTTTTCGAAAATTTAACCAATTTTATAGATTTTTTTTTAATTGAAATTTTGGAAAATTATTATATTTTTTATGTTAATTAGGCAGCGTGTAAAAAAAGTGAAAAAGGATTGATTTTTTTGTTTAATTGTTTCTGGGTTATAAAAAGCTTTGAAGGATTGCATTTAATATTAAATTCTTCAATAATGAATCTCTTAATTTCGGGATCAAGTAAGAACAAATTTAATGCCAAAATCTTACCAGTTTCCTCGTTAGGTGATCCTGAATCAGCTTGATCCTTTGCTGCTTGCTCTTGACGTCTCAACTCTTCCTCCTCTATTTCTTTAGCTCTCTTTGCATCTGTAAATTTAAAGGATGAAATATTTTTAAAAATAATTAAAGTTATACTGCCAATCGAGGAAACAATGAAAGTCTTGATAAGAATTGAATGTTCTACAAGACTAGTACAATATCAATAATGCGAAATACTAACCAGCTTCAGCTTGTAATCTTTGACGTTCAGCCTCTTCTGCTGCTTCTTGTCTTCTCTTCATTTCTTTGAGCTCAAACTAAAGGAAAATAAAAATTTTAAGCACCTTGTCACTAATAAAAAGTATTGACATTCTTACCGTAGTCAATCGCTCAAGTGCACTGAATCTTTCTTCTTGTGCGGCAGCTGATTTTTCGAATGCTTCGTGTTTCTTGATAAGGTTTTCGACTTCATCGATAGTGTGACCTAGCTCTGACGACATCAGGTAAGGTTCTTGTGCAATCAACCATGCTTCTGCAACTGCTGCGTCTCTTGCGAATTGGTAGACTTCCAAAACTATGGAACAAATAAAAAATAACTAATTAGATTATCCTCCTTAAAAATCACGAGATGTATCACTTACTTAATTGCAAATTCTCCCATCTTTCCTCCCATCTGTTTAGTAAAGCATTGCGGCTATTTGTAAGTTGCAGTAAGCGATCCTTAATTTCATTAGATGCGTAGTGATTACGTGCCAAAAGTTCCTTTCCAAGTGCTAAGCAAGCACTGAAATTGTCTTCGCGTGTATCGATTTCAGCTTTCAAGCTTTGATGATTATTCATTAGTAATTCAACTCCAGATACATCTCTTGGCTTCTCGCTTGTGTTCATTTGACGTACAACGTCTTCCATCCATAACATTAAAATGCGCACCATATTGAAGAATTTGAATAAATCGCCAGTGTCTGACAATTTGTTGCGTCGTGAATCACACATTCCTTGAAGATTAGCCCATGCTTGAAGAACCTCTTGCTCGCGGTTTGTAATTTCACGTGCCTTATCACCAGCATATGAAGCTTGTAATTTAGCTGATTCCTCTTGAATTTGCTGTACTTGTGATTGAAGTGTGAGTAAATCTTGGATAAAGTTTTGATGTTTACGTTGTAATGCAGAAACTGAACCAGCATCTCTACCCAATTCATCAGAAACTCCGTGTTGTCTTTCTAATATTCTGCTTAAAACATCCTTACAATCATGGAAATATTTGTGTAATTCGCGTGAAGCTGCAAGCATTTGTGTTCTAGTTTCAATGAGTTCTAATAAATCTTGCCATGATTCATTCAAGTTGTCTTTCCATTCAGCAATGACTGCAGAGTCAGAGTGTCCAGCATGAATTAATTCATCAGCATATCCATTTGCTTTAGCAACTCGTTCACTTCCAACTGTTGATGTATCTTGGGCGAATGCCTTGAATCTTTCCCATAATAATGTTACATGATCATAATCTTGACCTAATTCTTGAGATGCAGCAACTAATTCACGTTCTGCAATCCATTGTTCCAAATCATCGACTTCACGGTTGAAATTGAACAATTCTAATGCTTCTACTAATTTTGCACGACGTTCACCAGCTAAATCTTTAAGACCAGCATACAACTTATCTAATTGGGCTTGTTTAACTGCAACTTGCTCACTTAATGGGTGATTTTCACTTGTTAATTGGCGTGCTGTTTCACCGAGTGTACGAATTGTTATTGCATAATCTTCAACAGATTGTTCCAAAACTTCATGTTTCTTCATCAAATTCTGGGCTGAAATTTCTTCCTTGCCGCGGTCTTCAACCATCATGTATAATTCTTGTTCACTCATCCATGATTCAGCTTCTTGGGCATCAAAGAGATATTGCTGAACTTTTTCGCTGTTATCTAAACGTCTGCGACGTTGATCCAATGCATCCTTGAGTTCTTGCCATTTTTGTGTTAATTCACTGATAAGGTCTGCAAATTCGCTAGCATCTTCATGACCTTCATCACATAATTTCTGACCATTATTGCAAATTGTCATAATACGTGGTTCATGGTTATCAATTTCTGTCTTTAATGTTTGATTATTCTTCTTCAACATAAGAACATTAAAGAGTGAATTGCCGACTTCCTCAGATAATACTGATGGCATCTTTTCGTCAATCCATAATTTCTCATCTTCAACATCGCGACGGAATTGATAAGCTTCCTTCTTTTTCTCCAATTGCTTCTGGCGTTCCTCAAGTGGTCCCTTAATGCGGGAGAAACGATCGCTAACCTTTTGTTTCTTGATAACAATTGGTTCAACTTTTTCTGTTGGAATCGTTCGAGATAAGACTTCTGTCTGTTTTTCTAATTCATCGACTTGTTTGGCCTTCAGTGCCATCTGTGTCTTAATTATCTGTTGTTTTTGCATTAGGATATTGACTGACGTCAAATCACTGCCAGTGTCTGGGTTGACGATTTGTTTTTCTAAATCATCCATCCATGAGTCGATATCATCAACACTCTGTTGAACAATTGTCTCACGTTTAGCATCGAACAACAATTCACCTTTTTCTTTTGTTGTTTCTTCCAAGTTGTCGAATTGCTTGCTCAAATCTTGTAATTTTGGTGAAAGAATTTCCTTGAATTCTGGCTTTTCCTTCATCAAATCTTGAGCTGCCTTTTCAGCTTCATGTAAACGTTCCTTATTTGCAGCAATTTCAGCTTCGAATGCTTGATGACGTGTCCATTTGCTGTGAACAGTCTTAGCAGTACGATAGGTATCTTCACGAGCCAACATACTCTTCTCTTGAACCCATTCATTGAGTTCCTCCAAATCTTGTAAGAATTCATGTAACTTGACTTGATTCTTTAACTTTTCGTGGAGTTCTAAAGCACGTTCACGGTTAGCATCACGACGTTGGGCAATATTTTCAGCACGCTTATGAATTCTATCAGCATCAAAGTGTTGTTTCTCAACCAATGTATCGGAAACTTGAATAATTGTATTGATTTTATCATCATTTGCTTCCATTGTTGTAAGGAAGGCTTCATGACGTTTCAATTGATTTTCAGCTTGTTCAAGATTAACTGGAGTATCATCTTTGCTTAAGACATGTTCTTGTTGACTTAACAAAACTTCAGCTTGACGAGCATCACGATTAAATAATTGCTGATCAAGACTTTGTGAGAGCAATACTTGACGGTTCTCCCACATTTGTTGTAATTCCTCCCATCCATCTTTCAATGCCTTCAAACGTTCACGCAAGAACATGTATTGTGGATCATTATTGGTTGATGGATCAGATGTAAGTCCTTCACCATATTCCATCATTTTACTGTAATCTTCAGTGTAATTATCGATCTCTTCACGAATGCTTTGATGTTGATTTAAGAGTTTTTCAGCATCTGGCAATGATGTTGGTGTATCTTCGCTGGCAACATCTGTTTGTGTCTTAGTCAACCATGTTTGGAAGTGATCCAAATCGCGTAAGAAACGGTGCAAATCACCAGCTTCTTCCAATTTAGCATCACGGTCCTTTAACATTTGTGTCAATTGTTCCCAAATTTCTGTGAGTTGTGAAACTTTCTCACGAATGATTGCGGCTTCTTCTGGATGATCATTTTCAATGGAATCAGCTTCATGTTCTAATGAGGTGAGTTTTGCTTGAATTGCAGCTAAATCGCGTTCCATACCACTCAAACGACGTTGTAAAGTCATGACACCAGTCAAGTCCATATTCAAGTTATCGGTTTCTGTAAGGATTCTCTTCTTATCTTCAATCCATGAAATTGTTTCACGACATTCAATATAGAATGTTTGTACACCATGGGCTGAATTCAATTCATCGCGTTTAGCATCGGCCTTATCACGAAGACGAGACCATTCATCATTCAAGTGATTTTGACGTGCAATAATTTGCTCCGAATCCGGATGCTCCACATGCAACAATTGGCGTGCTAATTGATTAACGACAGCAACACGTGATGCATTTGCATTCATTTCATTGTCAAAGCCATCATAACGATGTTTTAAGATTTCAACATCTTCAATATCTTTAGCAGGTGTCATAGTGTTCAACATCTTTTCTTTCTCACCAATCCATTGTTCAACACCATCGCTTTCTGACAATAATTTGTACAAGCTGAGTGCATCCAATAAACGTTGCTTACGTAATTTTGAAAGTTCCAATAATTCTTTATAACGTGTATCAATTGCTCCCAATCTTTCATTAACTTTCTGTTGTTCCTCATCATTTAATGTCAATTTGTTTGCTTGTTGATGAAGTTGGTCAATTGTTTCAGCATAATTCTTCAATTCGTCAGCAACATCTTTATGTTTCTTCAATAATGATTGTACGTTAGCCTCATCACGACCAACATCTTCTGATGAAACTAAACGTAATGTATCAAGCATCCATGCATCAATATCATCTGCATCAGTAAACAATTGGAAGTAATCAACAGCATCTTCTAATCGCTTGCGACGATAAGCTGTCAAATCAAGTAAATGATTCCATGTTGCCAATATATCTTTAATACGCTCTTTAATTTGGTCTGATGCAAAGTGACCTTGATTAATCAATTCATCTCCAACAGCGACGACGGACATTAACTGTGGATCATGGGAATGAATCTCTGATTCCAATGCCTTATGTTTAGTTAACAATAAATGAATTGTTGTCAAATCATGACCAATTTCACCGGATGACATAATCTGTTCTTTTTCCTTAACCCAGTTCTCTTCATCAGCCATATCCCAATAGAATTGCCATAATTTACGGCTTTCTTCCAAACGTGAACGACGTTCAACTGCAAGTTTGACAAGTTCTGCATAAGCATCTTCAAGTTGTTGTACACGATCGACAATGATTGATGGATCGCATGGCTTATATCCTTCTGCCTCATCTGAAAGGAAGCGCTGTGAATTTTGCACGACTTGTTTAACACGTTCTCCCAAAACATTAATGTCGGCTTCAACCAGAGAATGTTTCTGTAGTAAATCTTCTACACCCATTAAATGTTTGCCATAATCATCAGTTAATAAGCGTTGTTTAATTTCCTCCATTGAATCTAAGATGTAAATCATTTCTTGGAAGTTTTGTTGTAATTGAATGGAGCATTCGAGACGTCCACGACGAGCGCGAAGTAACTCTAATAAATACGCCCATAAACGCAATACATTTTCTTTACGTTGAATGATGCGATCAATATCGTGATAATTTTCCGATTGTAACTCATTACAAACAGCAACAACGGCTTGAACACGTTCTTCATATGCAAAAATATCAGTTTCAATTGCTTCATGCTTCTTAGCAGCAGCCTCAACAGCAGCCAAATCGAAACCAAAATTGTCTTGACTAACAAGACGTTGATTTTCTGAAAGCCATGTTTCACGCATAGATGCTTTTCTGTTAAAACGAGCTGCCAATTGTTCCAATTTTTCTTGACGAATTAACTCTTCACGCAATGCAAGTTCACGCTCATGTTCAGCTTTTTCGAGGCGCTCCCATGCTTTATTAATATCGGAGACCATTTTTCCTTCTTTCGGTGTATATGGCTTCTGATTATTAGCACGCATTTTAGACTGCAATGTAAATAGAAGAACCTCAAGATTGCCTTTCTCGACAAATTTGGGTGGTTTTTCAACAGTACGATAATTTGAAAACTGTCCCAATTGCTGCTGAACACCGACAAGTGAATTGGCAAATTGTCGTTCTGCAAGTGATTCAATTGTTGTTTCAATCCATTTCAGAAGATCGCTTGTGAATTGCTCGTAGTCAGCAATCATTCGGTCGATTTCCATAGCTATTCCGACTACTTTTCCAATACGCTTTCCTTGGACTGTCTCTTGCTTCATCTTACTGAAGTAGTGATAATATGTGACGACATAGGTAATGATTGATCTGAAAACAAATGTATAATTTAGTCATGATTCTTAGTAAAAAGACAAATAGCAATCAATCATTTACTTCTCATCAATATATTCTGCAAGCCCCACATCTTCTGCATCAAGCAATTTTGTAAGACCCAATTTGTTTTCAGCGACATCGAATGCTAAATTTAGATTTTGAATTGGATTATTTCTGTTTAATTTTTCAAATGGAATTAAATCTGGGCGGTGCTGTAAAGGGAAAAGGACATCGATTAGCAAAATAATCAATATTATTGCAAGCCTGTAAAATAATACCTTGTGAATTAAAGCACAGAATGCTAAACCATCTCTCCAAGATGTTGTGAAATTGCGAACATTGACATTTGGATATCCGGCAGTTTTCATTTGACACCACAAAAGTAATGCATCTTTAGCTGATTTTGTTTCTCTGTTATCAACTTCCTCGATTGTAATATCCTGAATTTGGAATCTTAAAATGATTGTCCATATAAGACCTAATGTAAGTGCGGCATTTCCATCCTATGAAAAAGAAAATGAAGTTATTGCCAAAAAAAATTACAAATCAATGAACTTTTAGACTAGATATAATGTTTGCCAACTTACGGTGACGTCATGTGATCCAATATTTTCCAGATGTACTCTCTGCTCTCTTAAGAACTGCAATGCTTTGTCTACATTCTCCAAACAATGGATACGCATTTTACCCTTTGTTGGTTTTGGCAATCGTTCACCGGAGAGGATCTCTAGTAGTTTTATGAGGTTTTTACCATCACGCATGTCAACATAAAGATCATTTATGCGACAATTTACGCGAACAAGATGAGAGTTGACCCATTTCGTGAATGTTTTCTTTTGTACAGTTTCACGTTCCTCTGTAAAATAAGAAGAAAGGAAATTGCAAATAAAAATCAATTCATGACCTTGAAAGTTTAAGGAAAGGATTCAAAGTAAATATGTTGATCGATAATTACCTGCTAACGCCTTGATACGGGATCGTTCGAAAAGTCGGGAGCTTGAATTTCCTCCATCATATTCGTATTCATCTATATAATCTTGTCCATTATTTTGGCTGGGGTCCCAGCGAACAATCGAAATATCTGTTGTCATCGTGCTTCAATCTACTTTAAAATTAGAACATGTCATGAAAAAATATCCAGGCAAATTAAACCTCAAACTTGAAACTTTAATCCGTAATCTATCTTTTTTTTATTTCAATAGCCCCGAGACACTATAATTAGATAAAGTTCATTAAACGCGAATTTTCTCTTCTCTTTCTAATCCATATATGTCATAATAAAAATAATTATATGTCGTCGATTTGTCTACAATTGTTTTTTCATTCCTTCTCTATCGTGCAAATAATGCTGTTCACATAATTTGAATATCATTAACTGAGAAACTTTGTTTTTCACAAAAAAAAAGTTTGCAGTATGTATCTACCGACAAAAAAAAAGTATAAAAATATTATGAAATAATCACTTTTTTTACTCTCGTGAATCACGAACAAATGCAGAAAAAAAATTCTCTTTACTTTATTTCCAATGACGAAAAAACACTAAAGGTTTCAGCTCTATTGTGTGCGTGTGGAAAATGCTAAAGTCTTCTTTAGAATACAAAATCATATGAATGAGGCGAAAAAAAGTGTTCAATAAAAAATATGCTAGAAGCAAGCCTACACTGCGCATGTTTTTCATGCAGAATATTATTGTGTATGATTCAACATTGAATTTTTCCGTGTCTACATTAAATATTTTTTGTTTCCTTTTCTCCTTCTTTTCTTTAATTTTTACGTCTCATCTCGTTCACATGAAAATCGTTTTAAACCAAAAAGAAATATTGTCGGTCAATTAAATTTATTTTGAGCATTTTTCATATTTGAGGAAGCGAGTCAAGAAGAAAACATATTATAGCAATATGGTCAATTTTCGCACTCTACTGATGAAGTTATTATGATATTTATTTCTATTAATAAACGACTGCTTCATGCCAAACATCACATATACTGAATTCTATATTAAATTTGATTCTGTATTAAGTTCTCAATTGATTTGACCTCTTTCAAATATTTCATAGATATTTTCTTCAATCATTAGTTTAGTTTCTCTCACTCTTATTATTTGGTAGCTTATTAAGCTTGATTGTGGAAAAAAGAAAATCAATTCTGACTTGAAAAATAAAAGTCCAAAAAATAGTGGCTGTGCATTGTTGCCAGTTTTAATATACCACAGTTTAGATATTAAATTTCGTTATGTGTGTTTTTGCTTTCATTTAATCTTATTCAGTATTTTTACAGAAAATCAATGATGACATCGAAAGAACGAAGAAGAAAACTCGTAAAACTTGACTGCATTTAAACAAAAAATCATTTCGCTTTTAAAGTAAATAGAATGAGCAACACGAGACGTTTAAAATAGCCTATGACATCATATCGCATATTCATCACCATCATCATCATCCGAGATTCTTTTATATCCATTTTTCATTACTAAAGTAATCACTTATTGCATAAACTATATACAAACACAATCTTCTTTACATAATATTTTTACAAGTGGATACTCGTTCCTATCGGAATCTTACTATTCATATTAGCATCTTTCAATGCCGCCGGTATAAGAGGAAGGAATGAGTAAATAACTTACGAAAAATGCTTGAATAAGATTTTTGTTTCTTGTTTTGTTTTTGTGAGCTGATTTTTAAGCAAAATTTAAACTTTTCTGGTTTCATTTTTCTATATTTTTTAAGTATATAATTTTATGTGCATAGCTCGTGCGGTGCCTAAAATTTTATTTTTATTTAACTTTCTCATTATCAAATGTCATAACCACATGACATCAGTTGGCTTATCACTATCAATTGAAATTTCCAGTTAATTCATTCGAGCTGACAGTCATTAAGCTTGTTTTTTTTTGTCGACAGTCATAATAATTCGGAAATAATAATAAACATGAGAATTAAAATATTAATAATTGTTGAATGAGAATTAAGAAACAGAATGAAATTAATGAATAGAACAGCAACAAATAGAATTCTATTAGTTGAATAACCCTACACATGTACGCATTGTTATGGTACTTTTTGTACACTAATTACGGAAAGAGCCAACATAAAGTAACTGGCAAGTTTCATACGAACATGACACCCATTTTATTCCAAGCGGTTGTTTTGTATTCTTTCATATTCTTCTTTACTGTTTAAAATGATTGACGTTTAAAGTTAATCAGGTCTGTGTTTGTATGACTTTATTGGAAATGATTTTTTTTTTTTTGGAAACAACTTAAAAGACGATGGTAGACAACATTACCAATAAACATTTCGGTTTCTAGGAAATGATAAATTTTCTTTTTTGGTCGTAAATAGCATTCTTCAAATTTCAAACTTATTTATGTGCTGTTTATGTATGTGTTGATGTTCTATACAACTACATTTTTTTAGAGAATTAGAATTAACTTTGCTACCGCTGAGTGCAAAAGGAAATGGTAAATTAACAAAATTTTCTCTTTTTTTCTGCTTTAAGCGAAGCATTACACATTATGTGGCATTTGTACAGCCACTTTCTGCTAACTTGCTATTTTATGAACGTGTAAGATTTGACCTTTCAATATTGAGAAGTGAATTTCACCACTTACTAATGAAGATAGGCTGTTATAATCTGTTCTGAGTATTTGAGAACATGTTGGGGATTTTTGCAAAAATTTATAACATGTGGATTGAATTAAGCCATAAAATCTTAAACTTTTGATAATTTCATAAATATTGAAATTCAAAAAAAGTCAAAAATTCCCCAAGATAAGAAGCTCCTTTTGAGTTTGTGAATGTTTCAGCAAACTTTTTATGCCAATACGCAACATGAATTAATTATCGACGAAACGATTATAAAGCCTCAATCCAAAACTATCGTAAATTCTCATTCCAAAAATGTTAAGTATGATTTTCTGTTTAATGTTATTACAGCGATTTACGATATACTCTCCCATATTTCTTTTCCCTCAATCATTTTTATGGTCGTCGACATAATTCTTCACATAAGCAGTTCAAATTCTCTTGGATGTTGAATTAACCTAGTTAATATGTTTTATCTATGTGTATATTCTAGATGTGTCGATTACAATGAACAAACAAAACAGAATGATAATTATCACGCCCAACGTCTCGACAATCGTATTTTACGTTATTACTATATGATGGATATCCAGTTAAATGATTCAGAATCGTCCCATTACTAATCATTATTCACTTAATTCGTAACAAGTTGTCTAGATTTAAATTATTTTTCAGTTCTTATCTCCATTGCCTCTATTATTGCTTTACTATGGTGAAATAAAAATGTCATTGGTTTGAACTTATTGAATATTAAAATTCTGTTGCTATTTATAAAATTATTCTTTATTAATCAATTATAAAACTAGTATTTTTCTGAGAAGATTGACTGATAATATTAATTAACATAGTTGATTCTTAATCAAGCATTATGAAATCATTTTGAATTTGAATGCTGATAACAAAGATTTCAAAGCATTAAACGGGAAAATCCCTTAAAGTGATAATAATTTCACCAGATTTCTAAAAATTACATTGATAAGCGACAAATGGATGGAAAGCTTTCTTAAAACAAACATCTTTGTTTGAACTTTTTGCAATTATAACAATTCCATCCAAGAAAATAACAAATCAGAAATCAATATTTAAAGTAAATAAAATTTTAAAATACAATTGAATCGTCACATAATTCACAAACTTCTTCTATATCGAATTCATTATTTAAAAGACCTTGTACTACAGCTTGAAGCAGACTGTCGTCTGCTGTAAAGTTTGTGCAATTTCGAACAAAAAGTTCACTTGCTTCAGTTTTAATTGGGAAACGGGTGATTTCTTGGAAGGTGTTTGAAGATGTATTAGTATAATAATCAGTAGTGTTTGCATTCATATCGCAATTTTGTTTTTCTTTGCATTTAAAATCAGTGTGTCCAATATATGGAATTGGTTCAAAAAAACCAGAATTAATTGAAGATGATGAATAATTTGGTGATTGATTGAATACCCAGAGTTTAGTTTCCTCTTTGCACTCAATATTAGAATATCCAGTATTTAGACTAAAGGTGGCAGGATTGACTGGAGATGATGAGGTTTGACTTAACTTCCAATTTGTAGCTTCGCATTTCATATTTGAATAACCAAAAAATGGAATAGAATCATAAACTGAAGGCAGTGAATATTTCGAGGAATGGCTTTTTAAGGATGAAGACGATAAATCAGAATTGTATCCCGAGTCGTTAGGAGAAGATGGACTGGATGACATAGATTCATCATTTTCTTGTTTAATAAGATTTTTATTCTTTTGACGCTTTGCCTTTGCTTCATGTTTAACAGCAAATCGGCGTTTTTCTGTCTCTAAGCAATCAACACATGGGCAGTTGAGGTATGGACAAGAATTTTTATGCTCCTTCATACTCTTTATTTCATGGTGATTTGCGCATTTTCTGCACTTTTGATCCTTTCTCATTTTTCCAAATGAAGGTTCGGTATTCAAAATATGACCGAAATTCTTTTTCTTTTGATAATTATTTTTCTTATCTTTTGAAGCAGCAAATCGTCTGTCTTTAGTCATTCTACATGGTTTGCAATCATCAAAATGCTCTTTTTTGTCGTAATCACATCTATGCCCTTTTTTCTTCATGGATTCTCCATGATTTTGACATAAACTACATGTTTGTTCTTTTCTTGTTTCCTTATCTTTTTTGACACTGTTTAAGGGAACGACAGAAAATATAAAACTAATTAAAGATTTTTCAAAATTATGAGATGCAATATATTTTTGAAAATAAAAATTTAATTAATCAATTTCACTACCGTTTAAATTATCACAATATTTAATATTTTACTGTCACAAGTGTAAAGAGTTAACATATCTATTTATTGCGGACGAAAATGACATTTCTGTCAGGATTCTTAGGATGTCAGCTTTAATTCGAGTACAGAAGTTTACAAAAAACCACAAGAAATCTTGTTGAATTTTTAAACTTAAGTAGACTTTTCAGTATCGCTGTTTTCAAGCACCAAAGTATTTGAATACTGCGGTTCCTAGTCAAATCAAGCTCAGAATTAAACAAATGTTTATTTTTGAAATATTTCAACTAATTACACTTTTTAAAGTTTCACTTTATAGGACTGAGACGAAAACCGAGATTTAAAAACGACCATAATTACGCGGTATATGTTCTCTTATCATTTAAATCTCATGTTGAAATTTTTGCACAATTTCTTGCTGATGTTTAACATTTATTAAACATTTTTGCAATAACAAAAGTCTCACCTTACATCCTCCTGAACATAACAGTTTTCCATTTTAATGATGGGATTTTGCATATATAATGGCTTATCAAAAATATTCATTTTATTTTATTAAAATTATAAAAAATCCTATTTCAGATTCTTTTGAGTTTCTTTAAATCCTTTTAGGTTGAGATTCAGTTGAGAACTAGAATGGTTGATTATATTCAAATGAAATTTTATTGAGAATCAAATATGGCGATAAGAGAGAGAACATTGATGACTGTATGAGTTTTAACTGTGTAAATTAAATAAACATAAGAAATTTCCCTATGACTGCGACGCATTCAATTGTACTTAATTTAATTCAGTGAAATAAGTCATGATCTCAATTTATGAGCGATTCATTTAGCGAATCATTTTTGAGTTAATCAGATATATTTTTTTATATGAATACTTGAACATCGGCTATGCTGTTTTTTTGTGTACATTAGTATTGTTCACAAACATATTTACAATTTTTGTTATCAATTTATGACATCATCCTCAATTGTATGAAGAACGACAAATGTATTCAAAATAAAAAGACTGGAGGCTGAACACATATAAATACACACAGCATCGGACAATTGCAAATGAACAAAAAAACATTTGCAAATGAAATGAATCTGGAAATCATATATCAAAAAAGAACACGAATGGATGTTTAACTATTTTGATGCTAATAATAAATTTTTGTTTGTGTATTTTTTTATGTGTTTAACTTAGTCATTGAAGATTGAACATTCTGTAGCGTATTTTGTTATTCAGTCGATGCGGCATTTTAATCATTATGTCAGTAATTATAGAAAGTTTATGGAAGTGTAAACAAAAATCTAGAACATATTTAGAGTTATTTGCTTACTGAGTGATCTAGTCGATAATTGGATCGAAAGTCTGGAATGGAATGTGCTATGTGTTCATAATTATTGTACAATATATCTCATATTTTAGGTATTTTACATAACGATAAATATTTAGATTTCTAGAGGATGATGTAAATAAAAGAAACGAATGACTTAAATGTGCAGGTATTAATGTACACGCGAATCGTCTTTTCTTATCACTGGTTTCGCACTATCACAAAGAAAAGTAAATATTACATCATTTTCAATTTCCAGTGATAGCCTGCCTTTGTGCTGCGGTACAATCATTTGAAGCATGCTTAAATATATCTTAAATATTATTATAGATTTAAAGCGCGCCTTCCTTAGAAAAAGTTTTCCCACCACTGTTCTATCATACACTCATAGAAAAAAAGTAACAAAATGTTTGTAACTTGTATGGAAAATGTTAACAAACAATTCGTTAAAATAGTGTTTACGAACTTATTTGTTAAATTTAACCAAATTATTTGTAAGGTTGAATTGTTAACTATAAAAATTGTTAATTTAACAAACTTTTTGTTAAAATTTTTTTTTACAGAAAAAAATAACAAATTTTCGGTTAATATTAACCAGAAAATTGTTAATTTGGTCACCCATCTTATTTTAAAATGTTTCCGTGGTTGCTTAACTTCTGAATTCCTGTTGATGATCCGCTAGTCCGCTGCTTGTAAACTTTTACTTATAAAATTTGATTCAGAACCAATATAAATAATTCTTTAAAAAATATATCCAAATTTTAAAATTAATTTATGAATAATAAAATAGAAATGTAGGACTTAAAAAAATGAACAAATTTAATTTTTAAATTACGATTTGGTTTGTAAATCATTATTTTCCAAAACAAATTACAAATAAAAACATTGTAACAAATGTTTTGTTAAAATTAACAAATTAATTTGTTAAACAAAATCAACAAAATTCAATTTAAAGCAGTTTTCTCATTAAAAATAACGCAATAAATTAATGGGAATCGTTTGAAATTAATCAAACAAGAGTTTTGAATACAAAAATTAAAATTTAATTAAATCAATTATTAACAAATAAATTTGTTGATTTAACAAACTCAATTGTAAAATTTTTAACAAATAGTTTGGTTGAAATTTTTTTTACCCATGTAAACTTAACCAATAATTTGTTAAACTAGTTTAACAAACATATAACAAATATTATGGTTACTTTTTTTCTATGAGTGTATCATAAGATTTCAAAGTAGGAAAATAGTCGATGCGAGCGAAGGAAAAAATTATTGATTTTTTTTCGTGTGTTATTGCTAAGTAAAGCATCTGTCTCACACCTCCTGCAATGTAGATTTTTTTTTTGTATCATGTACGGAACGATTTCCAACCCTCCCTCAACCCAAATTATATATCTATGTATAACGCATAGTCTAGCTGGAATATTGTTTTGTATACACGCACGAGTCATAAGCACATAAAAGAATGGAAGGACGAAGGATACATTTTCATTTTTGCATCAATTATGAGCAGCGAGAGTAGAAGAAGGAATTTGTGAAAAAACAAAGTAGAATTTTTCTATTTGTTGCTCATTTAATTCATTGAATTTTGTAAGAGAAATAAAATTAATTGAAATTAAAGGCGTTGGTTGTAGCAAACAGCACTAACGCACACACTTATGTGAATTGTCGAATTGAAGTAAAGAAGAAAAATGTTGGTAAGAAGAAGAAACATTAAACTCTGATTTTTTTGCATCGTTATAAATGGTATTTTCTTCTTCTTACCATGACTTATGCTGTTACTCTTATGCTTATAAAGGTAAAAAAAAATAATGATGCAAGTTACATGTATTTTAAGCATAGTTTTTACTTATATATAAATTCCAAAAATAAATCAACATCTACATTTTCCATTTCACACGAAGAGAAAAAATAAAAATTTTCTCTCATCTTATAAGAATTTTTTTTTTATACTGAAGAGGATGAAGTCACTTGTATAGAGATTATGATTAATTCAACTACAAAGCAAAATTTTATATGAATTGTAATACATATTCACCAGAACTATGCGAGTTTATAGCAAAATTGATTTTTTAGGGGCTTTAATATCCAAATTTATTGCATTATGTCATGAATGTTTTTAATCCAAAATTATGGAATTTATCCTAGCGGCCATTTAAATTTTTTTTCTATTTTTCACTATTGATTTTCATAGATTTTTTCAACATAATTCACTATTTCATGATATAATAATCTTCAAAACTGATAGATTACGGATAATATTTCATGATTGTGCTAATTAAATGACTATTCACATATCATTTACCACTTTTCAAAAATTTTCTTCTTTGCACGAACTCTTTCCTGATGTTTTTCGCTTTACTTCTCTTCGATGACTGAATATGCTACGCCCAAATCGTTGAAAATTGCCGCACGATTCAATCAATAAAACAATCACTTTTTACTTTATTTCAACTCTTTGAGCTTCTTAAACACCTTATTAATATTTCTTAATAGTCCTTTACACATAAATGTCCTTTAAATCTTATGTCTTTAACTCAATAAAAATTTATTTTGATGTCCATAGCTGAATTGGAAAGTCTTTTAAGTATTAAACCCCCCTCAGCTCTTTTAATATTTGAGTTTTTGTTTTTCGTTAAACTTTGCACGGTTTTGAAAACTTTAATTTTGTTTTATTTAAATTTAATTGAGTTTTTAATTTTTATTTAAAAATTCTGTACGATTTTTATGTCTGATTAGACAGTACTTTTAAGAATGGAAAGATTTGAAAAGGTACGAACATAAAAAAAAAATCTACCTGAGATTAAACTTGCTTTTGAAACTTTGAAGTTTATCATCCTTTTCTGTTTATGTCTCAAAAGGATTATATCTTATATAGCTGTATAATACTCACAGTTTCTTATCATATTATTATCTTGTCCTTTGATATTATTTTGCTGATAAACCATTTTTTTAAAGTGATGACTTTCGTTGCTAAATTTAAACAATTCTTTTATTTTACTTCTCTTTTCTTTTGGTCTGCAATAAAAAATTATTGATCTCTTTGCTATGGCAGCAGAATCTGGGATATCGATTCATATCGTAGCAAGTTGGCTAAAGTAGTGCTTCGCAAAGTATGTTCCACGACGAAATAAAGTTTCCCTTTATCTTTTAGGTTAAAAATAAATGATTTAATGAGTCACAATCCATTTAGTTTGAAAACCACAATGCTTATAGATAGTAGAGTCCTAGATATTGATTGAAAGGTGTAAAACAAAAGATTATGTCTTAATTGAATTGCAGTTTCTATGATTTATCTTTTTGAACATTGTTTTGAGTCGAAAATCTCTAAAACTTAGATTTTGAGAAGACGTGGATTTGATTGACTAATGAAATGTCTGAGACAGTGCGTCACTACACTTTCGAAACTAGGTTTTTGTGAAATCTTTGAACTACACCAACTTTGTTAAAATTCGCAAAGCACACTGAGATTGAGGATTTCATACAAAAATTTCAAAAAACTCCAAAATTGCAAAGAATTTTGCAAACCGTCTAATCTTAGATTTCATTTTGATTATTCTGTTTCCATATACTGAGAGTCTTTTTTTTTGGGATCTCAATGTGGGTTTTTGCGAATTTCAATGAATTTGGTATAGATTGTAAATCTTTAAGAATTCTGGTTCCAGGTTTCAGAGCTAATAGAACTATCCTAATCTGGAATCGATATTAAATGGAATTTCTCTTTGAATTAATCCTTGAATTTTAAAAGAAATTTTGGCGCCAAAAATGTTTTCTATCTATCTATCTCTGTTTAGCTAAGAAATTTATGAAAAATGTTCGCAAGGGATTTAGACGAAAATTAGATGTTCCCGTTGAGAACAGCTTCCTTCATTAACTAGATAATTTATACAGTCGTATTTTTGCAAATATAAGTATATGCACATCATCACGTTTGAAACTCATATCTATCTTCATTATTTTTAAAATCTTCAAAACCAAAAACAAGCAGAACAGAAAAGACTCAAATATCGTAGTTCAATGTTTATGATGAAATATCAAGTTTTAAAGAATCTGACACAAAAAGTTAAGTTTTTCAGAATACCTCTTTATTCACATCAAATTGACATGTATAATATTTTCAAAATTCTTTCATAAAATGTCCTACAACAAGTCTCTGATTCGTATTGAATAATGTAAAACTTTCATAAGGCATTTTCACATTTTTTTATGGCTATCACAACATTTTAGACAACACAAAAAATGATTATTGTACACATAATTACTATATTTTCTAACATTTTTCTGTTTTTGAGGGATAAAAAAATATGTATAGTCCCTAATTCCTTCCAAAAAAGCTTGACTAGATGTATAAATAAATCTTCTATGAAATTATTTACAGTAGCGTGCAGAATATTATGGACGGTCAAAAAAATTTCGTTTTTATTCTCAAAAGCATACTTAACGTTGTCCAATTTAGATGAAATTTTCACCACTTATACTGTTTTTCATGTGCTTTCACATGATAAAATATAAATATGCTATAGTTAATAATTTTTGAAAAAACCGTTAAAATTCAAAATCAGGTGCGTGCAAAATATTATGGACGATTCTTTTTTGGTAATTTTTTTTATGTTTAAGCTATTTAAGCTTACTTTTTAAACTTTAAACATGAAGTTCAAACATTTTACTCCAATTTTATACATTCTTAATGGATGTGTAGCAAGTTTAAGGCATAAAAAAATCATGATGAAAAATTATGCAAATATTTTACTATTTTTGTTACTTTTCATCAATAGCAAGCATTAATATCGGTTATTTTAGACTGTAATCCCGAGTGGACAAAGTACTAGTTAAAAGCTTGCAATTGACTTGCCTGTTCATGGCGAGTAAGTATCCATTGACGTGCCTTTGCAACTAGACTTAGGGACGACTAATGACATATTTTGCGCTTTCCATTTAACTGGACGTAGGAATTGCAAATATGTCTAGTTAATGTCCAGTTACAAAAAAATCGAAATAAAATAAATAACACGTGTCTTTTTCTCCATTTTTTTTTCTTCTGTAAAATTTTATTATTGTATTAGTGTAAATAATTAATTAAAGTACACTAACACTTATGAAAAATTTCTAGTAAAAATTGAGTCTCGAACACTTGCGCGTGAAACAATTATATTTACTTGAAAGTTTCATACAAATTTTGGGAGGCCTTATATAAGTGATTTCTGCAAGCGCTTGTGAAGTATATGGTCAAAAAAGTAAGGAAAATTATTTTTGAGTTTCGAACACTTGATTGATTAGCATGAATGTCCAGTTAAAGTCTAGTAAACGTCTAGTTCTTTTTGTCGTATAAATTTGGGCAAGTCAAAAGACTGTTAAATGATTGTCCAATAATGGACTTTAACTGGCTGTGTCCACCCGGGAATGTATTGAATTCTTAACTATCTTTCTATTGATATATAATTTGTCTGTATTAATATAGTCTAAATGAAAAAAATTACGAAAAAAGTTCATTGAAGAGGGAAAAATTTCATCAACAAAAATATAAATTGATTAAAATTTCTTAAATATCCATGAAATATTACCCAATTTAGTCTTATTTTCTCACATATATGTTGTAGATTAGTAATTAGGTAGAATTACATTTTAATATTGCACGATAAGATATATTTTTATGAGCCAATACTATGAAAAAAGTCATGTTGAAACTTGAAAAATATTTCATAATATTTTTTACATTTTATGCAGTATAAATTTATGTAAATCAATTAAAAACAACTCAAAATACTCTTTGCCAACTATTTAAGCCAAAAACAAGAGAGAAAAATGCATATTTAAAAGTTTAATGACAAATATTTTTTTCGTCTTTAAAATTTTCTTTTGGTCATACAGAAGGCTCTCTTTTTATGACTTTATTACTCAAAATATAAATTTATAACTGCTCAATTACTAATCTACAACATAAATGTGAGAAAATAAGACTAAATTGGGTAATATTTCATGGATATTTAAGAAATTTTAATCAATTTATATTTTTGTTGATGAAATTTTTCCCTCTTCAATGAACTTTTTTCGTAATTTTTTTCATTTAGACTATATTAATACAGACAAATTATATATCAATAGAAAGATAGTTAAGAATTCAATACATTACAGTCTAAAATAACCGATATTAATGCTTGCTATTGATGAAAAGTAACAAAAATAGTAAAATATTTGCATAATTTTTCATCATGATTTTTTTATGCCTTAAACTTGCTACACATCCATTAAGAATGTATAAAATTGGAGTAAAATGTTTGAACTTCATGTTTAAAGTTTAAAAAGTAAGCTTAAATAGCTTAAACATAAAAAAAATTACCAAAAAAGAATCGTCCATAATATTTTGCACGCACCTGATTTTGAATTTTAACGGTTTTTTCAAAAATTATTATTTATAGCATATTTATATTTTATCATGTGAAAGCACATGAAAAACAGTATAAGTGGTGAAAATTTCATCTAAATTGGACAACGTTAAGTATGCTTTTGAGAATAAAAACGAAATTTTTTTGACCGTCCATAATATTCTGCACGCTACTGTATTTTGGTTTTTAAATAGACTAAGTCTTTTGGGGTGGGTGGGGGGGGGGGGTATGATAAAAGATTAGTGCGTGTTCAGTTATCGTAGACTTATAAATGGCTTCAGAGTTGGTTGTAGAGACTTCTTCGTCAGGATCGTCCGTTTTTAATTAATTAATTTTAATTTTATTATCTAAAATATTCTACATTTAGTTGCCAAAGAATTTGCGAATTGAATCCAACTCTTTTAATTGTCTTCTTATTCCGCATGATGATGATGATGATTATGATTTATTTCAACTTTTTGCGGCGCTGGACGGATCATCTGGAAATGGTTAGACGTAAATAATTTATGGCACTTTCTAAACAAATAACTTTAATATAAGCATAAGTTACCTTCAAAGCAATTTTAATCATGAGGATGAACCAATAGATTTGAGGTAAGAATAGGGCAAGTATAGATAATTGGCACATCGATGGTAGCTTGGTAATCGCTTCATAAAACGACAGGGATACGACTAAACTGTATTTATACATCAATAATGGAAGCATGATAATTCTGAAGCACAAGAACGATAAGATCATGAGGAATCCATTGATTACATATAATTTTGACTCTTTCATTTTTAAAATGCTGAGCACAGCTCTAAAGCTGACAAATGGCGTTGACATTTCCATCATGTACATAAAGCTAAAGATGCAGTCCCCCAGACCACCACGCCATGATGATATTACGATTAGGCCTGTAAATAATAGTAATGGTATAATATTTGATTAATATTAAGGCAATACAAATACAAGCTACAGCACTAATTTAATTAACTGGGAAAATCAAGCGAGTGCTATTAGTAACAATACATTTGATCGTCGCGAATTTAAACAATTAATGTATGCACATATTAATTTAAAAATGACGTATTTAAATGCTTAGTATTTTAATGAATGCTTCATTATAAAAATGAATAAGAATTTAAGAATTTATCATTTCCTTTATTTTGTGGAATCTTTAGATTATTGTGATGTTTTCTTTCAACCAGATTCCTATCAATGTTCCAAATTATTACCGTGACCTAGTTCAGTTTAAATGCATAGATTCAAATAATTTCTGGTTCCAAAACAATGTTAAATAAAACAGAACGGTAAGTCTATAAAACATCAATATCAATTACAAATTGAACAGTAGTCGTACATTTTAGAGAATTATAGAACAATGACTAAATGGAAATTTTTTAAATATTAATCTTAGGTCATTCTCAATAATATAAGGGTTTGATGACTACAAGAAATCGCATCATTTTAAGCCAGTCTTAGTCAGATTTTTCTGGTTTCTCTTAATGAGCATTGTTGCTACTTTTATAAAAAATTTCCATTTGATGAAAATAGAACTTAGTGTATTTGGCAGATGTGTCAACACATGAAGGATGTGTAAATATACAAAGCACTTACAATGTTGCATACAAATTGTTTTCATGTCATATTTCCAAGACTAATACATACTTAAGTATGTTACCAGAAGAGTGTTAACTTTAGCCTGGACAGAAACTTCTTTAGTTTTCTCGAGAATGACTAAGTTCGTATCAGTTCGTATATGCTATGTTTTAATGCCATTTTAGAATTAGAATCCATTTAAGAAAATATCAAGAACTGATGGTCATAAAGTTAACAGACGGATCTGGACTTATACAAACGAAATCTCTTTAAAATGACATCTAACTATGTAACATCATTAAGTCATACCTCTGGATCAAAAATTGAATAGCAAAGAATATCTTTGGACTATGAAATTGGAAAGTAAATAAAATTTTCGTCGTAATGTTTACCCACAAATGAAATTATTGCGTGGTACCAATAGTATCGTAATCTGAGCATGCAACCACAAAATCGTTTGAACTACAACAGACTACGCCCCTGTTGTAAGTCATCATTATCCTCAATACAACTTGATTACAGTATATTTAAGGATTCTTTCATCAAGAAAACATAACGGAATCCATACAAATCATTTATCTACAAAATAAAATAGATAAGATCCAAGAGTGTGCTACTTACCATAACCGCCAATGAACATGTGATGGAATATCATTAATTTATTTCTCTTTATATATTCTAAAAAGCTCGGGATTTCTTGATTTTGTATGGAGAAGCTTTCGACAATCTTCAGCTCTCCATTTTCAACAGCAGGTATCATGTTATAAAGATCCATATTTTCAGTCCAATTAATAGTTTTCAATTTGAGATTATCATAATATTTTGATACATAGACAATAAACATAGACCATATATCATATAGAAAATATGCAGATGCAAAAAATGCATATGCTTCTGAAAAGATGTGTGATGTTGTGAGAAAATTGCGACGACATGAATGCGCACATATGAGGAATCCAAATATGCAACTTAAAACAGCTTGTAATGCTGAAATCAGCCTAAAAAAGAATGGAGATAAAAAAGTTAATTAACTTATCAAGTCACATGATTAATTTGCCCTCGATTAATCCACACATGAGGCAGTACAAAGAGCAAGCTTACATATAGAAAATAATAATCAAAACAACTTACTTATTTGTAATATCAAGACAATCAGATATTGATAGACGCAAATTCTTAACCCATTTGAGGCCATATGATGAACATAGCAAAATTTTGTGTAATAGCTTTGTCATTGAAATGAAAAATACGAAGCCAAGAACCATTATAAAAAGCCCCAATTTAATTGGTACGCGAACATCATCCTCGTGTTTTAATACAATTCCAAAAGCTAATGTAAATGATGTTATTGCAAAAGTCAATTCTTTGTATAAATTCTTTTCAAAATAGTTCAACATTTTCTAATTTTTTTTTCTTCTCTGTCTCTCTCTTTCTCGTTTGTCGCCTTCTTTTTTTATGATTATTAGAAAGGAAAAAAATATAAAATAAAAACTTAAAAACTGCTTAGAATGATAGCACGGTAGTTTAAATCTGATAATAGACACTGTCTGACATTATCTTTACTATTTTGCGCGAGATTGTGCTATGTTATGAATTCAAGTGCCTTTATCACTGAAAATATTTATTGAAAATGTAGCCACTTTTATTTACTGAAACATTTTTTTGTTTTGATCTGATGAGGGGGAACTAACTCGGTAGAGAGTTCGTCCATACAAGATCATCTGGAAAAAGTAAAAAAAAAAATTGAGATTTTCTTTTATTTTTTGCTTTATTAAAATTATTAATTCTTACTTTTACAAACTACCTTTTTTCTTTTTATTTCATGAAATAAAATTTAATCTAAATTTGATAATAATCATAAATCAATAATTAGTGCTTACATACTTTTTTTTATATGTAGAGTGAAATCATAATTTCAATTCTTTCTTAAGAAGACATAATATCTATCGTGCTATTACTTATATACATTTTATTCTCACGTCTAGACATAAATAGATTCAAGATTAATTCTATTCTTACTCATTAGTCCTTTTTTTTGCTTTAAAATAGCCTTCATCAATGGCTTCATACTATTATGTTCAACATAAGTTAAATTTTGTAGATTTCATGCATTTTCTGCAATTGTCTCATTATCACGAAGAAAGTCTCTCTCATAAAATTTTAAAAATTGGCATAGGATAAATAACATCCACCCAAAATTTGTTTTTTCTTAGTCAGTAATATTAATAAAGTCCGATGTCCTATAAACTTCTCTAGTCATTACAAAACATATTTTGATGAACAATCCAACTAGAAATTCTATACCAAATAAATTCCCAATCAATCTTCAAATCTATTCAAGTCTAGAATTCTCGATAATTAAAACATTTTTACGGAGAATCGTACTCATCGTCTGTATTGTTTTTACTTATTCTTTTTGTGATATCTTTAATGGATTGAATTAGTGCCTTCTGCATCATTTCTTTTTCTGTTAATTGTCCTAGACCTGTTGAGAAAATTAACACACTCATTTGCAACGTACTTAATTGATAGTAATTATTCTCATACCATTTTTTGCATATGATGATTCTAGGAGTGATTGATAAAATGCAGACACAGGCTTTTCACCATCACTTTCTGAGGAAGATGAACTTTGTGGCCCCGGTGATGGTGATAATCTTTTTGAACGCTTTGGACTTGATGTTTCTTCCTTGGGAGCTTCATCTTGCTTTCGTTTTTCACTAAAAATGCATGTAAAAATAATTTAATTTATAGTTTTAAACTCAGAAACTAGGTTCAAAAATAGGACTTTTCGAAAATGCGCTCTAAAAACTTCGCACTGACTACACGAATGGAAGATTCCAGTAATAAAAACTTAGAAGCAAATTTCCTTCTTGGACAATTAAAATAATGCATTCTTTATTTTAATCTTTGCAGAATAGCAAAATGGAATTTTTAACTTTAAATCAGTGTTGCAAATATAGATGTCTACACTAGATGAAGAATGTAGATTCTTCAATAGTTTTTGTCTAGCTAAGAAACTTTCTTCATAAAGATCGATTCTATATGAAGATAGAAAATCTAATCTACACAAAGATTATTTCTACATAAAGATTCGATGTAGATGTCTACAATTCTACATTTTTTCCAGGTCTACATCAGAGAAGAATGTAGAATTGTAGACATCTACATCGAATCTTTATGTAGAAATAATCTTTGTGTAGATTAGATTTTCTATCTTCATATAGAATCGATCTTTATGAAGAAATTTCTGTCTCAGAATTTATCTGATCCAGAAAAAAGGCCAGAATGCAACACTGCTTTAAATAAACTTCTTTTCACGATAACAATATTTACAATAATAATCAGATTCCTACGATCAATATATATATATATAACTTAATTATTCAACACTCCTCCTTAATATTAACTTCGCATACACTATGTTAATATTACAAACGCAGTCCACAATCGTCAGTAAATTTCTTCAGTTTAATATTTCCTAACGTCTTCGTCATCATATCAGCTATATTTACGTCAGTGCTGCAATATTTCAGTTCAATCTCTCCTGAATCAACCAATTGCTTCACATAGTGATATTTATCAATATTTAGTATCAATGTGCTTGCTTCTGTTGCTGAATTTCTGATTTGATACCAGTTTCATACTACTCTGACTATCTGTATATAGTGTAGTTTCATCTGGAACGACAAACTCAGAAAAAGAATTGGTCAACATTTTAACCCATTTTAGCTTTTTGCAACTTTCTGAGAGTGCGATGTATTCAGCTTCCATTGATGATAACGATACTACGTCTTGTTTTCTGCTGCACCATGAAACAACACCTCCATTATTTCCACAAAGAAAACCACTGATAGATTTTCGGTCCAACGAATCTTCAGCCCAGCTTGCATCAGAATAAACTTCCAATTCTCCAACTTTCTTCTTATCACTCAACATCAAACTTAGATTCTTGGTACCATTCAAATAGCGAATAATTTTCCTCGCTTTTATCAAATCAGTCTTTGTTGATTTTGAAATCTTTTCTATACTCATTATTTGATTCTAAATAATTCTCATCATGATGCCTAAAATAGCCAGTCATCAAAGGATATTTTGAAAATTTTCCATCATTAAGACCAACTTCTTTGACACTATATGATCCGATTCTAAGGTAAATAAACTTACACTCCTTAGAAATCGATTTAATTCCATATGACCTGTAGAAATCCAGTCATTAACCCATAATTTATTAACCTTCAATTTGGATGCACTTGTTTGAGCTGCAGCTTCGATTCTCACTCGAAGTGGTGGAAGCTCAAGAAATCTATCCAAAGCCAGTTTTGGAGTAGTTTTCCAAGCACCGCAATTCTGCTATTCTTTGCAGTTTCTCAATTTTCTGAGAGGCAAAAACTTGTTTCATTTTATGCCACCAAACAACACATCCATCCATAATTCTTGGTAAAATAACTTGCTCATACAGCCAATACATCATATTGGGTTTTAATCCCCAGTTTTTACCAACAATTGATCTACAAGCCCAGAAGGACTTAATCACCTTACTTACAACGAAATCTACATGCAAATTCCAGTTTAATTTGCTGTCTAAGTAGATACCAAGATACTTTGCTTCATAACTGAATTCTATCCTTTGACCATACATAACTGAAGGACGTAGCTCACCTAATTTATACTTCGTACTGAAAGGAACTACAATTTTTTTTGCTGGATTTACTGATAAACCAATTTTATCACAAAAACCTTCCACAACGTTTAAAGACCTTTGAAAAACATCTAACACTGTGTTAGTAAATTTACCATTTACTAAAATAAAAATATCATCAGCATAACCTTGGGCAAAGATGCCCCCTGAGCCATTTAGATCTACTAATAAATCATCAATAACCAATGACCACAACAGACAAGACAAGTTGCCACCCTGTGGTGTACCACGTTTCACTATGATGAACACAACTTCACCGTTCAATGATGCGTGAACGATTCTCGATCTAAGCATGTTGCTGATCCACTGTATCATTCTTTGTGGAACTCTTCTTCGATGTAAGGCATTTGTGATAACATCGAAACCACCTTCAATATCAATGAGGCCTCCCACCATAAATTCCGTGTCGAAGAAACTCTTTTCGATTCTAGAAACAATACTATGTAAGGCAGCATCTGTCGATTTACCAAGTTGATAAGCAAACTGATACTTAGACAAAGGCCTACTTGACAGAATTTCATCCCTTATATATCGATCAACTAATTTTTCCAATACCTTTAATAGGAAAGACATCAGACTGATAGGTCTAAATGACTTAGCTTCAGCGTAAGTGTCTTTACCTGGTTTTGGAATAAAAACAACTTTAACACTTCTCCATGATTTTGGAATGTACCCTGTATCCAAACTGTACCTAAATAAACTGAGTAGAGGCATCAACTGACCTAAGCCTTTTTGTAAGAGCACAGGAAAGATACCATCCTCTCCTGCTGACTTAAAAGGCTTCAGAGAATTGACTGCCCAAGTAAATTTCTCCTCAGTAACGACATTGTCTGACAATAATCCATCACCAGGCAAAAAAGTACCCAACTCACTATAGTCCATTGAGTCATCAACTATTGTTGATCCAGGAAAATGAGAACTCAAAAATAGCTGAAGACTTTCACTACTGCTATGAGTAAAAGTCCCGTCCTGCTTCTTGAGTGCACCGATTGTTGTATCTGCATTTCTCTTCGCCATTAATTTGTGAATCCTTGCGCAGTTCTCAAACCGTTCAATTTCTTCACATTTATTTTTCCACGAAGCAAGTGCTGCTTCCTTAATAGAACTACTGTACCTGGTTAGTGATTCCTTATAGCCAGATCGCAATGAAGCTTCAGCTATGCTAAAACCTCGTCTTACTAGCTTTTTACTTTGATTGCACTTTCTTCTTACAGCCTTTCTCATCTTATCCAACTCTGAATTATACCACTTACATCTACCATGTTTACATGGCTTACTGACCTTACAGTTATCTGTATAGGCATGCAAAATGGCTTCATTCAAATTTCTAGAAAGACACTCAGCTTCAGTCCGTGTTGAAATGTTCCAATTTAAACCATTTAAATACTTAATCAAGCTACATTTATAACCAATCCAGTCAGTGTTTCTCGGGTTTCTAAAACCCTCCCTAGCAGATTCACTAGACATTATCTCAAAAGTAATATATCTGTGGTCCGAAAGGGATGGCTCATCTGAAACTCTCCAATCACTGACAGCATTGCACATACTTCTATTGGAAAATGTGATATCAATCACATCCTGTCTAATGCTGTTGCAGAAATTATGTTCATTACCTTCATTCAAAACAATCAATTCCTTAATAAGCAGAAATTACATTAGGCAGAAAACTGAATCAATTCCAAAATTGCATTCATATGATAAACTGCAATCGTCCTTGATTCTAACATAATCGGTTTTGGCATATTTGCCGCTCGATACAAATCCTAAAATTTGAACTGAACGTTACAAACTATGGTTAAAAGTTAGCTTGAAAATCAACGACAAACAATATTGTGATGTATTTAACACAATAATCCAGAAAATTTTTATAAAACACATAACACTGAAGTAAATGCAATTAACACTTCAAACACTTTTTAAACTAATCAATTTTTCTATCCAATTAAATTTTAGAAATCATACAGCACTAGATCTTCAAATCCCCTTAAATTTCTCTTAAAAATTCCTTGTGATCTAACTTCTTTCTCTTCTGATGAGGAATCATCACATAAGCACTAAATCCAAATTCTTTAAAATTTGAGAAATCTGGCTTCTTGTCAAAGAACTTCTCATACGGAGACTTTGAATCATCTTTGCTCAAAACACGATTCAATGAGTAATTCGCATTCATTATGGCTTCATCCCAGTACTCTTGTGACATCCCTGACTCAGTAAGCATCGTCCTACATGCATCAACTAAAGTCCTATTCTTTCACTCGGAAATACCGTTTTGCTCTGGTGAGTAACCCACATTACATTGAAATCGAATTTCCTCTAAACGTAAATACTTCTGAACTTCCTCACTTAAATATTCTGTCCCTCGATCCGTACGGAACATTTTAACTTTTTGACCGAACGTATTTTTCAACAGTTCAAAATACTCTATGACTTTAGACTGTACTTCGCTCTTTGCCTTCAAAAGATATACTGCCGTACATTTCGAATAAACATCCGTGAATGTTGCAAAATATCGAAATCCTCCAACTGAGGTAGTTGGCATAGGGCCACAAATATCACTGACTTTACAGTCAATTGTATTTTCAACAGGTGTTGCCTTCTTTGGATTTCTAGAAATTTTCTCTAGAATGCATGAATCACACAAATTTGTGCAATCACAATCGGCAATTTTCAAACCTTTATCCTTCATCGCGAGTATATCATGCAAATTTCTGTGAGCTAATTTTAGATGCCATTCATGTACACAGCATCTATCCACTCTGTCATTAACCAGACTTTCAACTTCAGCTCTTACAACATGCATATCGTCAAATTTTTCAGCAATCTGCAATTGTTCCACACCTTCTACTTTAAGGTAACAGCCAGTTGAATCAAAAATAGTACAGTGTGTATGATTCGTTTAGCCACACACAGTTTTTTGCTTTTTTCTTTTTAATATGCAACTTATAAAAATTCAATTATACTGTCAAATATTCTTCATTTAATACGTAATCATGTAAGCTATAAATAATATTTTTAAAAAAAAGTAGAAAAGAAAAAAATGAAAAAATAACGAAAATTTGGATTTTGAAAGTATGATTCGTTTAGCCGCACTAAAGAAAAAAATATTTTATTTGCCCAAAAACGATGAATTAGTATTTTGTTTCATGTCCATTCTTACGTATAAGTTCAATTAGACGATTTTGCATGGAATCGACTAAAGTTTCTAATGTCTGTGTTGATAAATTTCGCTAGCAATTACGGACTTCAACTTCAAGCTCTTGAATGGATGAAAATTTACGACCTCGACTATATACTCGACGGGCAAGTATTCCCCATAGATTCTCTATTAGGTTTATGTCAGGTGATCTGCTTGACCAGTTGAGAACAACAATATTTTTGTTACTAAACCATTCCATAGTCTTTTTACTTTTATGAATTGAAATATTATCTTGGACAAAAATGAAGTCATCATCCATAAAATCGTCTGTAAATGGAATCAAAACATCGTCCATGAGCTGAATATAGTTGTATAGTAGTCTAAGTTCATCCGAGTAGTAATTTTTGCAATCGGGGTCTTACCGTGCATTGAGAATGCTGCCCAATACATTAAAGTGCCACCACCAAAATTTCTTGAGTAGATAAATTGCTTTTCGTTTCTTAAATCGTGCTAGTAGTAATGAAATCCATCAGGTCCATCAAAATTAAATTTTTTCTCATCTGAAAAGACCACATTTGCCCACTCCGTAGTCCAATGAACGTATCTTTTTGCCCAATTAAATCGTTCAACAATATGCTCAAGATTCCACATAGGTTTTTTCATCATCTTCTTGACATATTTAAAGCGACCAGAGTCTCGCAAAGTAGTTTTCCGTAGAAGCAAGTTGAATTGCACGATTTTTGTATTGCCCTTTGTCTTCTTCTTGTCATAATCTTTGCCTTTTGCTAAATAATTTCTTACTACTTTTTCGTCTCTATTAATTCGCTTCGCAATATCCCGATTGGACAGCTCAATCGATTTTAATTGATCAATTACAGCCTTTTCAGTCTCATTTAAGTATTTTCCTTTTGGCATGATTAAATTTTTGTTTTTTTAATCATTAATCTAATAAATTAATAGCGTTACTTTATAGATAATAATCTATTTAATTAAAATCACCTACGAATCAACTTTATTTGATTACAATATCCACTGAAAATACTTTTTTTCTTTAGTGCGGCTAAACGAATCTTACTTTCAAAATCCAAATTTTTGTTATTTTTTCATTTTTTTCTTTTCTACTTTTTTTTTAAAAATATTATTTATAGCTTACTTGATTACGTATTAAATGAAGAATATTTGACAGCATAATTGAATTTTTATAAGTTGCATATTAGAAAGAAAAAAGCAAAAAACTGTGTGCGGCTAAACGAATCATACTTACTGTATTATAGACCTTATTACAGAGCTTTGAGACAGAGATCAAATTACGGTCAATGCATGGCACCAGAAGTACGTCAGTCAGATCTACACTAAAGCTTTTGTTTCCTACAAATACATTCATACGAACATCCCCTCGTTCTATGTACTCAACCTTCTCGCCATTAGCAATGGTAACCGTACCCCTAAAACTTTCATCAAAACTAAGGAAAAACGACTTACTGTAGGTCGTGTGAGACGAAGCACCAGAGTCAATACACCACTGAGTCTTTTGGATTGTAACAATTTCTGCGCCCTCCACTGAAATTTGCCATTTTGACGGTTTCATTCTTCAACATTGGACAATTCCGCTTGAAATATCCTTCTCGTTTGCACTGATGACACTTGATGTGCCTCTTTGGATCAATTTCAGTTCTATTGATACAAAACACATCAGATCCTTTTCTTACATTTTCATACCGCCTTTCCCATTCATCGATGAGTTTCAGCTTGACATTTTGAACAGTTAGATCCTTCTCCTTCCATGATTCTAATCCAGTCACCAAATTATCATATTCAGCATGCAGACTTGATAAAATAGCAGTCACAATCATGGTTTCTTTAAGATGATCACCACATTCCTTGATGTTTTGCAAAATTTCAAACAATTTTTGCAAATGTTTGTGCATGTCACCACCCAATGATAATTCAGTCTTGAAAAGTTGCTTATAAAGTCTCATCTTATGTCCAGCTGAATCGTTGTGATGAAAATTCTTCAATGAATCTCATGCTTCCTTTCCTCCTTTCGCATCCGAAACATGTACCAGTTGATCATTATCAACCATCAAAACAATATGTGCCAATGCTTTCAAGCTTCCAACTACATCCTCTGGCTTTGAACTTCCCGAAACGATGATATCCCATAGATCTTCCTTGATCATCTTCATTCCAAGTGCCCAGATACGATAATTCTTGCAGTTCAATCGCTCGCACATGGCAGATTCTTCTTCTTCAAACTTCATTGCGATAAGGCCCGTAACCTCTTGGATAATTAAAATAATGTATTCTTTATTTTAATCCTTGCAGAATAGCAAAATGGAATTTTTAACTTTAAATAAACTTCTTTTCACGATAACAATATTTACAATAATAATAATAATAAGATTCCTACGATCAATATATATATATATATATATATATATATATATATATATATATATATATATATATATATATATATATATATATATATATATATATATATATATATATATATATATATAACTTAATTATTCAACATTCCTACAACATCAATCATAGAATAAATGATGAATTGACTTTCCATTAATAGAATAGAACAATTCCAAAAATAAAAGAAGTTCCCATACATACCCATTTCTCTTTTTCCTACGACCCGAAGTATGCGTGTAATAATCCGAGTAACTTGGGCTCTTTTGCCGTTCGCTTTGATGAGATGAGCATCCTTGTTGTTCATTTTTTGGTGATGTATCACATGATGACATTATGGAACTGCAACTTGCTTCGGTTGATGTAATTGTACTTGTACTTGACTTCTTAAAAGTTTTATTCATATTTTCTTTGCAGAACTGCAAATAAGATTGTCTAGCAATCTGTTCGACCACAACTTCATTTGTTGCTTCCCAATCTGTAATTTTTAATTTATCTTCAACCATCATCTGCTCAATTTCCAGTTCTTCGCTCATTTGCATAGCATCTTTAACTTGCTTTGTTGGATCAAATTCTTCTGGATGATAACCAGCTAATCCTAGACCAACACCGACTGACGACTTGTAAGGATCTAAAATTGCATTATAATGAGAATATCGATGATATGAGAGCCTTAATGGATCGTAGCCATTATTGATTTGCTCGGGGTTATAAATATTTATGGGTGTCAATTCGTAGCAATATAATTCAACTGGTCGATTGTACATTTCAGACATTGCTAAAAATATAATTAAATTAATTAGTTTATTTTATTGAAATTAAACTTTAAACAAATGAAAATGCTACCTTGAATTTCTATGTGATTTCCATGTAGATGATTCTGTCTTTTGCGCTTTACATACGAATGAATATCCTCAGTTAGAAATTGTTCAAAATATTCGCGATTCTGATAAATATAATCCATAGTTTGTTGCCTTATCATGTCATGCATGTCTTGATCACCATAAATTTGATAGGAAATGGCTCTGAATAAGCAAGCACCATCTTCTTCCATTTCTTTTATTAATAAACCACGTTCTTGTGTTAATATCTTTGAAAACTTTTCATCACGATGCTTCCATTCCTCACTAGTGAGATTATTCTCTTTCGACTCTAAATGCTCGTCGCCACTATTATATCCTGAAACTTTCTCTTCTAATATTTTCAGGAAATCAACGCCCTCCTTATCATTTTTCTTATTAACACAACTATTGCTTGCTATGTTGCTATCACTTTTTGAGCATTCTGTCGACGAACTAGCTACACTTGTACTGGCACCATGAATTTGATTTTGTTGCGTTACAACATTCGTTGTGCAAGGCAACTGCTGTATCTTTATTACATTTGATGTCGATGATGAAGATGATGCGTGCGGCTGATATTTTGCCTGCACTTGAAGCACAGATGTTGCCTTTTCACGTTTATTAGATCGCCCATGACTACACACCGAGAGAAAGAGTAAAGAGAAGTTTACATTAAAATAAAAAGTGTTTTGATACATTCCAGTCAGGTAGTAATCATAATAAAGAATCAAACACTCAACCACCTTATTTGATATTTCAATCATTCTTTGTATATATTTACGCCTATTGCTTGCAATTCGTAATAATTGCCTTTTTTTACTTAAAACAATCAAACATATCCGTATGTGAAGATCGTTTGCTTTAATCGTTGAAAATGTACACATTACTAATCATCGTGGAGTTCCTCTAAAGTTTTGCAAATGTCCTGCATTTTGTCTCAAATTTGAATTTTTCAAAAAAATGAAACATAAATTTTAAATTTTGAAAATCCGTTAAAACAATATAAAATGCCAGAAAGGCGCTTAGAATCGACAGCATGTTCCAAATATATTTGAATTACATTTTTTCTCTGTGCGAATGAGCAAAGAAGAGCTGTTGAAAGAAAATCAATGATTTTCGCAAATAGGAACTTCTATTTTATCAACAACAGAGGCGTAATTGTAACCGCAGTACTCGCTATGGAATTTCACGAAAAAAACGAGAAAAATGCTTTTGCGTGATTACAGCCGATAAATTCTCTCAAGGACACTGGAAGGAGGCGCAAAAGGAAAGAAACAGAATTTTCATACATTTCATTTTTTTCATAGAGAACGAAGTAGAACATCTCATATTATTTTCCAGCCTAATTCACACATGCATTTCAAGCCTTTCTGTGTTCATAGTCATTTCAAGAAGGAACGAAAATAGTGCTAAAAATATCCAATATTGTATTTTCAGTTGGAATCGAAAAAAAAAGTAGTCAGCTTTTCTCTCATTTTCCTTCATATAAACAAATGTATATTGAGCTGTACTGATTTGTTTCAAACAAAAAATTATAATAAAAAAAATATGAACAGATTTTTACTTGTGTATTTTAAATCAGACGTATGATTTAAGCGTGATAGAAAGAGATTATACATTACAAAAAGAAGACAACATCATAAGTTTGTGGAAAGTTTATATTAATTAATTGTTCATCCTCAGTGCAAAAAAATCCTCAAGATATGAAATCATTTGCTGTAATTTTAATAGTTTTAATGTCGCTTCTAGTGAAAATGTCGAATGGTGAGTTCTTATCGAGAATCTTCCATTTTTTTAAAAAAAAATTAAAATTACTATTCATTATTTCTCATCCTCGCATGTTAAAAAGGACATATGTGCTATGAATGCAATTCATTTAATGACACAAATTGTTTTGATTTATCGCCGCAATCGAATGTGTTTGTGGGAGTGCGATGCGAGTCAACGGAAAGAGTTCACAAAACATGCTATTCAGCCCACATTTCTGGTGAGTTCTAAATCATTATAAATTCATAGCTGATTGATTATAGTCAAGAATTTTTAAAATTCACTGGAAGTGGTAGCCTTGCTATTAATAATATTTATCTTTCGTAGAGCACAAGAAGCGGAAAATGATTCGAGGATGTAAGAATGTGGGAATTTGTGATGAACTCGAGAAGAGAGAGCAATCAGACATTTTCTTTAAAGTGCTGGCATGTGGAGAATGCACAGAACATTATTGCAATAAATCATCACATCTCTCGGCAATATCAATCATTACAATTTTGCTACTATCTTGTTGTGTACATTTCTTGAGCATTATATAGATGAAATACATGTTATAATATATACAACACAATAACTATAAATAAGTCTTTCTTTTTATTTTACTCACCTTTTATTGCTACGACTTGTTGGACTTCGACGAACCTCATAATTTAATCTATCGGTATTAATTCTTTTATCACGTTGTACATTCTAAAATTAAATGAATGGGCTTATTTTAAGTGAGAACTGACTGCGGACTATACACAAACAACAAGATACAGAACGAAGGTATAAAAAGATACAGCAGCACTAAACATTTTCGTGTTCCTTCTTCTATCTTCTCTTTATACACACGTTTAATGTCATGATAAAAAAAAAGGCACTGCCACAATGATATATATTCGTGAAAAAAGAAGTAAAATGCATTGAAATGCGACGTAAATAATAAGAAGAAAAAGATGGAACACAAAATGATTTGGTGACGAATATATAATGGAATTTTTTTGCACTAAAAGTCACTCAAGTCTCCTTTTAAGGCTTCTAATCTCTTGTTTTTTGCACTTTGACACGATTATTGGCAATTAAACTGCTTAATTATTACACAAAGGAGGTAAATTATACGATTATTGGAAACTTACATCTTTTTTCTCGTCATTGCCAGATTTTTGGTTTATAATCGGTAGAATCGTCATGATTGGATCTTTTTCACTTCGTTCTACATATATTTAACACAATATCATGTAATTTACTAGCGATTTACGCGATTAAATTAAGTAATTTCGATTAAAAATTGAAAAATGTTGATCTTTTCATAGGGTATATCAACTTTTAATTTGAGGAAAAATCCAGGTGTGGAAACCTAGAAAATCTGTTGTAAAAACTTCATGAATGATTACTAAGATGATCCTATGACTATTTTTTGCTACAGCATAATTGCTTTAGCGTAAATCTACAATTTTTCTAGCTTGATTAATAATATCATTCAGCAAACCATTAGCTCATAAATCTTTAAGTTTCCATACCTTGAATATAGGGGAAAATCAACTCAAATAATTTTTTTAAATTTCAAAAAGTCGTTATTTTTAACTTTATTTCATAAATCTTTAATTCATTTAAAAACATTAATTAAGCTTTAAAAAATCGATCCTTCTTACCGTGAAATTTCTTCTTCTTATTCTTATTAAAACTTGGTCGTTCCTTCTCTTCCTCATCTTCATCTAGTTCTGTTAAACCACGTTTTTCACCACTTTTAACGGAAATGACCAATTTTTTGTCAGATTTCTTTAATGCACTCGCCCAGTCCTTGTCATTTCCTTTTATGGCATATTGAGCTAATGATTCCTTCTTTAATTTTATCAATTCTTTCTTTTGTTTCTTCTCCAATTTCATAGCTTCTTCGTCCAGTTCCTCATCCATTGTCTGTTCTAATGGCTTAAATTCTTTTCCAGCATTTAATTGGACCTCATCGAGCATTTCACTTTCAATTGTCTTTTGCATGATTTGAAGGATATTTTTAGTCAATTTCTTTACTGTATCATAAAATTTAGCAAGAATTTGACTGTTTGGCATATTAAATTCAGCCACAAGATTCTCAAATTGCTTATTTTGTGCTCCTATTCCTAACAAAATTGCTTTTTGTAAAGCATCAAGTGGTGCATTTGGTAGCTTATTTTGAAAGTACAAGGATGACAAGTCATTGGTTAAATCCAAAATTAGACGATACTCTATTTGATTCCTGACATATGATTCTAAACGTTGAACATCATGTGGTGTCAAAAATGAATTTAATTCCTGTTGAGCTAATTCCTTACTTGGAATTTTGACATTCTTGTTTTCTAATAGTGACAGTCCTAATGCTGTAGAATATTTTGTGAAAGATTTTGGAAACAGTTTTAGAACCCGTCTACGGAAATCAATGTAATATTCCTGTAGCCAATCCTTTGTCTCAACTCTTTCAGCATTTAAAGACGCAATCATAATACACGAATGTTCACCAGTCAAGTCATTTTCTTTTTGACTCAAATAAACTGGAACAAACTTTTGACTCTTCCAGAATTTCAGCAATTCTTGTGTCAGACCATAAGAAGTTCCAATGTAATCTAAAGCTTCAGGTTTTCTTTCCTGCAAACGCTTTAATAATGTAGGAATCTTTTTCCTAGGTTTAATCACTTCCGTCAATAAATCAGCTTCGTCATCATTAATTTCCTCAAATCCTTCACCTTCACTTTCGTCGTCATTTTCATTTAATGATGTGAATTTGCCTGCAAAATTGTTTGATTAAATAAACATCATAAAATAGTTACGTATACGTAAAATTAGATGTACGTAATACTTGACGCATACGTAAGCTTTAAAGTAAAACAATATTTTACGCATACGTATTATTTAACGTAACATAATTTTTTACGTATACGTAATTTTTATGTAAGTTATTCCAAAAGTTTTAAGCTAGTTCAACCAATGAAGATAAACAATGGAATAGGATTAATTGGATATTATTGAGCCTTACCTTCATAATAATTCTTTAACAAGCTTATTGCTTTCTTTCCATATCCCATTCTCTGATAATTCGGATGTGTAGCAACACGAACGATTCTTGCACCAGAAAGTTTTGTGAATTCTCGATCATTAAACTGTTCAGAGACATTCCAAGGAATTAAATCGCCAGCTGAACGCGATCCAGCTGAATCATTTAATTTTTTCTGTGAAATTTTTCCTTCCAAACAGACTTGAATGATGACGAGAATTTCTGGAAGTTGATCTTTCTTAGTGATTGGACCTAATAAGCAGAAAATATGATGTGCAGGTGCATCGCTCAACATTTGCAGGTCATTTGGTGTATTTTTGTAATGTGATGAAACGAAAATGGACACAACTCTTTGTAAGAATGATTCAGCAGCGCGATGATATGAAAATAATGCATCTCGATCGATATAGTATAATTCACATAAATCAGGTGTTGGACATCCACTGCTTAAATGAGGTAAAGCTTGAACATCTAAGCATAATAATGATGTTAACCATTTTTCGACGGAATCATTTGGATTATAACGAATTGATTCCTCTAATTTGATAGGCGGTGGTGCATTATTTTCTTTCTGGATCTGTGACAATAGTTTTAAACTCAATGATCTTCCAGTTCCTTCATATCCATTAATAGTTGAAGCCATAAAAACTAGGTATGGTCCAAGCATAGCTTTAATTAATGGAAGTGGAATTGCAGCAGCTTCATCGATGATCAGTAAATCAGCAGCATTTAGTAAATGAGCATCATTTGGTGAAATAAATTGAATTGTCTGGCGATTGTTTCTTGTCAAATTGATCCTTACAATAGCTTTATTGAAATCAGGATTTGTAGATCGAATGATTGTGTAGTCGAGATGTTCCTGATAAGCTAAAGCATCAAATCCTTTCATAACAAACTCGAAAAATGTTATTAAATTTTCAGGAGATGGAGAAGTGACATAAACTTGACTGTAACCAAAAGATACAGCTCCAGCAACTGCTAATCCCATAGCTGCTGATTTACCTCGTCCACGAGCAGCTGTTAATGATGTTGGTGGCTTTAATTGTTTCTCAGCGAGTGAGTCAATGAACTGTGCCACAGCTTTTGCTTGATCTAATGTCTTACACAAGTTGATTAATGGACCAGCAGGTGGCGTATCTCTTAGTGATTCCTTTAATTCTTCTAGTTCCTCATCATTTGGTGATTTTAAAATTTCGCCAACATCAATCGCTTCAATGTTTCCTGTCTTCAAGCTTAATGGAAGTACAGCAAGATTGTCATTAACTAAAAGACATCGATCGCAATCAGCTAGTGACAGAATTAATCGTTCATTAAAGCGACATTTGACTTCTTGATGTGAATCTGTTCGATATCTTTTGTGGATATCCATATTCATCGTGTATAATTGCTTCAATGATTTGATTGTTTTCAACAATAGAATAATTAATCCACCACCTTCGACTGTTTCAACAGTTCTGGCCAGTAAATTAGGCGTAAGAGCTTCAAAATCCTGCAAGACACAAACTCCGTATGTTCGACCAAGTATTTGATGAGAATCTTTATAATATTTTCCATGAATTGTCGTAGAACATCTAAAGACATCAAACAAATCTGCTTCCTCGATATTCACCTTTCCTGCCTGTATCTTTTTTGCTCGTTTTCGGCCATGACTGGAAGTTAAATAAGTTTGTTAATATAATTAAGGTCTACTTGTGAATAATGTGAATATTTACTTTGAGATGGCTTCATCTTTGTTCTTGTAGCACCACAATACAGTCGGTCTCGATTTCACAGATGATTTGACCAGCATATCATACAGAATTGGTACCTAAAATAATTCTTTTAATTTCATTCTCCGCATGTTAATTTGTAAACAAACCTGATCTCGTCCTTTATCGCCCACTATAACGAACATTGTACGATGCTTCAGCTTAACGCCATTCTCAATCATCAAACGGATGCGATTATCTATCTTTTTCTTCACCATTTTCTTTTATTTTAATTAATTTTTATGATTCTTTAAAAATTTCAGAAAAGTTTTTTGTCAAAAACATTTGTTTTGTGAACAATTCAAATTGAAGAAAACCAGTATTTCCATCTCGACATAATTCAAATAGAATTATTAAATTAAAAGCAAAAATTTATAACATATTCTTTGACTAGAACGTTATTTCAAGTTCGAGAAGAATCATATTGCTTAAAGCTTTAATTTTTGCATGTTTCTACATAATTTTTGTTGAACAATTAAATGCTTGATTTTCATTGAAATAAGCAAAAATAATAATTTGGCGATAACGGCAAATTTTTTTTTAAAAATGAAAAATTTTCTGTAACTGACAAGTTTCGAAGTTGTGCTACTCTGGCTTTAAGTTCCTTTAAATTTTTGCTCGACTTAAAACTTTTTTTTGCAAAATAATTAAAAATGTCAGAAAATCAAAATGTAGAAGTTGCAGAGATCAAGGAAGAAGTTAAGGAAGAGCTAAAAGTCGATAGCACATTGGCATTAAATCGTTATATCTTTATGAGGGAAGTTAACAGCTATTTTGTAAATAATGAAGAACAGTCCAAGAATAAAATGAAGTTATGGAGCTTAACAAGCTATAATATTGATAATCACATCAAAAAACTCACTGAAACTGATTTGTTAACGCCGTTGAATCTCATTAAAAAGGTAAGCATAAATTGCATTCTTAGAAATTCTTCTTATTCCTTAAACATTTATTTCTTATTGATTCTATATTAGGCAGTTCAGTCCAAATCGCTATATTCTTCGAACGAAGCTCTCTGGTGCCTTGCGTATTGTCTTAGTCAACTCAAGAATGATGATCTAAGAAAGGAAATTCGAAAGAATTTTAATGAATTAGTGACAACTTCTGATCAGCTGCTGATCTTTATGCATGCCTTCCAGTTAATGAAAGGTGGCAAAATGAATTTTGGACGTGGCATGAGAAGTATGCTAGGCAAATGGTATTCTGATAAAACGTCTGATCAATTATTCGATTTTTTGTACTCTACACGAAAGTATGAAAGAATCAGCCATAAAAATATCATCTACAAGCTTCATTTAAAGATTGATGATAAGGAAAAGAATAAGGTATGATAACGTACATTTTAAATTTAAATTTTATCGTATTTTTTGAATTTGAATTTTTTGAACTTAGATTTTGAACAAACCGAATTCAAATTTTAAAATACCGGTATTTTCTTAATTTATTATTAGGTCATTCAATCGATCTACAAGAATCAGGATACATTAGAAAAAGATCCAGAACCGACTGTTTTGGATAAGATGATTGTTAAGCATAGATTCCTTAAAAGTCGTCGTGACACGAAAGAAGTGGTTGAAATTTTGAAAGCAAAGGAATTCAGCTACAAGATCCACCATATTCCACCGCTTTCATTGAAAAATCAAGAAGTTGTTGACTTAATTCTTCCAAATATGACTTTGACAGAAGTCATTGACAATTTAATAACTTTCTGCTCATACAAAATGCTCAAAGTTCACGAGCCAATCTCAAGAAAAATTTGTAATGCCTTGCAAGTCAACAATAAAACGATTAACGAAGCAAAATTGCATCCAATTCATATTTTCGCCATAATGAAGGAATTGGAGAAGAGATTGACAGTTCATCATCATGAGAATCCACATAAGAATGAAAATGGAAATACAGCTGCAGCAGCAAGTGACGATAAGAGTTTGGACAAAAAAGTATCCAATCAATACATCATCAAGAAGTTATTCCATATTTTCAATCATACATTAAATGAGCAGCCAAAAACAGGTTGCCGTTACTTTATTACGGTTGATTTCAGACATTTCTCGAAGAGACAGTCAAAAGTATTTGGTATGCGTAATGTTCTGTGTTCAGAATTGCAAGCAATCGTTGCATTAACACTGCTCAAAAACGAAAAGGAAGTGACAGTCATGTCGTTCTCGGAAACGAATAATAAATTGAAACCTGTTGAATGGAATAGCGAGACAAGCTTTGAAAAAGCTTTAGAATTGTACGAAAAAGAAATCGTAAGTTTTGAGTTTTAATTAGCAAATGGCTTTAATTGTGTTAACATTTTGATATTGCAGAAAGAAAATGCGAAAACGAAAGAAATTATCACGTTGCCTTTAAAAAAAGCAATCGAAGATAAGAAGAAGGTCGATGTTTTTATCACCTTTGTTAGTTCATTGGGTCGTTGCATGGGCAAAAATGGAAAGCCTGATCAGATCTTTGCTGAACTACAAAACTATAGAAAAGTTATGAACTTGAAGATGACTAAGTGAGTGGATATTATTTTTAACGGCCGTTTAAAATTTAAATTCTACCGAATTTTTTGAACCTTGAATTTTAACGAAACATTTGAATTCCAATTGGTCGTTACATTTTTAAAATCTTTTCATCAATTTAACTCATTGCTCAATTGAGATGACGAGTAGCACCTGTTAAATTAATATTTACTTTCCACATTTTTTCATTCATTCATTCTAATTTTAGATATGTCATCATTAATATGACGAGAAAGACTCCGGACATGAAATATGACGAGAAAAATATCAACAATAAAGGAGTTTTGGAGATTGTTGGATTTTCCGAAAAATCAGCTAAAGTTTTGGAAGCTTACGCTAAAAACTGTTTCGCTTAATAAGATTAATGAATTTACTCAATTAATTGAATGGATAGAATCAGAATTAAGAAAACATTACTCACATAAGTATTTTAAAGAAAACAATTGTGGTAACGATAAAACGTAAGTCTGTGCTACTTTATAGTCTCTATACTCTTATCTTCAATTCTTAATTTATTTGCAGACCAAATAAATAACACTACCAGAATTATACACAAAGTAATAAATTGGTCTCGGAAAACAATGAAATTTAAAGTGCCAGTCAAGCAGTGGATCGAAGAAAGATGCAGCATAATTTGTTCCTTAATATTTCGACAAGAACGATAACTCAGAAATTAACACGAATCTTTACATTTATATTTTTCATACTATTATTGTATTAATTACATGAATTATTATGTATTATGCATTAGCGGTAGTTCGCTTATAGAGGGAGAAAGGAATCTGAAATTTTGTGATACTTTTTAAAATTTTATAGTTTGAATTTTTAACGGATTTATCAAATTTGAATGCTACGCGAATTCTTCAAATTTGAATTTTTAACGAAGTTATGACGTTATAAACGAGTTTTCACATTTAAATGTTTAACAGACTTTAAAGATTTGAACTTTTTAAAAATTTGAATTCTTCCTGGATTTTTAAAATTCGAATTCTTAACGAAGCATGAGAAGGGGGGGGGGGGGGGGGGGGGTCTAAAAATCCCATCCATAAGTGAACAACCCGATACGTACTATTTTTGATTTATTTCGAATGAAATTATAAAATAAAATAATTTCATATTAAAACATTTTCAATATTCTTAACGTCAGATAAAGTTTTAAATTTTAGTAGACATAAACCTGTGAGCGAGCATAAACTTCTGTAGTACGTCAAAAATAGAAAATAATTTTTTTTTTGATAAAATTTTTTTGTAAATTTTGCGATTTATGAATAAGGAAATATGATTTGTCTGGCGTGCAATAACACTAAATCGCGAGATGTAGAACAAACATTGGATGGAGATACACTAGATATGTTTAACTTTGTGTGCTGTTTGGATTTATCACAGGTAGACTAAAAATTGAACATTTTTCACTCTCGACTAGATAAATAAAAATTACTTAATTTTCCATTTTTTTTGCAGCCCGAGGACTCACAGGGGATATGTAGTTTTTGCATAGAGGAATTAAAAGTATCATTTAATTTTAAAAAGAGATGCTTAGAAATTTTCGCTAATGTATTTGATAATCCAAATCATGATGGAAAAGAACAAAATGAGGAGGATGATGGAATGGATTTTATGGATTCAATTCTGGATCAGTCGTTGCATGAAGAGGATGCATCAATTAATTTAAATGATTTACTTATACCGGAAGTATGCTTGGGTAATACGGCACTTAGTGCACTCGACATAACTGATCAATCAAAATGCAGGTATTGTTTTAAGGAATTCTCTTCAAAAGAGGAATGCCAGGAACATTTAGAACATCATAAGGGTGATGATAAACCATATAAATGTCCACATGACGGTTGCGATAGTCGATTCAAGGCAAGGAAGAATCTTAAGGATCATTATTTAGGTGAGATCTACGTTATAACGTTATTGGATATTTTATTATTATGTGTGTCACGAAAATTATGCGCTTACGTTGTCTTGGTGACTGACCTTGTTCAATTGATGGCCATTTGAGATTCCAAAACCAGAAATTGCGTGACTATTTCCATCGTTGATTATCAGCTAGTACATTGCTGTAATTCCATGTAATAATCTACTTTGTAATGAGAAAAATTACTGTTCTAATTGCATTTATGCTTGCTGAGCATGCTATTCCTGATAAAAAATGAAAATCATAATTAATCGAGTATCTTTTCAGTCCACAGCAATGAACGTCCATTTCCCTGCCACTTTTGTGCGCAAACATTCAAATCAAGTAGTAATAGAAGTAAGCATGAGAGACGTATACATACGAAAGAAAGAAATGCTATGAAAGCTGCCGAAGCTCAAGAAGGATTAAAAAAATTGGAAGTGAAAATTGGAAATGAGCTGGAGAAGCAAACTATCGTTCGAGCAAACAATTCTCTAGTCCGTAATGTACAAAATTCAAGTACCAGATATAAGGAAGTAGATCCACTGGATTCGGGAGGATTCTTTAATGATGATGATGATCGGATTTATGCGTGCGATCATGAAGGATGTATAAGGAGCTTTAGAACAAGAAGTAGTCTAAGAGATCACCAAAAGGTTCATAGTGATGACAGGTATGATTTTTATAGAGTCACAATAAAATGCATTCTAAAAAGAAAATGCCATTTTACAGGCCGTACATATGCAATTTTTGCAGTAGTGCTTTTAAGTCAAGTAGTAATAGAAGTAAGCATGAACGTAGTTCACATTCAGTTCAATTTGAAAAGAGAAAGATGGAAAGAGAAGCTGGAAAGTTCAAAGATAGTAGTACAACAAATGATGAAGTTCCAAGTAAGAAGATGAAAATAGATTCAACGCCAATTGAGTCCATTATGATCCAGTCACACAATACGAGTATCAATTCTTTACCCTCACCGTCCACAACAAAAAACTCGTCACAGAATCGAACAAATTTCCCATGTAGATATTGCGATAGACTTTTTAAACAAACAGACAGCAGGGACAGACATGAAGCAACACACAAAGATTTTCTTGCATACGACTGTGGATATTGTAATAAAAACTTTAAATCACAAGAGCTATTGAAGGAACACATGAAGATTCATATTGAACAAACGGAATTTCAATGCACGTACCCCAATTGTAATGAAACTTTCCAAGATCGTCGCTCGTTGAGGGAGCATAAAAATTCACATGATCCAGAGGAATTTATCTGTGAGCAAGAGACATGTGGAAAGATATTTTATTCATCTAAAGCACTTAAGAACCACAAGAAACATACAAAGCATTATGTCAGCACAAATGACAACAATGATAATAATCAGGAAGCTGACATTATTGAATGCGAAATATGTGAAGTTAAATTTAATAGTGACAAAATAGCCGAACACTTGCGATTGCATATTTAAGCAACAGAATTGAGGATTGAACTGTTTTTATATACCACACACCACACACACCCAACACAACACACATTAAATTGATGAAAGTAATTGTTTAATATTTAAGAAAATTTGACGAATAAAGTGCAAAGATACATTTTAAACGTACAATTTACATCCTTTTTTATTAACTTCTAATTCTTTATGCTGTATGTTTTTATATTGAACACCTTAAATAAATTAAAATTTTGTTTAAAGAGGAATTGCAGGCATAACTTCTGTTCCAACGAACTCTTTGGCTATTCTAACGCCTAGTATAAATGCGGATATCGACTTTACAACACTCCTAGAAGCATAAAATAGAAGATTTATGTAAAATTCATGCTTAATGTCAATAAATCAATTTTAATTTCCGTTCTTACCATTTAAACTCATCATAATAAAGGTTGTTGAAGAATTTACCGATACTTGTTCCTTTCTTTTGCATTTCTAACGCTTGTCTTGTGCTATTTTAGTCTAAAATAGGTGAATTAACACTTTCTTTAAAATTGCTGGATCTCAATAAGTTGCAAACTGCTCAAAAATTACAGCCTCGGTAAATTCAAATTTAAAAAACCCGTTAAAAGTATTTCAAAAAATTTTAAATTCCATTTTCAATAACATTTCACTTCTTCATTTCATCAGAGTATTTCGCGATTTATGTTTAGTTGCATTTGAGATTTCTCATAGTACGGACCTCACAACGGTTTAAGACAGTCGATCGCGGTTTAATATCAAAGATATATTAACATAAGTGTTGATTGGTTTTTTCAGTGTTGAAAGAAAAAAGAATTAATAGATAGCATAAAAGTGAAATAATTCGCTATAAGCATAATAAGATTTGAAAAAATTAATTTTATTGAGGAATTAAAAAATAAAAAAAAAAATAAGTTCGAGATGGATAAAAAATTATTATTGTCGATTGGATTACTTTTCATTGTGCTAATCACACAATATGGTAAGTCTTCTATTTTTTGTGTTAATTTTTTTTCTTGGCCCTTTTCGCATAAGGGCAATTCTTTGGATGAGTGGAATTTGAAAAAAATGAGCTTTCATAATCCAATGTCAATGAGTTTAATGTCAATAAAATGTTTTCTTTAATTTCATACAACTGTGAAAGAATAATAAGCCAGAACTTTCGTAGATCGTTAAGCATAATTAAATCTTTACAAGTGATCTATTGAAATGTTACAACTCACCTAAATTAAGTGAAAAATTGAAAAAATATGTTTGAAAATTTTGTATTTTTTCACGGATTAAGACAAAAAAAAGCTTTTTTATAACTCGATGACACAAGAAAATTTTCAAAGAATTGAAATATTTCAATAACTAATGACTTAAAGCACATGGAAAAGCAACCTAATTAAAGATTTTTGCCTGTTCTATAACTTAGTAAAAGTTATTCAATGTGGATATCAATAGTTTTCTCTAATTTTCGATTCTTCGGATGATGAAAATTGAAAATTCCGATTTTTGTCATCGAGTTATTGTCTGAAGAATCCAAATAACTTAATTAATATAGCGATTAGAAGTATATGATATCAAAAGTAGTGTTCATTTTAGATTTTTGCATCGATAAGAATCACAAAATCAGTGTCTCTGATGGGAAAAATCAATAAAATTTCGATTTTTTGCTGAAAATTTTTCAAAATTCATCCAAAGAATTGCCCATAAAAATGTGAAAATTTAATTCAATCGGAGGCCTATCAGAGTGGATGTATATTCAGAGACTTTATTTGCAAGTGCAACATTATTATTTATCGCGACATTTCAAAAATTCTATTTATAAAATTAAGATTTCTTCATCATAGCAAGAAACTTTATCGTGCATACGGCAAGATGAAAAATTGTGTATAATTTAATAAGCAAAAAAACATGGGCAAAAAAAATGAGAACTGAACTTTATAAAAAAATATTTCATTTATTTATGAGCATTAAAAACATTTATTGCGTGCGGTGAGTTGAATCATTATGAAATATACGACCGGCTCTAAATTATAATTTTCCCAAAACACAGATCATCAAGTGCTCCTTAAAGCACTTTCAATGCATTGAGACGATTCTTTCGTTTCTAGCACTCAAGTTCTGTGAGATAAAAAATAAATAGAATCATGATTTTTCAGTGAAATGAAACATAAGAAATATTTCTCGGTGGCTCTTCTTAAGTACTGACATTATTAAGAGAAACTTTGTTGAAAAATTGTGATCAGATTATTTTTGGTTTTGTGTCTACAGCGCATTTTTTGTTTAAGTGATTAAATTTCAACGGTTTTTCAGGAATTTAAATTTTAACGGCTTTCGGAAATTTTAAAATCAGAGTTCGAAATTTTGACGAAAGTTCAAAATTTAAAACTTAACGGTTTTAAAGGTATTTAAAATTTAACGATTTTAAAAAAACGAGTATTAAGTTCATGATTTAAAAATAAAGATGAAGACAATCCAATGAGTCAAATTTAAAGTCACTGCACATAATCTAAAGATAATGTCAACATAGTTTTGACTATTTTTCTTCTCATGTGATCATCAACATCTTCAGTTTCTTCTCACAAACTTTATTTTCCACTGAAAAATATATAAATTTCTATGCATATGAGCGACTTATACAGCATATTAAATTAGATTTTTACAGTAATGTCGTTTTAGTTGAAAGTACTCATAAAAGATTCGATACACTTGATTACATAGTGAAACCGATTACATTAATTCAAGTTCTTTAATTGCTGATATAATAAATTGATACATTCAGCACTAACGGATCTCATCTTGCGATTTCATTTCGCGCTCAAATTTTTCCTCTTTCTCTCATTTCCCTTCCCATGTGATCGCGTACTTCTTATTTTTCGGGTAAAATGCTACTCAATAATAAAACACATGTTGTGTTAAATGGAAGGATCCAAAAGAAAGTATTGTGAAACTTTCTGAAAATTATTTTTTATTTTTATTAATCCCACATTTTTTCCACAAAAGTATTTTTATGGCACCATGTAAGCGGGTTTGGTAACTTGTGACTCCCAAAATACAAAGGAAAAAAGTCATCAAAAGGCTAAAAATAATAGCGCATTTGTATGGAAGCAATTAGCGATGTAATGCTGTACAGTAAATAAAAAAGAGAAAGAAATCCTAGGGATATGGTTGGGGGTCATTTAGGTATGATGTCAAATAATTATTTCAAGCGGTTTCTAAGGCTTTTCGTGGCAACCTTCACTAGTCTAAGTCAAATTGTATTTAAACCAGCACTGAGTAGTACCAGATAGCTCCCAGATAGGGACGGTAATAAAATTTCACGAAAGTCATCAACAACATTCTTCCCACCAAGAATGAAGATTGAGTTCATTGATAAACTAATAATATTGGCATTTATATCCACTGTCAACATGACAAAACATGTAAAATGGTCTCGCTGCCATACTGAATCTTAAAGCAGTTCTCAACGTGACTAGTATTCATGACTTGATGTCATGAAAATAAAATTTAATTCAATGTCCACTCCCAGAAAGCGCCAAAATATTTGCATGTGCTTTAGATGATAATGAAGTTAAAGTAAAAACATATTTTATGTCTCCAAAGGTTCTCAGTTTATGCATGATAAGTCTAGATATTAAGTCACAACGACCGGATCATGTTAACAATTTTCCTCGGTATTTATTTATTTTATGAATGAAAGCAAATTCCGTGCAATATCAGATGACATCGCGATTTATGATGAGTAAGACATGAGAACAGAGGCGTCGAGATCGCACGACATTCAATTTTTAAGGATTGTGATGCATCAATATTTGGGTCAATAACCTATTGCACTCTATCTATACGCTACTGACTATAAATTCAAATTTCCTTATCCGATCATTTCGCGTGGCTTATGTTCGTTAAAGAAATAAGGCATTCAATGCTTCGTCTTTGTTTTGCTGTTATTCAATTAATTTTTTCCTCTTACTAGCTTTATTTTTATTTTTTTGTGAAAATTAGATTTTTCCGGCATTCGAATGCTTCTCGATGTATGTAAAAAAAAATGTAGGAGCGTCCCACCAGAATTTCTTCTTTGTTTCACTGACCTCGACATACGCTATTGATCTATCCTCAAAAAGATATTAATTATGAAAATTGTATTATTTTTTATGATAGACATGATTTTTTTTTATGGCTGATCAGAGCTTTAAAATGAGAAACATGTGCCTAGTTGACGTAATTTTGCGACAGGAAATTTATTAGATTTTTTCGATGGCTGTAAAGAATTAATACACTGATTTTTGATGACTTGATTTTAATTAAAAATTCAAAGCTATCAATGTAATACAGTCTAATACATTTTGAAGTCTGTGATGCGTAGGACATAATTTTAATTAATCACAATTGTAGCTACAGAGTTCAGAGTTCAATTCTGGTTTCAATACGGATTGCTTTGCTTAATTTGAGTCGCTTGGAACTGATTATAGACAAATTTGATCACTTTGCCAAGCTAAACCAGTAAAAAAACTCTCCTAATCTCAATAAAACCAAGTCTCAAGTCTTACTTCTAAAAAGCAGCATTAAAAAATTTTTATTTCCAATTCACCAATCCATAAATGAATTCTTTCATTCTATTCTCATCTAGTTGATCCATGATTGCTCTTTAAAAATCATCCTGACACTAAAATCTTTTATATCGGAACTGAAAAGTGAAGGTTGATTAAACTAAGACCTATGAAAATGTGTTTGAAGATTAAACCATTAAATGCATTCTATTGCCTTCTCTAAACTCATTTTATTCACGTCGATGATCTCTTATTTTTCGTAAAAAGAGTCTTTTTGAGGAACAGAGAACAAACTCGGCTACTTATACATTTGAGCACATTCATAAATGATGTCTATTGAGATAAAATTGTTATTTTTGATTTCCGACTTAATCCTTAAATTCTTCATTTAAGGAACAAACATAAAATTTTAAGTTCTCATCAAAAAAGCATGACATCACAAGAAAATGAACCCCAAGCCATAGAAAATTTCTTTATTTTTAAATCATTGTACTTTTTTAATAGAACAGAAGAAGAAGAAGTAGAAACAATAATGCATGAGTGTATATGATTTTTAATATTTTTCCAAAAATAATTTTCCGTCTTCTTGATGGAGAATCATCATAGACATGGCAAGGCAAGATTTCCCAATAATATAGATAAAGAATATTCATGCTTTTCTCGGAATGAAGAGTATTTTTTTTTTGTGTACAGACCCTAATTTAAATGAGAATTGACTGTAGATATGTAACACACATGGTTTTTTGAGTGCTCGCTAATTTTTCTCTTCCTCATCTTCGTTTCCCCGACATAAATTCATGAAAAAAATTATTTTATCGCTAAATAGTTTCGTCTGAGACTTGAAGGGGGTAATGTGTATGAATGATGTCTAGTAGCTTGGCTTATGGTGATATCTAGGAATTGTATTGTGCAAATAACTAAACTGCCTTGGTCCCTACTCAAGAATCAGGATTCAAATCAAGTAAAATTGTAAATAAGGTAACCTCAAAGGGTGTGAAACTAATAAACTGTCAATTTTTTCTCGAGTTCCAAACTCTTGGGAAGCCTTACAAACTGATCTCTGATTCAGATGACAATATTAGCCGAAGGAAAGTTCGAATAGCTTCGAAAATTCGTATTTCAAATTAGACATAATTTTCGAATGACCCCTAAAGCTTATTTTTAATTTAAACAATAGGCAAAGAATTTAAAACTATTAAGCATATAAACACAAAACGAGTAGCGTAAACAAAATACAAAACCAAAGAATGTTGCATAAATTATAAACGGAATCTCACGTAAATATAAATATATCGTGGTTAATTATAATTTAATATTATTAAGGAAAAATATTGAGAAAGAAACAAAATTGACAACTGCATTTCCGGCTCAAACATTCATATTGAACAGTCTTGGCGCGGACTGAAAAACATGTAATTAATGCCCTTGTTTAATTTTTAATTATGAAACAAACACAATTGGTTAGACTTAAAACTTTTTTCAGTTTTTCGAAAAAAAGTAATCAACATTTTAAAATAACAATTATTCCTATCCCTCGAAATAAGTAAACTATCAAGCGAGATGTGAATAAACATTGGTATAAATATGTGCATACATAGTAGCATTGGAATGGATAGTGAAGAGAAAATTTGAACCAAAATAATGTTGCTTACAATTTGAATTGGAATAAATAATTTGTTGTTTTTGTACTCACATATCAGATTTGAAATATTAATTAACTTGGCAACTTTATTTGCAATATGCACAGATATTTATGAATTTATAAGTAATTTGTTTAGAATTTGAGCTTACACGAGCTCTGCTGAATAAGTAATTCACTATTTATTTGCTGATTCTGAATATTTTTCAAAGTATACTTCGATTAGTATTAATATTTATGAACAGATTATGAGTTGTCAACGATGTCAATTATAGAGTCTTAATTAAAGAAGTTTCGCATCACTATTGAAGCTTAAACTATCAGATGCTCTTAATGTTTGATTAATCTGAATCAGTGATATAAATAAATCAATCAAAACATTTTTTGCATCACATTCTGCCTCTGATGCGAATTCTTTGCATCTGATGCGAATTTTCTGCATCATTTTTTTTTTGTTTTGCATCAAAATCTCAAAATTCTCTGAGATTCTATACTATCCAATACTATCCACATCTCCCAAAGTCATCTCGTAACTCTTCTGACCCATTTTAACTTCCCGTTCATAACCCAACAATGCATATATCACAAATAAGTATATGAAAACACAATTAACGTAATGGTTGGAATCATCTAAAAAGAATAAATCTTCAAAGATTAAAAAAAATCTCACAAAATAACATATAATAGGTCATAAAATTTTTTGGCACAAACGGCAGTAGTAACAGTAATGTTTTTCTTGGCAAAGAAGTGTCTCTCATGTAAATATTGTTCAAAGGATTTCTTTTTGTTATTTATTGCATATGATTTTTAACTGTTTTCTATACCTAAGTATGTAGCTTGCCTTTCATTTTCATTATCTCACATGTCAGTTTAGAATTTAAATGTCCACAATGGATTACTCAATTAAGAATTCCACTGGAATTACATCAGGCCATATGAATTCAATTATAGCTTTCGTGCTGCATTAAAATGTCATTTTTCTTATGAGTTTCTCAATTTAATCTCTTCTAAATGGCGCTTCTAGATTACTGGATCGAGTTTAAAGGTTATGAATTTTTTCAATTTTCTCTGCGCTGAACGTGCAGCATAAAGTGAATTTTATATTCATTAATTTATTTCATGTTGCTTTATTTATGCTGATAACAATAATCGACAGTCGTTCATGATTATTTCTATTCGATTTCCAATTGATTGACTTGGAAATTTTCACCAATTTAAGATGTGATTTCTCTTCAATATTTTATATGCTTAATAGCTGAAGATTCCATCGATGATACATAAGATTATTATGCCACCCGTCAAGCATGATTTTTTTATTGTGAGAATATGTTACTTTCTCATATGTAATGTCAAAAAGGTGTGAACATGCTGTGAACTTTAACGGTTTATTTGATTTTTTTTGCATCATTTGAAGCAGAAATTGAAAAATTTCAAAAATTTATCCAACTGATTTTTTTATTGATGACAATTTGAGTTTTTAATGGAATTAAACTCGGTTTATGGCTATCAAAAATGATAAGACATTCAATCTTTCTCTTTTCGAATTGTAATATTATGTATTTATTTAAAAAAACTAAGGCGAGAGAAATGTTAATCTCCTTAAGAATGGGCGCATTATTAAAACAGCATTTTTGATATGTAGGGTCATTCGTAAATAATGTTAAGCTCTGCTATTGGTTTGCTGGATGATACTTCTCTACCATTTTTCATCAATTTGATCGAATCCGCATCAATAAAAGAGGAAGTAGGTCTATAAATCCCAACCTTTTTGATCGAACGTCATTTATGAACAATTCCCAATGTCTTCTAACTTTTGAGTGCCGTAGAAAATTGAAATAAAAGAGAAATTTGTTCTCTCTTTATCAGCAAACAAAAAAGAAGAAGAAATAAAGGAAAAGATGAAGTTTATTCTCTTTAATTATGACTGGCTCATGTTTATATCTAACATAAAAAGATTTCTTTATTCTAAAGGTAACCGGATGAGTTGAAAATTCTAAGAACTCTGTCAAATTCCTTGTGCATCAAACTCCTTTATCTGTGCATCAAGTGTATTTTGTATACATAATTTTCGATGCATGGGGGCTTTTTGAAGAATTTTAATTCGTCACGCGATGCGAAATGGAGAGAGAAAGATCATGTCATTGATGTTGATGATGTAACAAGTCTCTCGACTTGTTAGTCATTCCAGTCGTCATATTCAACAAGTCGATAATAATATTTTGTATTAATCATTTCCAAATATCTAGCTACTTAAACAATTATTTAAATCGGAAGAGCTTTCACTGACTAATTCGCATAACATGTATATCCAACAAGCACAATTGTGGAAACTTTTGACAGAAATGAGTGGACAATTAGTATGAGTCGCAGTTAAGAAATTCTTAAGTGATTTGCAAACAGTTTATGAATAATAATTTTTGTGCTTTGTGTAAATTGGCAGTTCCTGATAGTTATGACAAATTTACTTTAAGAGATCATCAATGAAGTCACAGGCTTTATTTTTTTTAATTCATCAAAAAAAAATTTCAAAAGTATCGACATCCATTCTTGTCATACATCTCTTCGAACATAATGTCGGGAATATTTGCGGTTCTTCTTTTCAAGTTCCAACTGTATTTGACCTCGTCGGTGCTTGTATATGTGATGATTGGTCGATTACTCCAGTAGAGATATTGAGCTGGTGTGCAAAGAGCTGGTCCACAATATGGAACATCTGGTCCACAAACTTGATGTGTGATGATTTTCTTCGGGATTATTCGGCATGTGCAGCTACACGATGCTGTATGTTTGATGCATTGTGGCTTGCAAATTGGAAAACAGCACGATTGAGAGGACTTTAAGTTTGATTGGCAGCTCATGATTATTTTTGATGGTTCTCTTAAACTTACTGGAAACTTCTCTGGATGCTCTCTGTTTTCGAAAAGGTTAAATATGAAAAATTTAAACGATGTTGACTGATCGAAAGTTGAATTCATAATGACAGTTTTTTAACTTTTCGGAACTATTCAAAGGTGATTGAGGTAGAAAAAGGTGTTCAAATATTAAAGAATTGTCAATGATTATTTGAATCCAAATTGTCAACTGGATAGTTTATAAGAACAATGAGGAACTGTTTAACTTAGATGACAACATCAATAGTCAATATCCTACAACTCAGCCGTTATTTAACGCTTTTTACATCAACTGAGAATTCCTTCTAGAAATCTTTTCATTCTCATTAAGAGGGTTGATTCTTTGGGTCGTTTATTGAATCTTCAATAATTTTTTTTTCGTTACAAGGACTGAAAATATAAGTTTTTATTGACGTCATTTAAGAACGACTCCCTTAGGGGCCGTTCACTTATGAGTGGGGGGGGGGGGTCAGCAAGAAAAGAATAATAGAAATTCCTGGAATTCTATTGTTCTTTTTTGAAAAATGACCGTTAATATCGGACGTCATAAGTGAACGATCCCTTAGGGGACTTACTACGTTACGCAAAAAACGTCTTTTTTTCATCCCCCCTCCCCCCCTTGTTACAACTCCCCCCCCCCCCCCCCGCCCGAACGTACATAATTTATTTTATTTTGATAATTTTTTATAGGTACTATGATTGCATTTTAAAGTCTTTTAAACCAGTTTTCTATTGATTTGTTACTTTATTTAACATAAACTATGTATTCCTTAGGGGCTGTTCACTTATTACGTAACGCGAAAAAATGACTTCTTAGACCCCCCCCCCTTCGTAACAAAATTTGTATGAAAAAAAAATTTCCTTGTTTGAATCGTAACAAAACCTTAGACCCCCCTCCCCCTAAAAGCGTTACGTAATAAGTGAACGGCCCCTTACTGGATATTGCAAAAAGAATTCTTTCACGATGAACAAATAATTACAGCATTATTATTTATGCAAAGTGAGTTAAATATTTGACTTGGCAATAAAAACACACACGTCGACGATAACAGTTTTTAACGAAAAAAATAATTTGAATAAATAGCAGAAAAATAATGATTCTATTCTCATAGCGTATATGTTATGTATGAATAAGTTATCAACCGTGAATTAATAGCGACAGTGAAAAACAATCGAATGAAAAAACAGCCAATAATTTATGTTTACCCATTTTTAACTGCCCAACTGAGGGTCAAAGGCCTTCAAAGTCAGCAACAAATTTTTGGCAATAAATTTGCATTTAAATCCATCCGACAAAAGAGTCGGAGATAGAACAAGAAAAACAAATATTTTTTTAAGCATGATATGGAAAAACTATGGGGGTGCATGTTGGTTCAAAATTTTCTATGTATATATACATCATCATCATTAACCATGCGACGAGTTCAATGAACTAAACCATGACTGACTTTTTATGTATTATTGTGTCTCGATCTGCATTCTGACACAGTCAAAAATAACAACAATAATGCGATGACGGAAAAGTTGAAGATAAAAATAATAAATTGATGGGGAAAAGCTGTAATAATGTCGTGGAAAACTGTGCGTAAATAAAAAATAATAATAAACTTGTTAAATTGGTTAAGTTGGAAACTTCTGAAGGCAGGGATAGAGTATGCTCGTTTTGAATGGCTGATTGTAATATTTTAGAAATGGTAATCAGTTGTTTTAGGTCTGGAAGAACTGGAATAATGATTGGTTTTTTATCTGAACCTTGTTTGGATTGCAATTGCAAGTTTAATGGCTAAAACTAGACTCTGATCTGACTGAACTTCCTTAGAATTGCTTAGAACCACGCCTAAGTCTATAATTTAAAAAATAAACACTCAGCCTTTATGTTTTTAGTGTCAAAAAGCTTAACATCAATCGTCCTTAATGTTTAATGTCTATAATGATCGCTTAGGTTCCATCCTAACTTTTTGAAATCCACGAGCCTGGTCAATGATTCTTATTATAAGGCTTATCTAGTCACAGTCAAATTAAATGATATCATAAAGTTAAGTTCATCGCTCTTCATTGGTTCTAGAACGGTTTTCTGGCTAGTTCTGAAAACTAACCTAAAAGGAACTTTTCGAACCTGGAAATGAACATAAAAAGAAGTGTTCCTACATGCTTTAAAATTCAACAACAATTTCTTCATAAACATTGATTCCAAAAAATCAGTTTTGTTATCGACCGACACAATTTAGAACTGCATATTTGCTGATATTTGCACAATAAAATTCATGGATAATTAAAACATGACTCATAAGTGCCATTCCTCCAATTCCAATTGTTTAGCTCATTCAAATTAAAAATCACATAAACTAAAATTGCCCCAGAACAACAAAAAAAAGCGCTTTTAAAACGACCATTTTAATTCCATTAACCGTGACTCGACATTATGAATTTTTATTAGACGAAACAACAATTGTTATCGATATAAGATGCAAATTACTCAAGCATAGAAAATGCAGTGACGAGGCCTTCCCTTCCAGTTGTTATTATTTATTCAAAAAAGTTCCTAAATCCAACGAATTGCATGTAAAATGATTTATGTTATGGAATTGTTCAACAAACCGACAGTAAGAATAGGGCTAAGAAGTCTAAGACATTCTCATGGGCCATGAAAAATTGCTGATGATTTGTCATTGGCATTGGATGAGTCATAATTGTAGAAAAAAACTTGATATTATCAAACACACTCAGCAACAAGATGACGATATAGAGAAAGTATTGATTTATAGGAAATAATATTATCAGGCTTCATTTAACGACGCAATGACTTCAATTTCTTTTAATACTGAATTAGAATTGGAATTGTCTTCACAGTTGTGTGACTTTAATTGACGATCACAATCACGCGTTGCACACAATACGACATTATTTCAATTGATACAATTTTAATTGAAGTTTCAGCTTTCTTCTCAGCTGATTGCCATGAAAGAATGTAATTTAAGTAAGAATGTGCGGGTATGAGAATTATTAATAAATCGGACTAGTTTGTTCTCTCATCTTACGATCATCATCACTCATATTGTTACAATTATGAAGATGAACTGCATTTAAAGTGGATCGATTGACATTTTAGCACCATTCTTTGTGTGATTGGTGTTGGATTTATATTCAGTTTGGGTAGGAATATGAGATTGATGTAACTGGATGTTGATTACTGGATTGTTGAGGTGATTTCAGTAGAGATTGAAGTTCTTAGTCAATGATATCTGTTTACAGTGATCCACTAGATTGGCACAAATAGAATTGATTGGTATTTTAAGGATAAAGCTACGTATCGGATTATTTACTTTGAACTAAGCAGCCACATGAAATGTTATTGGATTGGACAATGCTAATCGGGTTATTCTGATGAAATTATCATTGATTCATCATGTCAAGTATCTAAAAAACCTAATACTCATCCATTCCATGCTAATTTCATCCTCAAACAATCTTAAAAACCCAAGATCCGTAAAACCTGATTCAAAAATCAAATAAGCGCTAAGTTAACGCAAAAATGACATCAGTGGCTACTCTTAGTCTAGAATCTTCTTGTGTGTCATGTAATAAGCAACAAGCAGCATCATAATCATTAGTCATTAAGCAAATATGAACATCTCAATGTGTAGAAATTGTAAAGAACATGAGACTTCATAATGACTCACATAACTGTAGAAAAATTACTGTATAACAAATGAGAAATGCATAAATTATAAGCCTGTACCAAAGTTCCTATTCATTGTATGATTTATAAGGATGAAGGTCATTAAAAAATCCCTTATGCTCGGGACTTCCCTTTATGAAATGCACAGCATAGCACGTAAATAAGAAAGAAAGTCAGAACATGTGAGAAAGTCAAATCTTATTCAATAAATAAAAACCGGAATTACTACCGTCTTACTGAATGTAATTATGACTTTCTATGCTCCTGTGTGTGTGTGACTTTGAAAAAAATTGTTTTTTTTTGTTCTATCCTAAAATAGAAAAGGGGTCGCTGCTGTTAACCCTGATACTTTATGATCGAAAATGAGCAACAATGAATGAAAATATTTTCGCATGTCCGCGTGGTCTCATTTCTACCCTCCAAATACTTTCTTCTACTTCCCATTCAATTTATTTAATGAAAATATTTCTCTGGTGAGTGACGACGATGCATTTAAAGGACAATTTATGGTGTTTTCGTAAGGAAAACTTACAATTATTGAAATTTCACACAGCATACAATATATTTATACTGTTTATTAGTCACTTAAATAGTCACGGGGCGCCCATAGAACTAAAAATAATATTTTTTTTTTCGGCAAACTCGACCCTATTGATTTATAGAACATTGAAGAAGACTCTCAGTTCGAAGTATTTAATAGAATTGTTTGGATTTTTTATGTTTCTGCTCTTGATTTTTATTTCTGTGTGTCTTCTTATCGAAGGGATCATCATCCTATACACTTAAAAGTGGTAGATTGATGTCCCTTTTTTTCACGAGAGACTGCACATTTGAGTTCATTTTGGGAGGTTAATTGGTCTATAGCTTATTAACAGCTTGTTATTTTGACATATTGGGGATCATATTTGCTGATCGATATTTGCCAATTTGCAGCTCTTAATGTGCGGGAATTGTAAACAAAATTCTTGCTGTAAACACAAATTACGCACATATTCGCATATTGTTTAGATCATCTAAACCTTTGATGTATGTACGTTCGCAAATAATTTTTTAAAAGTACGTGATGAACATCGCGAAAATGTGAAGAATTCCGACTGGAATTGAATAATTTCTGATGCTTTATGGACCGAGAATAATGGATTTTATATTAGCTGCTTGAAATTTTGTAGCTATGACTTAAAAAAATTGGAATGCTTCTTAGTCACAAACTCCCCATGTCATCTTCACTTCTATGCCTTAAAAATGTGCAATCGACTTGAGAAAATTTTCTGCATTGTCATGAAAGAAATTTAAGAAACCTGGCTGGCGCTCCTTGTTCACATATGTATAAATTACTTTGAGATATATATTTGAAAATTGAGAGGCTGATGAGACTCTTAATTCGACTACAAGTAGTCATGCTGTG